GCCCAGGCTGGATTTGTGGATATTATGTGCCTCACGTTTGAAGCATAAATTCTAGTCTGCCCTGTCACCTGTATACAAAGGGGCCAATCACAGCTATGGCTTGAGCATATGAATGTGCAGAGCAGAGACAGCCGTCTTCCTCAGTATAGAAAAATCTATGTCTTTTATCGAAGTGAGGGAGCTCTTTGAAAGCCGGAAAGTTTGGCATAGACCTCTCCCCGTGTCCAGGCCGAAAGGAACAAACGCGACGATGCACGCAATTCAATAATGTGGGAGACCGTGCATGAATGCTGGGAAAATCGAGACATGGTTCTGTACTACATAGTAACCAGAGGTCCCATATGGGGGCAGAATCAAACGATCAGCTTCGTCGCTGAACGCACTAAGATGCTGAGGTGCCCTATCATATTCTGGTATCGTTAGCAATAATCTTGGGCGACGCATCTGTGATATGTGTGGATGCTGAATTGATCTAGAGTAGCCACTGCAGACAGTGAAGGGCGACGTTTACCACTGCCCTAAAAAGCATGTTTCAAGGGTTCAGGTGCACTGTGTGTTCTTGGATGTCCATGTTCAAGTCTCAAATACCTAGACAGGATTCATCTTCAGCGAGGAACATCATCGCCCTGGTCCAGGGAGCTCAAACAATTCTCAATAGTGGTCAGTGTCTACTGACCATTGGCTAGATTTGTGGTGGAACCGACTAGCGATCAGGGACGGAAATACCAACTTATACTGTGTAGTGTTTAAACTGGGTGGCCCGGAGTTGGACCCTACCGATGTGGGAGACTAGGATTAGGGAGATTTTCAGAGCTTAGGTCGGTCGGGTAGCAGTAGAAAAAAATTTATCTACGGAGTAGGAGGCAGAGAAACTGTCCGACAACCCCAGTATTTTCTCCATCCCGACCTCATTTACTGTACTGTATTCGGTACACATCGTCGAATCGAGTATTATGGAACGTACGGAGTAGACTCAGCTCGGATAAGACCACGGACATATGACTCGACATAATTACTCAAGAATCATATTACATATTACCTTATATATGCAGGTCTTACATAGGACAATCATGGCTCTTATCCTTTACCGCAATTTCACCCCCTTCCTCTCGTCATGGCATCTATTTACCATATGCCAGGTGAAGCCTCACGCGTACTCAGTAGTAGTTTTGGCTTCACTCAGATGAGGCACAAACGTACACAAATGGAAATTGCGGAAGTTTCATGGGAATCTGTCGAGCAAGACAGGCTACTCGGAGTAGGTTCACACCTCTGGTGGCGAAGCTGGAAGGTGGAGGATGAAAATAGTACAGACTTATATGGGGTACATACTTAACGATAGTCAATTGACAGGCGGTTTACTCCGTACAGACACTGGAATGGCAGAATCCCAATTGCTGCGAATTCGAGATGCTGTGGTACAATACCCGTAACTTGGGCCGTTTATCACTGCGATCATCTGCTTTTGCGGTGTCCAACAGCCGTCTTTGCGCCTAGTGTCGCCCACTGGTTCAGAACTGAAGTTCATAATCGATCTCGAGCCGATCGGAGAACTCTTGCCAAAACTGGTTGGGTTAGTTGAGTCCTGGTCATGACATTCACAACCTGCTATTCGCCCTCAAGTACTTGTATCAGGGAGTCGATTGCACGTCAAGATTCTCTCGCTCTCTGTAGGCGAGTAAAACCCACTCGGAAGTCTGGTGGTAATGGCTAGTACGCCATGGAGAAACTTAACATGGGTTACGTGACTTCATATTCGCGAGGGTCTAGAGGAGAATCCACAATTTACTCCTCTGGTTCTTGAATCGGCAGCAAACCGTGGTTCATCGCACATTTCTCGGGTAGAGGGGCTGTCGGTAATGAATACGGGTTCATTCCGTGGTAATCCGCTGCTGTGCCTTGTATGGCATGACCATCCATGTCGCCCGCATGAAATTGCTGCAACGTCATTGATACAATCCACACGAAGCATATTCAGAAAAGATCTTCCTGTATTCTTTCAGGAAAGCGATTGAACTTGTCAACATTGGTTGCCCTTGCCACCCATTGTACCTACTATGTACATGTTAGGTACAGTACGTACAGTTACAGTATATCCTCTCCAACCATCCGCCGCCAACCACTCGAGTACTCGGAAACTGGGAAAGTGTCACCATAGTCAACTGGACCCAGCCAGGACTGTTCGAGGCTCTCAGCTTATCGATATCAGCCCACGCATCCCGATGAAGGGAGCAAGGGAGGGGCCCGACAGATGATGATGCAGGAAAGGATTGCCTGGCGGTAGACTAGACTAAATTTGATGAAACCAACATTTTTGGTGCTTCTTCATATGCTGTTTCATCATGAATTTCTTCCTAAGTCAAGACAAGTTGTGGCCTCTGGTGCTCTTACTTCTGCACTTTTCTTCCAAAGTGCCGAGAGTGAGAACGAGAGAAGGCAAGTTGGTTCTACAGGTGAGTCAGATTAGGCAAGATCTGAGGGCTTGAATGTGCGGACTACGTGGAGGCTTGCAGATGGTAATTAATCCCGCTCCACATCGGAGGGATGAAACAGAAACCCAGACTGTTAGTGTTGAGTGGAGAGTGGGGGAAAAAGGGAAATGGGCAGCGAAATTAAGATCACACTTGTAACACGATCATTCCCGCGTCCAAGCAGCGGAACCACTTGTCAACTTGTTCAACAGTTCGCGAACCAACGAGTCATGACTCAGAGGCGCGGTGGTGGCATAGATTTGACAAGCTCGGATGTGTCCGTCAATTGCTTGCGTCGCTTCTGATGTTTATGATACATGAGGCCACTGCCCATCAAGTGGCAGAAGAATTGATATTGCGAGGATATTGCTACTGTTATCGTTTTAGTTGTCGCCAAGCCCTGTCCGTACTTATGATGTGAGTTTCAAGTTATCATCCTTCCAGGTGAGAGAAAAATGAGATTCATTCTAAGTGTATCCTCCGTCAATTCATCTTATTATGATGCAAAACCAAGGTTGGGATGAAGATATAAGTTACTATTGGGATTGATCTGAAATTCGATGGCTTGTCTAAGCTTCACCTGAAGTTCTCGCAACGGATGTTGAATATAATGCTAGCATCATGTCTTGGTTCCTTCCGATCTTTGCTCGATACGTGTCTTTCTTGATCTACTCTCTAAACACTGATCTATGTACAGTAATCATCCAGCCTCTAACGATCTGTGAACAGCTGAATGAATCCTGTCTCTCTTGAAACCACCCCTATCTGTGGCATGAAGGCAATCAGTTCGCTCGAGGCTGAGTTAACCTTAGACGAGTCGCATCTCTAATTTCTCTAGTCAGTACGTTACTCAGTCGGTCGAAGTCAGGCTGACTGACACGGAGCCCCGTCACTGGAACCCTTAGCGATCAGACAAGCCCGAGCACCCCTCTCTTGATGCTGCGCCCTGCAGCTACTTTGCTGATGTGGTCGATTTGCCTTGAACTCTATTTTATCTTGTAAAGACGGCAAGATTCTTTCTTGAAGTCCTTTCCCGTAAGTGTTTGAGAGCAATCTCTCTGCGTGGCAAGCTTGCCAGGCTATATGATTATGACTTGATCGGATTTGAAGATAACTTGTTTTTGTGTAGTAGGCTTGTAAATTCCGATAGATATAGAAACGGTAGCTTTTCATAACAGCTATTGCACTGGATATTAGCTGTAACTTTACGTATCATATAAGATTGTCCATTATATATTTATTGTAGTTAGGTACAGACTAATAGATGGGATACAGATAACATTCCCTATGAGTCTACTAGATATTGAATATGTATAATGTCCTTTGATTTGAGTAAAATTTATCAATCATCTCATTACTTGAAAGACGACATTGTCTAATAGTCCTAGTTATCCATGATGAATTATTGGATTACTAACAGCACATAAGCACATTTTCTACATGAGGACAAAGCCACAGGACTAAGAAACTATTATTACAATAAGCACGTCTTGCTGCAATTGTATCCCATTGGATAAGATCCTTTGAAAAGCAAAGAACAAAGGAACATTCAACAAAGAGTAGAAGGCACATGCTGGTAACAATAAGTTTCCCAGAACCCCTTTTTAACTTCAGACAACTGAACATCTTCTTACGCCTAAAAACAGTTTATGTAATGTATAAAGATCTTCTACAGAACAAAGAAGGGGAAGATAGATATCTATCGTTTGTTTTCTGATAGAGAGGTCGCATACATAAGACTCTTCTGAGATGCCATGACCGCGCTGGTCCCTTTTTAACGAATGTGAACACATACAACTTCCCGAATTCAGCTCGTAAAGGCTCTCTCCTTATTCAGAAATCACAGTAATACAGGCCCATTGTGACAGGTCACGCAGAGATCTGAGCTAGAAGCTCACAACGGGCAATAGAGTCAGCTAATCTATCCTATAACATGGTATGTTATAGAGAATTCGGGTGCTTCTACGGTTTCGTCTATCTTACTCTTTGCTTAGGATCGCCAGCTTAGGCTACAATGGCCCAAGAAAGCATACAGGGAAGCCAGGGGGTTTAAAAACCCAGGGAACATATGCTACCGGAATGCGGCACTCATAGTGCTATTGCACACACCAGAGTTATGGAATTGGCTTAAGAATTCTTATGAACCAAGTCATGATTGCCAGAGATTCGGCTTTTCAGAGAAGTGCCTAGCATGCCGATTGTTGGGTCTTTGCCAAGTCTATTGGCTAGAGTCTGAACACGACATTGAATCATACCTTGATTCGACCTGGTTGCATATTCAAGAAGCTGCATGGGAAGAGCGTGACATTCATGAACAGCAGGATCTATGTGAATTTATAGACGCCTTATTTGGACGCCTATTGTGCGATAGCACAGATGAATGCAGAAAGTATGTTCCCATCAGCCCCATAAAGAACGATGGAAAACTAACCTCAGCCTCCAAGCGGCCTTGAGAAGATCTTCCAGAGTATTATCGTGCGTGAAGGTCATTGTACACGCTGCGAGCAACACAAGACTCTACCACCCACTATGAGTAGGTGGCTCTCTGCAAGCTTTACAGAAGATCTCTCCCGTGGTTCGCATGGTTTGTACAAGAATATAGAGAATGCCTTGTGTCCGGATACCTTGTCTATCAGCTGTTCCACATGTGGTGGCTCCAGCACCCAGCACAAAATACGAAATGGAATTGACCACTACCCGGAAGTGCTGTTCGTCCAGGTGAATTGATTCCAGATATATCTAATCAAAAACCAAGACTATCTCCGCATAGAGGAGACCTTGACCTTTCCGGCTAAGATGATACAGTATGAGCTCTATGCATTTGTCAATCATCTGGGTACAAGTATAGAACAGGGTCATTATGTCTGCTACACACAGAGTCCGTACGGTGACTGGGGGGAATTTAATGATGCAAAGTTCTCCGCAAAGACGCTTGCAGGCCTCCAATCTCACGAACAGAATCGCAAGGATGTTTATATCTTAGCTTACCGGCGGATACAGCCTGTACCTTCACGATCAAGATCGCCAGCAAAATCCCAAGGTCGGGAAGAGGGTATATCAATTGCGCAGCCTTCTCATGGCGTAACACTGAACGAGTTGATTAAGCTCAAGGGAAGAGCCGTTCAGTGGACCCTCGAGCAAGAGCTGGCGCCTCTTGGAAAGAGTCAAGCGCTAATACAAGTGAAGTCGGCTAGAGCCAGAGCGCAGCGGGCAGAGGTACGAATAAAGCTCACAAGTACCAACGGTGAAGCCCTCGAAGGCCGAGGATTTGTTTCCCTGCACCCGAATATCATTCCTGGGCAATTGGTAAGTAAGGTGGCCAGACCTCAGGGTGTCGTTAAGAAAAAGTTGCCTAAGCCCGAGATTCCCATAGGCTCTCGATACTTCACACGATCTGCAGCAAAGCGGATGCAGTGAAGCCGGAGAGTGGCTGATTGATGTTTTATGTCTATTGATTGCTTTTTATATGGACTGTGGTTACTTGGTGCCGTATAAATTGCGACCTATTTGCTGTCTTTGTGAAATGATAGGCCTATCTTTGCTTTTTTTGTTTCTGCCAAGTTAATGATAAAAAGAGCGCTTGTACCCACCGGGAATATGGGAAGTATATGTTGACATAAATATAAATGTTCAGAGAGCTAGACATCTTCCGTATGCAGAGCAGGAGAGGCTGGTGGGAGGGAACACCATTTAAATGACTCGAATGAACTCCCGTCCATTCCAAGAATCCCGGAGATCGTTCTTCGAACCATCAATCCAATGGCATCTCCCAACTGTAAAGGTCGGACCAATACATTTTCCCCTGTTCAATTTGTTGATCAGGTGGCTTCTGTCCTTTCAAGCCAGAAGACCGACTCTGGGAGAAATGATCATCTTCGCCAGCAACAACAGCAATATCCAGCCTTTGGGAGAGGTCAACCTCGCGACTTTTCTGCAACCCAGGTGGCAAGCTTGAAGCCCCTGTTGCTGGCTCTTCACTGTCTCTTCCCTCACGAGCTCTTGCTTGCCCTAGACATCCTCGATCGAGGCCTGGTAAGACGCTTGTCATCATCCTACGACGTGACAGGAAGTTTCACGTACGCTGTGGATCTTACCGCTCAGGCCCCTTCGCCCGACACAACGGAGGATATATTCCTAGTGCATTCAGCCTCGGTGGTTTTAGAGCAATCTTCATCCCGGGCTCATACCTCCGATGCAGAAATCGAGATTAAAGCCTACGAAGTCCGTCTGCAAGCCTGGAGCTGCACGTGTCCTATATTTACCTTGGCGTCATTTCGTGGGCCGAGTATACCATCAGTATCCAGGCCTGAGATGACAGCCTTATCAACTGCTGCTACGACTGCTGCTGCGGCTACCGAGTCATCCCCACGCCCAGAATTTCTGATGTCGCATGGCATGTATCCGTTTGGGGGAATGCTGACACGCGGACCAGCCCGGTCTTCACCCCCCGTTTGCAAGCACCTACTTGCGAGTTGGCTAGCTGCTCGCTGTCCCAACCTATTTAACCAAGGAAACGATGCCGTCGTCGGTGCCAGTACTGAGGAGCTGGCGGGTCGGTATGCTGGTTGGAGTGGATAAACATGTTACGTTTATCCCAGGATCGAAACGGGGTTGCAATGATCAGGTATAAGGAATGGACTGCCTCAAGACATAACCGGAATCTGTAGGTAACGGATTACAGAGCAAGTTGCGTCGTATCCTCCATGTCATGCCACACTACTATGATCAGACGTGTGCAAGGCTACCACAATGTATATCTCCATGTAATGAATAAATTGGTTTAATAATTGATCGTATCGCGTTGACTTCAAGCCCATCTATTCTCCCCTTGGACTCTTCTTGGACTTGTCCTTAATTCCCTCTTGATCCTCCTTCTGCTCTCCATTGGCAGCTCCATTGCCTGCCTTCTTAGTCGTATCCCTCTCGCCCTTGGCTGCAGTGGCTTCCTGCTCCCTCTTCAGCTCGGTCTCTTCTTGTTGTTGGCGATTCTGAATCTTGTTCTCGATTAGGTCGTGGAAGGCAGTGATGGCGCGAATCAAGCTACTCAGGTAAATCGCCATCAGCTGGTCATTTGTCTTTATGCTCATAGCTCGAGCCAAATCGCTGTTATCTGTTTGCTGCTCTGGGGCACCATCGCTGAAACGCGGCGTTGCAGCAGGGGTGGATAGATTAGGAAGAAGGTTGAACACGTCTTGGAGATTGCCTAAAATGGCATGATTGACGGGCAATTCCTGGTCGATGACTTTCTGCAGATACTGGCCGATGTCACGCAGGCGTAAATGCAGGCCCTGCAGCGATTGCAATTGAGACGTTATCCGAGTAGAAAGTGTTCCCACAGCGACGTCTCTGATGTCACGGAGCAGGTGCTCCACTCCGATTTCCTCGGCCTCCTCGGCTTCGATTATGGACGGGGTGTGAACAAAGGTTCTGGACGTCGTGGTACCATCCTGCATTCGGTCAGACCCGCTCAGTTAGTTTGTGGACGAGGCGGAGACAAAGCCCGAAGGCTGAGATACATAAAACCTACGTCTTTAATTTCATCAACGGCAAAGTAGGCATCGGTCGGTACGCCCACTTCTTTTGGCTGAACGTCCACGATTACCAGTAGGGGATTGGGTGTGTATCGTTTAAAGAGCTCGTTGATCTCCAAATCCGAGGCGCGCAGCTTCGGACCCGAATGGTACCATCCAACCAGCTTTTCCCGAGCGTTGATCTTCTTGAACATGTCTCTCATCGACTCGACAAAGTTGTGGTCAAGAAACCACACAGATGGGTCCTTCTCATCCTCCTCAAAGGGGACTAGTCGCCCAAATAAGTCAATTTATCTAGCTCGAAGTCCGAGAAAGCATGCCGGCAGTGACTTACCGGCGAAGCTGTTTGACACACGAACGGTGTGACCTGAATTCTCTCCTAGCAGCACACCTACCACTCGTTTCCTGGTGCCTTTTGCTGAGCGACCATAGTGATCTGCGACGGAGAGAAGGACTAAAGGGGCAACCGTGACGGTCCGCTGGACCAGGGAGAGAGTGTCCGCCGTGGTGGCAGGCATGACGGGAAGAAGACGGAGAGCGGTGTTCCTGGACTGAGCAAGCGAACAGATTCTGTGGGATTGAAAACCTAATATGCGGAAAGAGTGATGTTGTCAGGATAAAGCTCGTACAGAGGTTGTAAAGAGAGTTTGGGCACAGATGAGATAAGATGAGAAGGTGGGAAGGAACACAGAGAAAGAGAGAGAGAGAGAGGGAGAGAGAGAGATGACGATGGAACAAGCTGTGGCAGATTGGGGGAGCTTCTGGCGCTGTGTGGCTGAACAGTTGTTAAACGCACCAGCCACATTAAGTTATGCCTCAGGCTTAAAGCACAGTAAGCGGTATCGCTGCACACCCATCCGTCCGAGCTGCGTCTACATATGGTTTGCAGTAACTAGCAATCGGCGGACATGATAAATAAATAGTCTCAAAGACTAACCTCCGCCAACAAACTGGTCCCTTACCTCACCATACTCACAGCAATTGCAGAGTGCGTTGGCTGACTTCTCTACAACCACAGAGTTGATCATTGCTGCACGCGGCGCCGCAACCTCGGGTGGGCGCGCCGCGACTCCACCCCGGCACCTCCGGTCGGAGGCCTCTTTTCAACCACCGCCCGCCCCCCCAACGATGGCACTTTCCATCCGCTTCCCTTTCTCCGTTGCTTTTGCGCGCCCTCATTCTTCTCTCCCTTCTCCCTTCTCTTCTGGTTACGCTTTCCTTGCTTCTTGAGGATCTCTTTACTGTTGCCTTGTCCCCCTCCTTCATATTTGTCATTCCCAATGGCTCCCATCACAGAAGAGATCATCCATGGTCTTAAGGATACCATCGGCAAGCTTGAGGCTCGCATTGAAGACCTGGAAGGTCGCCTCACCAGTGAAGTCAAGCCCAAGTCTGTCACTGAGCAGATGCGCATCATTTTGATGGGACCTCCCGGTGCCGGTACGTTAGTTGAAGCCTACCCACTAATCTTCCATGCCCGTTCCTCTCCGTGTTCTGGGTGCGGAACACTAATCGATCGCTGTGCCTAGGCAAGGGAACCCAGGCCCCTCGGCTCAAGGAGAAGTACTGCGTCTGTCACTTGGTACGTAAATGCTCGTCAAAATCAGCCAGAAGTGGTCGCAGCTTACATCTGACTTGTAATGTTGAACTAGGCTACCGGTGACATGCTGCGGTCCCAGGTTGCCAAGAAGACTGAGCTGGGAAGAGAGGCCAAGAAGATCATGGACCAGGGAGGTCTGGTCAGTGATGAGATTATGGTCAACATGATCAAGAGTGAGCTCGAGAACAACACCGAGTGCAAAAATGGGTCTGTTAACCTATCGTTCCTTGTACCGTCAGCCCATACAAATAAGGGTTTCCAACTGACCCTGCGCGATTTCCAGATTTATTCTTGATGGCTTTCCTCGCACTGTTGCGCAGGCTGAACGCCTGGACGATATGTTGGCCGCGCGCCAGCAGAAGCTCCAACATGCTGTTGAGCTGCAGATCGACGATGCTTTGTTGGTCGCTCGTATTACCGGACGTCTGGTCCACCCGGCTTCCGGACGCTCGTACCACAAGATCTTCAACCCCCCCAAGGAGGAGATGAAGGATGATATTACTGGCGAGCCATTGATCCAGCGCTCCGATGACAATGCCGACACCCTCAAGAAGCGTCTTGGCACCTACCACGCCCAGACTGCTCCTGTGGTTGATTACTACAAGAAGACCGGTATCTGGCGTGGTATTGACGCCAGCCAAGAGCCTGGTCAAGTATGGAAGTCGCTCTTGGGGGTTTTCCAAAAACCCTAAGCAGTCAGTTGCTGTAATCTCCACCAAGAAGGGAGTTGAGTGATGACCCCGCCTGATACCATTTATCCTATCACTTTACCCTGGCTGGGAGGAATAAATTACGGGAGAGCGACCGGACGTGCAGGACTTTTGCCTTAAATCTTCTTACCGGTCACGGATTATGATGGGGGAAGGGCCGCAGCAATCGGACGTGGTACACTGGCATGTAAAATGTGGTGTGTCTTTGGTTTCATATATAGATGAATACCTTCTGGTAGGGATTTGTTATGTACAGTACTGCTTATTTGAATGGGATGGCGCCTTAGGATAGAAACTGCCATCTGGCCTACAACCGTAAGCGTTTGCTCCATTAAGACCTGTCGCGACTGCTGCCACCTGTTTTGCGTTACGCTATAGTCGCGTGGGGTAAACAGTGGACTCGATCCTGTCCGGATAAGTCAACCCGCCCTGGCGCCGAACCTCATCCATCACTTCCATTATAACAATACTCTCCTCCCACGGCAGAGTATCGCTCTCCAATTTTCCAGCCCGTAAGCAGCGCGCCACCTCATCCGCTTCCCAGAACATGCCCTTTCCGTTGCCAGGAAACGGGCATTCGACCTCTTTAAACTCGCCTGCGCCCTTCTTGGGAATGATGCGGTACCGCTCCGGTCGGAAGGCGGGTCCATCCACCTGAATCTCACCCTTGGTGCCTTGAATGCGAATGGCGGGGCGAGCAGTGTTGGCCTCGTCGGGATCGGTAGAGATACGCAGATTGGTCATGGCCACCGCGTGGGATTGGCCTGGGTGAGGTAGATTGGACGGCGTACTGGTAGGAAAGCTGAGGAGGATAGTCGTCGCTTCATCGGCCCCTGTTAAGTGGTAAAGGGCCATATGGGCCGAGATAGCTGATGGTGGTTTGCGCTGCTCCCGGGGTAGAGTATGATACAGTGTCTGAAAGACCCACGTCAAGGAATAAATGCCCACTGCATATTTGCCTGGTCAGTATGAACCATTCGGAGTAATGAACAAGGCACAGGCACGCAAGTGAGGCCTACAGTCCAGCAAACATCCGCCGGCCAGATCCTTATTGACCATACGATGTTCCGTACCCCATCGCTCCTCGACGGGGTCACCAAAGCTATTGTCGGCGGTCACCCGGAGAACCTCACCAATGGCTCCCTGCTTGATCAAATTCCGAATCTGCACACTGAGCGGGAAATACCGCGTCCAGACGGCCTCCATGAGGAACAAGTTCTTCTTCCTGGCCGTCTCGCACAGGATCTTTGCCTGGGCCGCATTGACTGTGAAGGCCTTTTCACATAGAACGTTTTTCCCTGCCTCCAGGACAAGCATTACATTCTGGAAGTGATGAGAGTGAGGGGTTGCGACGTAGACAACGTCGACATTGGCATCAGCCACGAGCTGCTCATAGGAGCCGTAGGCTGCACAGGGAGCAGGAATTCCCGTGTCGGAGATAAACTTCTCTGACCGGGCTTGCGAAGTAGCTGATGCTACTGCCATAATGCTATGGGTGATGTCGGATACGCCACGCTCTTGAGGATCTCGGAGAAGATCCCGAACGAAGACTGTTCGCTAGTCAATGGGGGTTGTTTACGGGATGCTTTTCACACGATATATTGGGAGGAAACGTACCGTCGGCGATCCAGCCGGTAGCTAAAGGAAACCTCAAGAACATTCACCACATGTTAGTCTGGTGTCGTGACAACAAGGTTCGCGCAAGAGATCTGCATTGAGGCGCAAGCGGGGGGGTCAGCTGTGTTAAGAGACGGAAAGGACTTCTCACCCATTATTCCCCATCGAACATTGTAAGTGGCCATGGCGAAGAGGTCAAGCGGTTGGGACAGACCGGTAAGGATGAGTTAGGCTACACAAAGGGGGAGGAGGAAATGAGGTTGAGTAACTGGGCTTGACCCTGCTTTAAACGACGTAGTTTGGGGGTGTTTGTTTTGTCAATAGCAAACGCGGAGTTGCACCGAGCGGGGCAGCTTTCCCCGCCTACGTCACTTGCACGCGAACACCATGATATAAGAAAATAAAGCTTTACATTTATGCTCAGATCATAATAGTGGTCTATGTACAAAATACACGAGCCGGACCCATTTGTTTGCTATTTGTGATGTGAGCGTTCCGTAGTCCATCGGTAACGCCTGCCCTTCCATTCTGAAGAGAAAACGGGAAAAGATGAAGATGAAGATGATGATGATGATGAAGTGAAAGGGAAAGTAGAGAGAAAAAGCGCCGCCCATAGGATTCTGGCTCCCGGGTGAGATGCAATATAAAGCCACCGACTAATGGAGGTAATACAGCTTCGCTCAAAGCAATAGTATGAAAGGTAATCGGTACGAGGATCAATTGCGTATGGCACAAAAATTCGACATTCAGATGGGCTCTGTCTTAACCCGTACGCTCGGCCCCGGGGAGTTGGTTATCTGATTGACATGTTACCAAAGAGTACCGGGCTGCTTTTCCAGGAACTATTGTTACTACTCACCTCTGCCTTGCGTTTACCTAACACAGAGTCCGGGGTTCCAGTTCGCGCTAACGGCACCCCGCGATTAGCGGATGTTGGTCCTTCTTTGGTCACTTCGGCATAGCAGCTGGCATGGTAGACACGGCTCCCAACATTGGTCGCATCCTGCCATATCCAATCCTGCACCTCCTCTGACCAGGTAGACTCAAATTTCTCTTGGCAAATGGGGCAGGGAGTATTCCGCAAAGTAGCATCGTTAGGCGCGCGGATCCATGGTTTAGACGGCTCCTTCTTGGCCACATTGCCATCATGTCCACCAGCGGAGTCGCCAGATGCTTCTGCGTCCGCTGAATCCTGGTCGTCCCCTGCTTCACGGGACTTGATCCAATCCTAAAATTACAGTTTTAGCTCGTGGACCCCTCTCTCGCAATTCGTTCTCAGGGAAATAAGTATAACTAACCCGTTCGTCAACGTACCAACTCCGATTCTGGGCCCGTTTGGCAGCGTCGGACATTCGCTGGTTGGTCCGGAAGTGCCAGTCCAGGTGACGGGCCTTCCTTTCCTTGCCCTCCTCTGTTGCGAAGAACCTACGGCCGCAAGTCCCACATCGATTGGAGCGCAAATCATAGAGGGTAGCAATCAGTGCGTATCGTGGGCTAGGATACCATAAGTCAGAGGAGTATAACACGTTTTCTCACACATGCAGCTTACATTTTGATAGACGCCGTGTTCATCTGCACTTCCACTTGACCGTCGGTGCTACCTTGTGTCTGCGGCGTGGGTACAGGAGGTGTAAAGCGCACCTGGCCAGGCACGATAAGTGGAAAGGCAGACGTAATATTGGAGGGAGGAACAGTGGACGAAGCTGGAGGTGCTGACGCTGGTGGTAAAAGCCCCTGCGCCCGCAGCGCCGCAATAAGAGGATTCTCCGGCGCCACAGGAACCGGGGGCTGATGCGTGCTATTCATCACCGGTATTTGTGGCAGAAGCCCAGCTAACAGGGATGGTGGGGTGGGCTGCTGACGTGCAGCAGTAGCCTTGATAAGTCCAGCTAGCATACCCGGGTTGAGCAGTTGCTGGAGAGGCTGCGAGTGCGTTTGGATGGGTGGCGTTGCAGCTACAGGAGGCGTCGAAACAGCTGGAATGTTTTGGGCTTGTGAAGCTGGGATGGCAGGTTTCGGGGCCAAGGCTGATACCTGATCACGAACTAACCTCAATTGCTCTTGCGTAAGCTCGTGACGTTGTAAGATGCCCTGCAGATCGAGAAGAGCTTTCAATCTTTGCTGCACAGACGGATCGAGAGGGTTATTAGCAAAATCACTGCGAGCTGCGGCAATCAAGGATTCAATGTCTCGATTCAACACCGACAGGTCGATTTCCGTGCGTTGTTGGGTTGGTGCCGGTGGCGTAGCGCGGGCAGCAATGGTCTCCCCCTGCCAAGGTCAGTTTAAAACGCTGAGATGTTTAACTTTCCGGTCAATTCAACCTACCGAGGATGTATATGCATGACCTGCGCCATTGCGTTGGTAATGGACGGGCACAGTTTGACTCGACACTGGCGGGTAACGGTTCATGTTCTGTGATGGCGTTGGGGTACTGGACCAGCCTTGGGGAGTCCCATTTCGACCACGCGTGAGAATCTCCTGCTGGCTTCGAGCTTGCTGTTGTTGAAGGGCTGCAGTCCTTGCCTTGATCAAGGCGCTTTCGATGCCACGCGTGATTTCTGGAGGGAACACGGGCCTAGTGTCTAAGGAACCCGGGACAGGCTCCTTCCACGTCTTAAGCATCTCATCGAGCTTGCGGCGAGTCTGCGAATCCACCAAGGTGTAGGCATTCATGAATGTCTGGTACATATTGCGACCCAGGAACAAGGTGTAGGGTGTTCCTACATTCTTGACGATCGAGTCGACTACATACAAGGCAGGCAGTTTTTGAGCCGGCGGTGTCTACAGAGCAGATTAGAACTCAACCATCCAGAAACCGGAACTACAGACGGTCATGCGCTTCGGCAGGTCCAACAGCAGCAACTCGGCAGTGTGAGAGTGGCGAAAGTATGTCACCTACTGTTCGAATATGATTCTCCAGCACACGGGAGATTGCCATTGCATGTTCTGTATTCTCTTTCGCAATGACGGTGAGATTGCTGATCTGAAACCTGTCATTGGTAGTTAGATCTTCCAAGGAATTCTTGTAGTCCTCGGCCACTTCATCGGAGGCCAGTCCAGAAGACATGATTGGGATGATACACGGCAATAAGGGGAGACGAATGGGCAAATGCAACGTGGAAGAAGACTAAGGAGTATCTGACGATGCTGCAAGACGCAGGCGGCGTATTATGCTTCTTTGTTCTGCAGACTCTTCTCTTTCTTTCTCTCTGGGTTTTTCTTTTTAACAACTTGTGTAGACTTTCTTGTTCTTAATTTGTTTCTCTCTGAGAGCCTCGTTTTTGTTTTCTCCTCTTTCTGTCCGAATGTTTTTTCCAAAGATATTCCAAGGGTTGGCTTGGGCCGGATATCTTTCTCGGATTGTTTCGAATCTTCTTCTGGAAAACCCAGATTAGAAATGCTTAACTTCTCCTTCTTTGTTTCTCTCCGAAAAAAAAGATCCTCGGGAAGAGCAAGATGGAAAGAGACGGCGAAAATTGTCAAATGCTTGCTAGCTATCTGGGTCAGACTCGGAGAAAACAACAGGCGAATGCAGGCGCACTTCCTCCACTCGAACTAGCAGTCACGAAATAGCACCTGCGCTACCAACCCCTCCGTTTCCTCGAGGTCAATCTATCTCACGCAATATCCTGCGCCGGTCAATACTTGCTGTAGACAATATCCTGCGCCAGAGAAGCTTCAACGAAACCGAGGTGATGGACAAGAATTTCGATTCTTTATGACTGAAGATGAATTTTCTTGGGAGGTGAAATAATTCACGAGGACGTATAGTGTTATACAAGCGGAGTAGATGTCCAAAGCGAGTGTAACTCGTGAAAATCCGAGGCGGGAGTAATATGTAGATAGAGAGGAAGATGAGGATTTGGGAAAAGGATGAAAGACGATCGAGCGGGTAAAGCTATAGGGAGGGGAGTGGAGGAGAGGGGAGGAGAGGGGAGGAAAGGGGAGGGATATGTATGGATGAGAGGGAGAAGTGAGCCGGTAAGGCGAGCGATGAAAGAGAGAATGGCTAGGTGGGTGGTTGATGGAGAGCTTTAAAGGAATCCAGAGGAAGGAAAGAAGAGAGAAGCGAAGCCAGCTAAGGCGGCGTAGGAGCAGAAGCTGAGCAGACCCGGCGGGCGGAAAGACTGACAGGATGAGTCAGCCATCTTATGACCGTCGTATCATACATAACAATACCACCTTGAGTAAGCCCCTAGTAAGATCAGAGGTATTATCATAGACAATTATGAGGGATGACGCATGCATGCATGCATGGGTGTGCTCTACCTACCTCCGTACGGAGTACATCGTTTTCTGTCCCGGGCTTCGACCTTGACCATCAACAACTCATCGATCCTCACAAAGCCTCGATTTCCAAAGAGAACATATTTATACTTACTATACATTCAAAGCTATCTTGCCATATTATCAGTGCCACCGGTCCGATTGATCCCTTTTGCTCAGAATGCAGCTGATCTCTGCGGCTATCTTGGGTCTTGTGCCGTTGACCCTGGCTAATTCGATTCTGGTCACTTTCCCTGCAGAGACCCCAGACTCGGTGCTCGAGCAGGCCAAGGACTCCGTTCTAAATGCTGTGTGCTAGCCTCCCCTAAATCTCTGGTCATGCAGTCTGTGCTAACCGTTTGTTTCCCTCGCAGGGTGGCCGGATCACTCATGAGTTTAGTAAGGGCTTTCCCATGACTACCTTTCTCTCCTTTTTGTCTTGAAGACAGGACTAACTCATACTTTACTCTGAAGCCTTGATCAGGTAATAGATTCCCGAGTCTTATGCTCTCTTATAGCTTTTTCTGACCTCCACGTCCAGAGGGTTCTCGGCCGACTGTCCGGAAGAAGCTATTCAGCAGATCTCGACTCAATCCGCGGCTTATAAACCCACCATCGAGCAGGACCAAGTTGTCTCAATCCAGTGAGTTGCTGTAGCGCTGTCAAAGCTGCAAGAAGGTTAAGCTTGCTCATGGTCATTTGACTTGTCTCCTGCTGGTCTCGGGAGATTGACTTGGCCAATGTTCGCCATCCATGAGGAATTCCTTTGGATGCGTTACTGTTTATTTAGATAATGCTACTTTTTGTTTATTTTTGTATGGCGGTGGGATATGATGGCAATGCAGTTTTCTCAAAGTGTTTGCGCCTTGTTTATACTAGGAAATGCATTGTTATCTTGTATCTTCATTGGTGAGCGGACCGGTTCCCCTGAATATCACAAACAATAGAATTGTACTCCGCGGAGAGAATACCTAAAAAACCGAAACAGCCAGATTGAAACTCGATCGCAGTACTGGCAAGGCTTCTAGGACGATAGATAGTCTCCATACAACAAACACAATTGGGTCTATTGAATGACCAAGCGGGACTAGATTAATTAATTATAGCTCAAGCTTGTCGATGGCTCGATGCGCGTGGCGTGGATCCCGCCCCTCCAACCTTCCTCCAACCTTCAACACCCCGGAGTTTCCTCCCCCAAAAAAAGATTCTTCGACGATCTCGTCCCACCCTGAGTCGTCTGAGTCCTTGCTGCTTGGTCTGAGAAGATCTCTCCTCTTCGATCTATTCGTTCCTTCTTCGCACGCGGATGCACCTTCATTGGCCACACTTCGAACCCCCCATTTCAACAATTCCGGCCCAGCAACTCCCTGGTCGCGGCGTTTACCCTCCGCGGTCTGAACACACCTCTCATCCGCTCGACGGGCAGCCATGGCCGCGGAGCATACAATCACGCAGGCTCTGCTAGAGTGGCTCAACAGCTTCGCTCTGGGAAAAACCATCCGCACAACAGAAGAGCTTTCCGATGGGACCATTATCTGGGAGATCCTACAGGATATTGATCCGCAGTACTTCCTCGATGAAATCCCTCAACGAACCCCGTCCGACCATTGGCTGTCCAAATGGCAAAACCTCAAACACATCCATAAATCACTCGTTAACTACATTCGCCAGCAGCCCGATGGCATGCCGTCGGGACTAGATCCCAACCCCAACCTCGAACTCGTCGCCGAGAAGAATTCCGAGAAGGAAGCCAATAAGCTCCTCAAGTTGCTCTTGATTGGGGCCATTCGTTCCCCTAATGCACAGACTTATGTCGAAACCTTGCAGACTTTAAGCACGCCGACTCAGGAAATCCTCAAGAATATTTTCGAAGAGGCACAAAATGGCCAACATGAAGCCATCGACGGCGATGATGACATCAAAGAGGAGCGAGAGCTACCCGTCGATCCGGAACTACAGTTTGAGGAGCGAGTGGGCAAGGTATTGGCGGAGAACAATCGTATGGCGAGGGAGAAAAAGGACATGCAGAATCAGATTGACGATATGCATGACCGCTTGGCCCGCCTCCAGGAGAACAATGACACCTTGCAAAGCCGTCTGGCATCCACTGAAGATCGGCTCATCAACTTGCGGTCCGGTAAGGGGGACCTTGGACTCAATGCCAAGGCTCTCGAATCCAAGTCTCGCCAACAAGAGGATATAATCGCTACCCAAGAAGCCAGGCTAGCCACAGCACAAGATGAGATAGACAGTCTGCGAATGACAGTCGAATCGTTACGGGTCAAAAATCAACGTTTCCAAAAGTTACAAGATGATTATGATGAGCTGAAAACCGAACGTGACCAGCTGGCCCGGAAAGCGAACGCAGCGGAGAAGTACCGCCAAAAGTTACAGGCAAGCCAAGACTTTGAGAAGGAGAATCAGTCCCTGAAAAATCAGATCAAAGATCTCCAGCAACAACTCAAGGAGACGGATTCGCAACAGAAGTGGAGTTCTGAGCGCGAGGTAGAGCTTGAAGAGTACAGGAGAGTCCTGCCCCGCATAGAACAGGAGTGTAGCGAAATTCAGAACCTTAAGAAGCAGCTAGAGTTCAATAATCATGCACTCACTGAGCGTCTCAGTAACGCGGAAGAACAACGCGAACGCGATGATGCCTTGATCAGCGAGCTGAGAGAACGAGTTCGGGAGTTGGAAGGGTCGCCCGGCAGCCCATCCCTGATGCCAGGAGCAGAGACTCCAAAACTGGAGGGAACTCTACAGAAAGATTTCGAGGCGATTGGTGTGAAAGAATCTCAACTGTCTGTATCTCTTCTGTTTCATTGCTGGCAAGACATCTGCTAACAGTACTCATAGGAAATCTGAAAATGAGGACCTCAAGAAGGAAATTGAATCGTTAAGGGGACCTTCGACATCTGTACGCTGCTTCAAAATCGACGATACACCCAATAGGAGACTGACTGACAATTGTAGACTTTTGAAGGCTTCTCTGATACATTTAGCGAAACTTTACAGCAAGCTCGCGTCAATTCAACACAGAGGTACGTCTGGCGGTGACCGTGCTGTTCTGTTGCTAATGCTTATGTCCAGTGATGAGTATTGGAAACTGTACGAGCAGTTCACGTCGACGCTGAAGAGGTTGGCAGAAGCCCAAGACTCTCTTGACGTGACCAAGCGATCCCTGAGTGATACGATAGCAGAGCGTGAGTCTGTCCGGCTAAGATAGTCCTAGGCACAATGTGGCCGTACTGAAAGTTATGCAGTCGAATTGGCCAGCGATGAAAGGATCGATTTGATGGCGGAAGTCAAAGCGAACCATGCAACGGAGTTAAGCAGGATGCGTGGTGAATGGGACGAAGTCATACGCAAGCTCAATAACCTTCAAGCTGAACTCGATTCGACTCATACTCTGGTGCAGGTGACTTGTGCTGAGCGCGACGACCTCCGAGGTCTACTTGAGAAGAAGCAAGCAGAGTTCCGTGCGGAGGACCAGGAAGCAGCTGAGGAGATGAAGAAGTTACTTGCTGAATTACTAGCACAGGAGGACGGTGTTGAATCTGGTGCTACACAGAAGTCTGCCGTAGAACTGACACGGCAAGTTGCCGCGCAGATTGAAAAGAATCTGGAAAGACTAGCCAAGCGCGCACAGGTTAGTTATACATTGTCCCTACAGCCCTCGACTTGCGTCAGTCGAACCAGAGTGAGACTAGGGTCCTTTAAGTCTTCCCGTGGCTACAGAAAGCGGCACTATCATTGCACGGATCAGCCATTTGGCAAAATGCCTGTCTTGTTGGCAATGAATGCCCCAGGCCTGTACCAGATGAGTCGCTTTCTCGTCACACGATCTAGGTCTTGATGCTCAATTGCTTCGACCTCGGGGCTTGACGCCTGGCACTGTTCAACCGATTTGGGTGACTAACCGGACTGTTGTAGTACATTCACCAACAAAACGAGCACATAAAATTCCTTCAGGAGCGCATAAGGCACCTCGAGGACGATTCAAACACGGGTATCAGCAAAGCGCGAGAGGTAAGCAAGAGATTCATGTGCCACACATCACTCCGTACCTTCCGTTGCTCAATTAGCCATCTACTGACTTATCATTCGTGTCACGCAGCTTGAGCTTCAGAAGACTATTGATGCTCAGGCTCGGGAGCTTCGCCTTATAAGCTCTTCATGGTTTGAGATGCAAGGCCGACTGCAGAACAACAATGTCACCATGTCTAGATATCGTCACGGGACCCTGGCCGATGCACATAAGGGTTGGTTGGCCAAACAAAGAAGCGTGGTCGCTGGTCGATAGAGCTGAGGGTTCTGTAAATGTCTTCAATCATGACTCCTCTCTTAAAATTCACAAATTGCGCTTGCTTCTTGTGGGTGCCTTACTTCCACCCCCTCATCGCTTCCCATGTATCGATATGCATTGATATACATGCATCCATCCTCAAGGTGTGCCACACAAGATACCTCCTCTGCACACATCGCTTTTCAGTATACTGTTTATAAAATCACTGTGATTGGACTTTCTTACTTCTTTATAGAAAGAATGCGAATATCATTCGGAGTCTGCACATAGTTCAGTTCTGTTGACAGCATTAAGCGCAGTATACTTCCGTCTGCCGAGACCATCTCCGATGAGATGCCACCCAAACCAACATTTCAAGCCTCAATACTTATTCCCGCCTGAGCTAATGAGCTATTCAAGGCAATAAGACATTAGACTGAATCGGAGGGAAATCTAAAAAGTCCTATGCAATCGAGGTGAAATGTGGAATTCTAACTTCCAACTTCAGAATATAAATAATGGCTGCAAGAGCAGGTGATCACAAATAAAGCATATGACTGAACGATGGGGATTGAGTATTGCGTGGGTCAGGCCTAAATTTTGCTCCAGGTAAGATTAAAGCCTTTATATTTTTGCTCTAAGATCTAATTTATGAGCACTATTATACCTCGCTAGTGAATTGGTGGCCTGTTCAGACATTGAACGTACTTCTGCCAGTCAGTTAGAAAAGTGTTGATTTAAACTGAGATACGCGGACCCCTCGAGAGTTTGAGGTAGTCTTGAATGTTGAACATAGCTGGTCACACCTGGGAAGAAGAGGGAGAGATAAACTACGAAGCTGGATGACTTATATGTTTTGATGCAACAAGCTACAGTGATCTTGATCAAATTTCGTGTCCTGTGGCATTGTGAAGAGTTGTATCGCGCGTTACGCTCATGGAATTATCAACACAAACAAAGAAACAGGGGATTTCTACCCGGGGAGAAACAGCATCTCAGGTTTCGAATCCAAGCACGAGCATGCTTGGCCACGTCAGAAGCTGGTGTTGCGTTCCCTGCCCAGTGGGAGAGAGTATGATAGAGGAACCTCAACATACTACCATCCTGTGGCACTCGCCCTTCACAGAGCTGGCGACTGGGCATCAGCTGGGCAGAAAAGTAGAGATGGCCGCCTTCATGTCAATTCTGCTGCTCACACGTCGAGATGCAGAGCTGCGCGCCGCATTCCAGTCTTTGTCAATTGCTGTTGTCCACTGCGACTGCAACTCGTCGAAACACGTGTCATTTTACGAAAAGTCCCTCCCAAAAGACGTTCGAAAGGGGCATGTTATCAGGTATACAGCCTTCTCAGCAATATCTCGTGAACCCGAATCCGTGACTCTCATGAGAAGGTTGGCCCCAAGAAAGAGGTCTATTGGAATCGTATCCAGGAGGAATCGCCGACATCCGACTATCATACCATAAGGACTAACCCTCCTGCTATCACTTTAGCCTGAAGAAGACTTATTCTTGCGACGCTTCTGACAGGTACGGATTTATTGGAACAGGAATCAATTTTCAAAACTCATGCCATTTGCTTTTTATGTGCAAAGCGACTTGCTGAGCAGCTTTCGCATAGTTATCCTGATTTGTTGCACCCATTCTGTGAGAGTGCTTGAAATGAGAGACTTATGTCAGTCATTGAATTCAGACACTCTGTTTAGACGGCACTGGGGGAACGGAATGGTGGGGCTCCTTTCGGTTTGCTTCATGAAGAAAGCGAACTTGGCTACAAGGAATTAAAGCAACAGGTGTAGTGTCATATTAAGTGGAGATGTATGTCTTCAGACCCAGTCGCGATACTGTCATTCCAAGCTCGTGAAAACAAAAGAAGAAAGTCTTGTCTATGAATACGCAAGGCTCAACAGACTGCTCGATTTTGGCACCAGAAAAGCCCCGAAAGCGAACATAGAAGTGAATCGTGTCCCAAAAAGCAAAGCACCCGCTATTATAATCAACATTTAATTACTTTTTTACACAACCTGACCAAACGCAGGGATCAGCGTCTGAGCCAGCCAGAAGCTGAACACAAGCTTGGGTCCAGTCATCAAAAGCTTGGGGGTCAAGCCCTTGAAGAAACTAGTGAAACCCTCGTTCTTCATCATGTTGGACACGATCCGGAAACCAGACTCGGGGTTTTCGAAGTTGCGGTTCTGGATGCGGGTCTTAATGACGTCCAGAGGAGCAGACACAACCAGCGAAGCACTAGCACCGCAGATGGAAGCCACGAAATTTTGACCCCAAGTGGCGGAGTTGTAATCCTTCAGTTGATAGATGTACTCCTTGGCGAAAGCGGAACCACCAAAAAGCTGTTCACAACTGATTAGCAACATTTTGCGTGATACTGGAGGGGATATTATGCATACAGCGAAAGATCCAGGAGCGTTACGGGCTGCAGTCCAGCCAGCGCCGCGGTACAGACCCATACCCTCATCTTGAATGATCTTGAAGAGGCCACGACCACGGAAAGCCTCCGGGTTAGTCTGACGCTTGATCTTAAGAACATCGAGGGGTAGGAGAACAATCTCTCCGATACCGATCAAACTGGGATCAGTGTCAGCGGAAGGGTCCAAGTCATGAACATCCGATGTACGCACCTTCCAGCTGTCGCGTGCATGATGGCCTTGCCAGTTCCCTTTCCGAAGGCATTGTCGAAGTCGGAGCCGTGGTGCTTGGCCAGATAATCACGAGCAAAGGGCTGACCACCGTACTTGTAGATACGCTGAAGGACCTTGTAACCGGCGGCGTAGCCAAGACCGGGGAAGAGAGAGGTAAACTTGCGACCAGCGGGAGCGTCGGCAAACTCCTTGAAGATAACCTTGTTCATGGCTTCAGTGGAGGAAATCTGGTGCAAACATTTGTCAGAAAGACCTTGAAAACGCATGAGTCTGAGCGAAAGGTTCATATTATCTTACGCGAGACTGGTTGCTCATCAAACGCTTGGCAATGGTGTCGACCTGCCAGGTAAGTTAGCACATTATCTCAACGAATGCGCGTTATCGATGCCGTTCAAGGCAAAAAAATTGGTGCATCCGTACAGGGTGGAAGACCATGAGTTCCGTAATACCGGCCGTTCCTAAAGACAAACCCGATTTAGTCACTGACCACCGGCGTTGACGATTCCTGAAGCTGTGCACAAACACTTACCAGAGCCTAGAAGTCGAGCAGTCGCAGATTCTCTCTTGACATCTTTGGTGGCAGAGCCAGCACCGGCTTGAACAATGGCGGGGGACATATTGACTTTGGGTGATCGAAGAGGCGAAAAATCTCAGTAAATTTTTTCTTTTCCTGTTTGGGAGTATGAGTCTTAAAAGTATTGTAGAAGATGAGAGCAGTAGGAGAGACCACGAGAAAACGACTCACCACCAGAATCAAAGGGGCAAAGCACGACCAAAGCCAGACAATGCAGCAGGAAAAGAAAGGAAGGGGGAGAAAAATAAAAAGGCAGACGCACACCAGCAAAGAGAGGAGAAGGGAAGAGAAAGAAAGCACGGAGAGAGGGTCAGGGCCGCCAGCGACTTTCCCGACGACTTTCTGCGCCGACTCGGAACCAGTCCAGCGGCCGCAGCGCACGGATAAACCCTCCTAGTCTACTTTGGGCCTGGCACCACCGGCCGTGAATCGGAGCCGCTCTCTAGAGCCTGCTTAGATCAGCGCCATGAGTCCATTCACTCCATTGCAGTGCCTTCCTTGTTCTTTTTGGGCTGATGATTGTGCAGTCTAAAACAGCCATAAGGTACCCGTACCCAACTCTTACTTACCAAAGCTGAAGTGTCCCTGCAGCTCCAGCTGCTGGCTATGGAAGCCATACATACCTACCTTACCTAGTATATACATACATACGTTGCTGCCGATGAAGATACGGAAATGGTCCACCTCTTCCCAAGGCAACCTCAGACTGTGCAACTCAAAGTCTCCATTCATTCAGCACCCTCTTATTCTGGGGTCTGGCCCCAATTATACGATTTCAAGTGAAGAAGACGGCTCGCCAAGACAACAATAGAAAAGCAAAAAACACAAATAGCACCGAGAAAACGCCGACGGACAATAGATCAAGAACACCAGTGACTAGCAAAGTCGAGTTTGCCTATCTTGCTACAGCCTCCGACTGATGCATCTCCTGACTAAGAGATCGGCCCAGAAGTGCCAGAACGAAGGAATATAACGTTGGCGCGACTTGAATCTTTGGAGATCAAGCAAGACGGATACGGACAGGTCGACCAGCGGCTAGTAGTCACCGAACGTGTTCTCGCCAGAGTACCTTGTGACGAATATCAGATCAGCGAACATAATCCACAGGGTGTCGATCTAGAGCTTACGTTATGTATAGAAAGCCATCCTCATCCTTGTGTTCTTCGTAGATACTGCTCATGAGCGCTGCCGTGGGTGGAAGGACCTCGTCAACGAAGATAAAAATGGCCTTCTCGGGAGATAGCTTGATACGCTTGCGGATCACGTAAACGAACTGCCCAACGGTGAGATCTGCCGGAACCAGATATTTCTTCTTGTCAATAGTAGCGATATCTGACTTCTCGACCTTTTCGCAAATCACCTGTGCGGAGAGGGCGCGGTTAGTATCGCGAAGAAGCGGTGAGCCACGGAGACACAATGATTGCCTGTGGACGAAGAAAGCTGAACTTGAATGGGCATACCGGAATCCGATCCGCGTACTTCTGACGGATACGCTCTGCCTCAGCTTTGCGCTTCTCAAAAGGGTGCTCGTCCTTGAACTTGGAACGCATGTTGATGAGGGATCGGAGCGATTAGTGGGGAGAGTGAGACCTATAGAGATCGGGAAGACACCGGGAGTTGCGATAAGGTGATCCTAAGCAGGGACGATGTCCAAGATACTATAAGAGCGATGGAAAGGAGTGGAAAAGGTTGATAAATGGTTGAATCGATGTACGGATGGATAGACAGATGAGACAAGGGTGGAAGGAGGATGAACGGTGATGACAAAAGGCTGATGACAAAAGGCAGCCAGCCCCGCGTCATGGAAGAGAGAAGTACGGGCTGATAAGGCCGCCAGGCAAGTACGGATCACGGGGAACGGAGGCGGTGAGCCCGCGCCTCCGCACACGTTGGGGTTGACTCAAAGCAAGGTCAGGTGAGGATGTTCACTCATTTCAACCAGTAACTATGTCGTCCTGTTTTGTCATTGTTCCTTCACGTGAAGGCAGTTATTCGTCCAACTGACCCATGTCGGATGATCATGTCGCTTGGGTGCTATCATTGTAATGACCCTAAAACCATATACAAGCCAGATCACTTAGATTCTAGACTGAGGATGATGTTTGGGGTCCCTATTTACAGTAATTTGGGTACATTGCCTCCACCTGAACCAGTAAATTATCAGGAATAGCGGGTGCTAGGTAACCACATGTCATCTATCCGTACATATCATCTACACGCATGTCTACCAGCATGATTGCCCGGATATTGTTTCTTAAGTGAAAAACTGAAGCCTCAATTAGTTTAAAGATGAGAGAAGCACTGAAAGCTCAAAGTAGTTATTTTATTCACCTCCAGATACTGACACGATCGATCAGTACTGTAACTACGTACCGAGAAGAAGCACGTGACAAATCGAGACAGAGCCTGTCTGTCAAACAGCACAAACAGCACTCTACCAAGCCGCCCTGCGCGGGTGGTCCCATACTCTTTCGGAGCAAATGAGCTAGCCAATTATTATTCTCCCGTGGAGTGCGCACCATCTACTAAGTACTTTCTGCTCCAGACCATACGACGAAGCCTCGGAGGACAGCGAGCGCGAATCTGGCACCACGCGATTCTTGAAAGATCAGCCAATTCCACGATTGCCCGCCAACAATGGTCATGGCCCGGCCATATATGCCTCTGCGGAGCGCCCTTCGTCAAACCACTTCTCGAACTCCATGCAAACCCCGAGGCGTCTCAGGATCGTTTCGCAGATACTTATCGGAGCAAAAGCCACGCGACCCCAAGCCCTTCACTGTGTGGAAGCCATACCTACGGCTAGCAATCGGTGTTCCGTTCATTGCTGCCCTCATTTATTCAATGGTAACCATAAATAACCTCAGCTCCGCACCATTGGCCTGTATCTGACCTTCGATCCATTAAGATGACAGGTGAAGTGACTGAGCTTGACTCGCCGTCGATTGTAGAACTCGATGAGGCATTGAAGAAACAAGCAGCAATCAGCGAGACGTCACCTATGCGCCTGCGCATGGAGAAGTTGATCAAAGAACACCAGCAGAAGATTGTGCAAGAACTAAGCAGAATAGATGGAAAGCAGTTCAAAAGCGACGAATGGACGCGCCCTAACGGAGGCGGTGGGATTTCCTGCGTTCTTCAGGATGGTAATGTTTTCGAGAAAGCTGGGGTCAATGTATCAATTGTCTACGGAGAGTTGCCTCGCCCCGCTATCGAAAAGATGCGAGCTGATCACAAGTCCTTTGTCGGGGCTGATGTTGATTCACTGAGTTTCTTCGCTGCTGGACTTTCTCTGGTTCTGCACCCACACAATCCTATGGCGCCGACAGTCCATCTGAACTACCGTTACTTCGAGACGTCAGACCCCAAGGATCCAATCAATGGTGACAAGAACTGGTGGTTTGGAGGTGGCACTGACCTGACCCCGACCTATCTCTTCCCTGAGGATGCCAAACACTTCCACCAGACAATCAAGGATGCTTGTGACCGACACGATGCTACATATTACCCCAAGTTCAAAGCCTGGTGCGACAAGTACTTCTACCTACCTCACCGCCGTGAGTGCAGAGGCGTCGGTGGTATCTTCTTCGATGATCTTGACGCTAGCTTCTTAGAGTCATCATCCACCTCATCACAGAATCCGCAGGAGACGCTCTTCTCGTTCGTGTCGGATGGGCTCGCTTCTTTTCTTCCGTCCTATGTTCCCATCATTGAGCGCAGAAAGGACATGCCTTTTACACCCGAACAGAAAGAGTGGCAGCAGCTTCGTCGAGGTCGCTATGTGGAGTTCAACTTGGTGTACGATCGTGGTACCAGTTTTGGTCTCCGTACCCCAAATGCTCGAATCGAAAGTATTTTGATGAGTCTTCCTCGTACGGCAAGTTGGGCCTACATGGATCCAGTGTCTGGGACCCGCACCGAGGAACTTGACTCAGAGGAAGCGCTGCTAACTAAAGGAAAAGAGCATGAGAAGGAGATCATGGACGTCTTGAGACATCCCAGACAATGGGTCTAAGGATTATACCGGTGGTTTTTCATTCTCACTTTATTGTACACTACGAGCTGCTCCAATCCTTCTTCTGAAACATTATCTTGACTCGTATATGTTATGACAGTGAGGTTCGCATGGTTATGTATAAATAAGATATGATGATCACTATCCATAGCAGGCTTAGACATAGGCAGCAGACCAGCACTTTTTCTGGCCACCATACTTATCGATATAAGAAACTGATACTTGCAAGACTAGTATGCGTTAACATATGATTAAGTTCTAGTTTTGTTCTCTAAATGTTATCAGCAATCCATGGATCTATCCATGATCGTGTCGAATCATTGCTTCCAAGCTCTCATTAGTAGTACTCATTCATGCTGTTCATCCTCGAACGCTCAGGCTTGCCCGTACACTTTTTCAGTTGAAAGTCCCTGTGCTCAGTGGCTTGTATCCATTGGTTCTCTACTTCAAGCAATGTAATCTTTTTAGCTAGTGGCCTTTGAGGTCTCAGGGGTAGAGTGTGATCTCGAAGTCGAACTGAAAAGCCGGCTTCCAACAACCCCAAGCCCAGTTCCTGTCAACCTTGCCCATTGTATCAAGGCTAAACCTTTCTGAATAGAGTAGAATAGGGGGACATGATTGGAGATTCAATGAATTGTGGATAGTTGGAAGCACAACTTGACCAATTCTTGCCCGAAGTCTTTCAACCAGAGAGTATTTTTACTAAGCCGCTTTCGTGGCACACCACGCTAGTAACACGATCGGCCAACGAGATCGGCCGAGATACAACCACCTCTTATGCCCACTATTGTGGTAGCAACCCTCACAACTCGCCTTCCAATCACTTGGTCGCCATTGTAAACCATTTCAAGATGCCCATCTACCTAATTTCTAAGTATGTCTTCCCCGGTCTGATTCATCCTCTCTAATCCATTTATGCCTGCCTCAAATCCACCCCAGACATACTCCCTTCCCCTCCAGCTCTGACAATGAGTCAAATTGCAAGACCACAACACCAACCGCGACGCGACCCATGATGACTTAGCTAAAATCTGGTCTCGAAATTGAATATAGAGCCGCCGACCCACTCTTCGCCTTCGCCATAGGCACCTCCGCCGCCCTTCTGCGCATCCAGCGCGAACAGCGCGAGAAATTTCCCGAGCGAGCTGAGGACATCAGTATCGGCAGTGTGCTGCAGCTGGGGACGAGTCGTGTACAACGCTGGTGGGCGGGCGAGTTCGCAGCGCTGTGATTGATCGCAGGAGCAGGAATTCTCTCTGACATCTGTCGGGCATTGTGTGTCCGCCTGCTCTGTTCCCCGCAACCTTGCCATAATCATAATCTGGTCGGCTGGATGGTCCTGGGTACGAAGGGATCAATTAGATTTGAGCTGAGTTGGCACGGCCGACGAAGCAAGGGCGGAGTTTGAATATCGCTCAATGATCGTCATATCGAGGCCTTTGCTTGATGGTCTGTAAACACATGGTGTGTGCTTTATGCAGAACTTGCTGGCTTTAAATGGAATTGGTCAATTCACGTGCGGAGCCTATACTGAGATGTGGTTGTATAATATGGTGCGGTGCTAAGAGGACGACATCTATACTTGTGCAACTAAGGGGATCTCAGAATGAATGGGTACAGTACTATACTGCAAACCGGACTCGGCAGACGACAAATGGATCTGGGCAGAAGAGTGGTGAATTGCTCACATGCCTAAAACCAGAATCTATTGATTCGTGACCACTTACTTTGGTGTAAGTTTGGATTTAAGGAACAGGAATGGTCTCTAGCATCTTCACTCTTCTCTGTCAGAAATCCATCACGGGAGAAACCAATAGCAAGAAGAAGTAGCATACAAAGCCTGCCTACACAAGCTAGGCAGTAGTAGACTCCGTGTGTTTGTCCTTATGGTGGGGTTTGTTGTAGGGGATGACCATCAACTGCTTCGGTATATATTTGTTCTATCACTGCTAGCATATAACCTTCAGGTAACAATTCTCTACTTATTGTAACAACGAGTACAAGGGGGCGACGAAGCTTGCCTGTTTGAATGGTGACACGGTATAGAGTCTACTGTTCAGAATAAGTGGTCATTAGATTTGAGCATAGGCTAAGATAAACCGGCATAGGTATCTCAAAACATTTGTCAATCAACAAGGGTCGTCTCAGGGTTCACACGAGAATTATCCCTAGGTTACTGTACATGATCAAGGACTATATATGACTATATATATCACCAGCATCAACCTATAACGAAAAGTCATAGACCCGAACCTGGGAAGAGATCAACGATAGAACGAGCACTTGAGGTAATGTGTAATACAAGTTCCTCACAACATGAATTGCGAAATCCTGGTAAGGAGGATTCTACCTATCGAGATCGAAGAATTAGAATCTACATGCTGAGACAAGAGTCCGAAGACCAAGCAGTATTAAAACAGTTATTGTATTCGTCGAAAGGAAACTTTTCCCTCCTTATTTCTGCAGAACAGATCATCATGCAGCGAAGACTAAACCTAGAATCTATGCAATCATGCACAAGAAAAGGATCCCATAATTTCGTAAAAAAAAAAAAGACATGAAGATTAGAAAATGCAAAGAAAACGGCCAGGGGTAGTAAGAATTAAAGCAGAACTGCAGATTGAGACATTTAATCAAGCTCCTCAGGGCCCTCCTCAACATCGTCGGCAGTGCGAGTGGCACCGGGGGCGGCACCGCCAGGGGCACCACCAGCGGCACCGTAGGCAGCGGAGATGATGGGATTGGCAACGCCCTCAAGCTCCTTCTGCTGAGACTCATACTCCTCCTTGGTGGCAGTCTGGTTGGAGTCGAGCCAGCTGATGGTCTCGTCAATCTTGGCGGTGACCTTTTCCTTATCGGCATCGTTGATGGTGAGCTTGCCCTCGCTGAGGGTGTTCTTGAGGGAGTAGGCGTAGGACTCAAGACCGTTCTTGGCCTGGATACGGGAAGCCTCAGCCTCATCCTCAGCCTTGAACTTCTCGGCATCCGCAAGCATGCGCTCAATCTCTTCCTTGGAGAGACGACCCTTGTCGTTGGTGATGGTGATCTTGTTGGTCTTACCGGTACCCTTCTCGATAGCGGAGACGTTCATGATACCGTTGGCGTCAAGATCGAAGGTAACCTCAATCTGGGGAACACCGCGGGGAGCGGGGGGGATGCCAGTGAGCTCGAACTTGCCAAGCAGGTTGTTGTCCTTGGTACGAGCACGCTCACCCTCGTAGACCTGGATCAGGACGCCGGGCTGGTTGTCGGAGTAGGTGGAGAAAGTCTCGGACTTCTTGGTGGGGATAGTGGTGTTACGCTTGATCAGAGCAGTCATGACACCACCAGCAGTCTCGATACCGAGAGAGAGAGGGGCAACGTCGAGCAGGAGAATCTCGTTGGTGGACTTGGAAGAAGTGTCACCAGACAGGATAGCAGCCTGGACAGCGGCACCATAGGCAACGGCCTCATCGGGGTTGATGGACTTGTTGGCCTCCTTGTTGAAGAAGTCGGAAACGAGGCGCTGGATCTTGGGGATACGAGTGGAGCCTCCAACCAAGACAATCTCGTGAACGGAGGCCTTGTCGATCTTGGCATCACGAAGGACACGCTCAACGGGCTCCATGGTGGAGCGGAAGAGATCCTGGCAGAGCTCCTCAAAACGAGCGCGGGTGATGGAGGTGTAGAAGTCGATACCCTCAAAGAGAGAGTCGATCTCAATGGAAGTCTGGGCGGCGGAAGAGAGAGTACGCTTGGCACGCTCGCAGGCGGTGCGGAGACGGCGGAGAGCACGAGCGTTGGTGGTCAAGTCCTGCAAGATTTATGTTAGCATGATAATTCAAATATCAAATGGGTGGAAATGATATTCCCAGTAAGCTTCTTACCTTCTTGTGCTTTCTCTTGAATTCATTGACGAAGTGGTTCACAAGGCGGTTGTCGAAGTCCTCACCACCGAGGTGAGTGTCACCAGCGGTAGCCTTGACCTCAAAGATACCCTCCTCGATGGTCAAGAGGGAGACATCGAAAGTACCACCACCCAAGTCGAAGATGAGAACGTTACGCTCACCCTCAGTCTTCTTGTCCAAACCGTAAGCGATGGCAGCAGCGGTGGGCTCGTTGATGATACGGAGAACGTTCAAGCCAGCAATGAGACCAGCATCCTTGGTGGCCTGACGCTGAGAGTCGTTGAAGTAAGCGGGAACAGTGATGACAGCGTTGTTGACGGTACCACCAAGGTAAGACTCAGCAGTCTCACGCATCTTGGTAAGGATCATGGAAGAAATCTCCTCCGGGGTGAACTGCTTGGTCTCGCCCTTGAACTCAACCTCAACGATGGGCTTGCCAGCCTTGTCATCGACGACCTTGAAAGGCCAGTGCTTCATATCGGACTGAACCTCGGCATCCGCAAAACGACGACCGATCAGACGCTTAGCATCGAAGACGGTGTTGTGAGGGTTCATGGCAACCTGGTTCTTGGCGGCATCACCGATCAGACGCTCGGTATCGGTGAAAGCCACGAACGAAGGAGTGGTGCGATTACCCTGGTCGTTGGCAATGATTTCGATACGGTCATCACGGAAGACACCCACGCAGGAGTAGGTGGTTCCCAAATCGATACCGACAGCGGGGGCCATGATGTGTGATGAAGTGTGTGTGTGTGTGTGAAAGGGGGAGAATTCGTTAGGAGGGGTATGCGCGATGTATAGAAGTCTCTAGGATGGGTATAGGAGACTTGTGAAGCGGTTTAGAGGAAAGGGAGGAGAGTTGATAGTAGTGAAGTAGTAGTAGTAGTTGAGTAGTGTAGGAAATGGATGAATGCCAGGATCAGAAATATGAGCGAGGGTCAACGTTGATATAGTGGTGGGCGGTCAAATGGCAACTCCAGCGAAGTTTCTAGCAGGCGGGTGTTCGATAGGGATCCATGGGGTTCGATGGACTTCCAACTCTTCCACCCATTCCGTTGTTAGCTTCGAGAAGACCGCCTGCAGTTCTGGGCTATTCGATTCTAAGACCCCGAAATGTGTGGGATGATTTTCGTTGCTGCCAGAATAGACTACAAGCTACCACATGCTACCATTAGTTACTGTACTACTATGACTACCTTACTTACCAGTGACTAGTAGTACTAGAAGTAATTACTTGACCCTGACCTACAGAACTGTAACGAAAGCAGAAGAGGTTTCCATTTTTTGGGTGGCGGCGGGATAGCTTTTTTTTTTTTCTGCCAGGCTTTTCGGGCGGCGGTTGGCGGGGTACCCGTGACGTAATACTCTATTCTACCCAAAGACTTTTTTATTCTTTGTTTTTCTTTCTCCGTTGAATTGGCCTTCAGCTCTTTTCTGAGTCATAATCTCAAAAGCTCAGGGGAAAATGAACGCTTAATTTACTCCGTAATACTTAGTACTCTTCAGTGAACACAGTATAGTTTACTGATATGGACCAACACCTACTACTATGCCTACAGTGACCCTACTTACACTTTTTCGTCCTCTGATCGGTTTCCCCAAACCCCTGCTAGGGTTGTACGTACAATACATACACAGTACTCCGTAGTATCTCAGACTCCGGATCAGAGCGGGAGCAATATTAAAAGCTGATAGTAATAGTCCGCTCTCCGCGATGAGAAAATCCATTCCATGGAACTGGACCGAATTAAAGCTATCATAATGACGGCCGACACTGTTCTCTTCATTGTCTAGACTCTTGATGGTCTGCTGCGTAGCATGCACAGTAGGTTAGTACCGCTTGGCAGGCTAGGGGGAAGGGATTCAACTCGTGGACCTACTGCTTAGAATGCTATACTTTAGTACAATTCTATATAAACTTGGACGCGGTTACTTGTGCTATATCGCAGGACTTATGATGCTATGCCAAAGGTCCAGCTGGGTAGTACGGAGTATTTGGTGAATAGATGTAATTGAAAAAGGTTTCGCACCTAGATGGATATATGATGTAGACAGGTTACCATCCCAAACATGCCACGAGTGTTTAATAAATTCTATGTACTGATTGTGATTTCATGAATATCTGCACTAAGATCCTTCTTTTCCATGTGGCTCTGCCGCTAAGACTCTCTTGTGGTTCTTTCTTCTGAATCATCTTCTTAATGCATTCTTGATATAGACCGTATAGGCCTGACGACAATTACAACTACGAGAAGTAGTACTAAAGCAAGTATAAGGATAGAGACTATCTTTTTATATGTTGTCCAAGTTGAGTTTTAGTAGTAGTGTGAGTACTACTCTGTACAGGTCACCACCTATATCTTAAACATAAATATGGTTTGCCACACTGAATTAGTGTCCATAGCCAGGGTGTCATACAACGAAACCGGATCTTGTAGCTTAGCTCTGATCGGTTTAATCAAGCTACTAGATGAAGGAAGAACAGTACGGAGTAGGATAAATTGATGAGTCTTTGAAAGCATCTCCATCCTCTAGAAACGCCAATTCACACTTCTCAGTCAAGACTTGTACCGGGTCACAGAACATCCATCAAGCTCGAGCAATCGAGAACAAAGCAAAGCACCTAGTATGGTATGCCCGCCCTCGAAGCTAATGGTCTAATTGATTGTACAAAGGCAATATAGTCTAAGTTTTTGCTACAATAGTTAAACATAAGAACATTAATAAGTAAATCAGTATACTCGGGGTGAAACTGCCAGGTATTCTTTCTTGATATTGTCAGGCATGTCGTCGACGTTGTCTTTGTTCGCTAAGATATGGTATACTTCTAGTCAAGTATCTGTGAGGAAACAGGTAAGCTCCAAGGAAGCATACGTTTGAAACGCTTGAGTTGCTGAAAGTCTAAGCGCCTATAATTTCACATCGTTTTCCATTGCCATCGGGTCAAGCCTGAGGCCGGCCGTTCTCACTCATTTTGGCCGATGGATCCCTGGAGTTGCAGAGTCGACCGCGATCTCAACCCTACCTATTGCACAGGCGCAGGTTAATCCTTTCGCTACGAGGACTAGAGAAACCTAAATACAACTGATTAGCCTATGACACTCTCTGCAAGAGACAGTTCCGCCTAGACTAGTGACAGTATTGTATTCTGGCTGACGGGGGGCATTCATCGCGACTCGTGGGAGACAGAGAATATCTGGAAGACTACTTCCTGGCGAGACGGCAGAAATCTTGCTATTCAGCACCAAGTGAAGGTAGGTAGTAGACTGTTGCTTCTTCGAAAACACTCGAGAGCCAATGAAGAAACCATGCCCCTTCAGGTAATGTGCGGTCCTGTGAGGGACTTACATGGGTAACATGTTTGTTATGCAAAAAGTGGTGGGTGCCTCAGTCACGGGAGCCGCAGCTGTGCCGCCGCCCTGGGCAACCATCATTTCCCAAGCTGGATCTCCCTTGCGACTGGAACTTACCAACTTCTACCTTAAATCCCTGTCTGCATCCTTCTCTCTCTATTCCCTCTACGATTTCATCTAACTCCATTTATATCTCTACCTTCTTCTCGAATTGAACATCTTCATCATGGGTGAAAGCAACCAGGCCACAACTCCCGGCTACGACCGCGCCGCTAACGCCCCCGATGCGTCTGCTTTGGACAAGGGCAAGGGCCGGGCTACCCAGCCTACTCACGAAGAGAACGTGGAGGAAGAGGATAGTGATGAGAGTGAAAATGAGGAGATGGTGAGGCCAACTTCATTTTTGAAAATATCATTGGGCAGTGAAACTAATCAACAATTTTGCGATAATACAGCTCGAAGATGGTATGATACTAGACGAGTCATGTCATCACGTTTAGCACCAGACTAACCCTGTAACTTTTCTGGCAGATGATGATGATGATGGAGACAACCTCGAGCCCATCTCTGCGGACAACATAATTTCCGGTGGCCGTCGTACCCGCGGCAAGACTGTCGATTATCAGGCGGCGGCCGAGAAACTAAAAGCAGAAAACGCGATGGACGACGACGAGGATGATGATGAAGACTATGTCGGCGCGGAAGAGGACGATGATACTGTCATGCGCGGCTGAAGAGCATGATTTTCTAATAACACGGACAAAATCATCATAACATACCACCATTACCATAGGGGCGGCGAGTGCGAACGGGCAATTGGTTGATAGGCGCAGGCAGGATTTTCCGGGGACTTCATCGGGTTTCTTAACGTCGGTTTGCTTTTGCGATTTAATCGATGCTGGCTTTCTTCTAACTTGGGATAAAAAATATGCTGTGCATGTTCCTGTGTTTGTCCGCGCACGGATCTTTGCTATCTATATGTGCATGCATCCATAATCGGGGCCATCCTGGGTTTACACATATCGCCTCGCGAGCGATTGTATAAACGAAAACTACAATCCAATCAATTTACAAGAGCATAGTGGGGTCGCTGAAATGAAAAATTAGGAATATACTTACTATCTACCTACTAGTAGCAGGTATGTACAGTATAGTTCTATAATTATCATTATATATACGTATGTATTTATATATATATAAACAAAGCTTCTGTTATTGGATGATACTGGGCATTGAGTACCTAGTACCTACTAGCCGTAGACCCCTGTAAGCTCACGTGCCGGCGACGTATCCGCCCGAGCTGAGAGGCCCGGTTAACATCCAGCCAGCCTGTTCGCCGAGTCAACTGCCGCAACCAAATTGCAATCCTTCGTTACAAAAGGGCCTGGCAGTCAGCCCAGGTCATATCGACAGGCTGTCACTGGTTGAGAGCATCTTGTAGGGGTTTTCGATATGTTCGCTAGCTAGGTTGCACAAGCTGCTGATATAATACTTCTCGTTGAATCTCACACACCCACGACGACGAAACGACACGTTATGGCCTCACGGTATGTATGCCGTTACCCAATATTCACGTCAGCAATGGAGGGAATAGGATCTTCTGATCACAACCACTAGATTTACACGTTCAAATCTCCATCAGCGCGATCCTCGTGCTTCATCATCCCTGTTCGACTCCTATGGCGGCGATTCGCGGCCGGCCAGTCGATCCCCTGGCCGCATAGGCGGATACGGGTACGGAGGCTATACTTCACCGACTGGCGAGGGCTTGAGGAATAACGGGCCTACAGGAGGGTACAGAACAGCAACCCCGAATAAAAAGTGAGTAACGGAACCCGAGCAGCGGACGGTGTGTCGAAAAGCGGGCGATTGCGCAATCTGCTTACAATCTGCGCCGCATAGAGGCCATTATTCGGATGCTGTTCTTGACCACCTCGAGTCACAAAACGATGCGGAAGTGGAGGGAATCAGCGCGAAAGTCAAGATGCTGAAAGATGTAAGCGATTACATGATTCTTTCCAGGCCGACGATACTAATTGTTCGCTTACAGCTAACCGTAGCTATTGGTGACGAGATTCGAGATACGTCGGCAATCTCAGATCTCAATAACACTTTCGAGACCACCAGAGTGCGTCTTCGCGGTAATATGACCCGTATGCTGCGGATGGCAGAACGCACCGGTGTGGGTTGGCGAGTCTGGCTGGCGTTCTTCCTGGCCGTCTTCTTGCTATTCGCATACGTGTGGATAACCTAGTCGATGGGCGCAGGCACCCTTCTCAAAATCGCTCAGCTCAATTCTGTCGCAAGTATCAGTGCACACATGCGGTATGGTATATGCACATACAAAACGGGATCCGTTTCTTGCTCAGCACGCATGTCATCCTATCTGTTTTCTTGTGCTTCGTTACACCTTCCTCTTCATACTAATGTTTCTTTCTTCTCGACCAACATGATTCAGGCATCGTGGTGTTTTTTTCTCCACAGTAAACGGGCCTTCAGGCGTTGCACTTCACATAAACACTCGAATTACCTCGGCATTTTGTTCTTGTGGAAAATGTACTTAATACTTGTCGTCTCTTTCTCATGCTAAGCCATCTTCAATGCTATGACTGAGCATCGTCGGAGTTTGGTCTCTTGGGCGGTTTAGGGCTACCCACTCTAATCAATTGACAGAGATCTTAGTGCTTTTGGTCCTAAATGTACACTGAAATATAGATATGAGTATGCATATGGTCTCGAGGACATGCCTAGTTGAATATCGTCTACACTCTGACCAGCACATGTAGCAATACAAGCATGACGTTCAATGGTCAAATTGGTCGGCCTCGGCTACTCACTTCCTATTGACAAGTCACATCTTGAATTTCGTGAAGTAGGTTGACTCGTACGAACGGGCCTGAGTTGTAAAGACTCGCTGAGTATGGGTTTCCCACTTGAAGATCATTATTAGTATGGTATGTATGGGTATCTCTGTGACGACTCATGTGAACCATATAGACTGTTTTCAAACAGCAGATTCGTTCGTGTGTCTGACAATTCAGTTCTATGCATGCTCGGCTCGACGAAATTCCCAATCCAAGCCATTTCCATGGCCACACCCAATAAGTTTCCACACACCGCGAAACGTGGTAAACCACCAAGGCACTAAGCGGTCGATATGCCGGGATAATCCTCACTCGAGGCTATCTCTAGGGCCACCCATACGACGACGAGGAAAACGGCTGAAGACACTCCTTCGGCTGGCCTGGCTAGCTATCGAGGCTCGTAGATCTTCTTCATCTACTAGCATGCTGCTAGTATCGAACGCATCTCCACCACCACTCCAGCGCTGCAGAAACCGTCGCTGAGCCTCTGTCTCGCGTTCCCGTCGCATAGGCACTGGAGGCAAGCCACCACGGTTACTGGTACTTGCTCTCAGGTTCTGAGTGAATGGGTCCTGGGCGAAACTGACGTCCTCTTCATCATCAAATTCGGCATCAGTGTCCGTATGTTGCCATTCCTCCTCCGCTCCTTGTGCGTAGTGATTGTCTTCGGCCTCGGGAATATCATCGTCCAGATCGCGGCCCATAGCACCGTTTTGACTCATATCCTCCTCATCACCATAATCCTCCTCCGCCGCACTAGGTATATCAGCGTCCAAGTCTGGTTGGTCATCAAACTCCTCATTCTCTTCGTCCAAGTCTTCTTCCTCCTCCTCATCATCATATCCGGAAAAGGCCTCGGGAATGTCGTCATCCAGATCCCGTTCCATAAAAACATCCTCATCCTCATCCACAACACTTTCCTCCTCCAACTCTTCCTCTCCTTCCTCAATCAGACCGTCCGCATCAGCTTCAGGGATATCGTCATCCAAGTCCCTCTCCATTCCCGTATCATCCTGCATACCCTCCCCGTCCATTGTATCCTGCGTCTGGCCCCCAAAGTCATCCATGCCCGCCTCGGCAGCCGCAGCCGCAGCCGCCATCTCCGCAGCCGCAGCCGCCAGAGCCTCCTCCCGTTCAGCTTCCTCCTCTTTCATTCCTAGCATCGTCTTTGGGCATCCGGCCGGCTTGATCCACGAATAGCCGAACGAGGCGATATTGTTTTTGCGGGCGCGGAGGGCTCGTTCCTCTAGGAGAAGGGATGAGAGGATGTCTCCTGAGGAGGTGGAGGCACCGCGGCTGGAAGTGGATTGGTTGCTGCCATTGCGGCGGTTGGAACCGTGCGGGTCTCCCAGGGGGTGGTGATGGTGGGGGTGGTTGGATGATGTCGCGGACGTGGAGGAGCGATAGGGCTGAGACGAACCGAACCAGAGTTCGTGTGACTGCGATGTTCTTTTAGTACTCGGAGATGCATGAAGAGATTTGGTGTTATTGTTTGAATATATGGACAACATACATCGCGGGGTGTTATGAGGGGAAGGGAGAGCATTTCGAGTTTCTTGTCTCAGAAGCTTGATAAGGTACGCGTGATCCCGCTGTGCTAGTTGCACATTGCTAGATGGAAGGATTAGTTATTTCAAGTTAAACAATCTTTGTCAGCTTGAAGCATCTGCGAAGACGAGCAAATGGGTTGTTGTGCGATTTTGATCTCGTGCCACGGTAGGCGGAAGACTGTTGACAGTTGCAATGGAACTCGAGGAAAAAACAATCCAAGGGCGGAAGAGGAGTGATTCTCCGCGTGCGGGGAAGGCCCCAACGGTTGGAAGCTCGCCCGCACTCGGAGTAAGTCCCGGGAGCGAGTTCTGATGCCAGGAGTGACGTTCCAACACAGTACATGCTATTGCAGAGCATCGCAGCTAGATTCCAAATTTGATATGACGCATCTTGATTATGCATTATCATAGAGCAGTAACTTATTGGTTTCTTGACACCGATACTCCTTGGTTAGCACAGAACGAACTCGTAGTCCCTCCACGGCCAATGGGGATAAGCTGCTGGAGCCAAGTATATGTGCTAATTCTACACAAGACTTGACACAAGACTTGATGAAGGCATTCACAAGATTATTACTACTATCGATCTCCATTTCTCATCGTAAGATCCGCCCACATACAAGTGACAGTTTAAGGTAGTGGAGAGGGCTACCCTGCGTATGCGCAAGAGGTACTATTTCTGCAATATCTTCCCGGTAGGTGAGCGTCAAGAGCAAGACCAAGGCCGTCGTGATAGATATTCCCATGACCTCTATTTGCTTTGAGCGGGAGAAAGGTAGAGTGTACTTCCTGTACTCCGTAGGTGGTGCACAAACAGTTTGCGAGAATCAGACCATTCATGCGGAGCAGTCTGCTCCACCATAGGCCATCCAGTGTCCACATTTTGTCTAGGCCAGTAGCCTCAGTGCAGCACTGCAATGACAGACTAATAGCTTCGTCCAGTCAGAGGAGGACAAATCATCAGCCAGGGAGGGAGGGAGGACTTCTGCCTACACTCCCCGGAGCATGAACTGATGAGTTAGTACTCCGTAGTATGTACTCAGTACGAGGATGAACAGTGACCGGTTTTCGGCGGCCGTTCTCGTCGCCAATCCCTAGAACTTCCGAGCGGTTACAGGTATTTCGACTCCTCAGTGCATCGACGACAAGACGGATCGCATTCGGTGAACCCAAACCGGTCAAGCCTGAGCAGGAAATCTCTCCGGGAGAACTCGGAAGACGGAAACATTGGCGTCTCCGCTCAGTCATGTGATTATTGTGATGATGTCCGTCTCATTGACCCAAGCAACTTAGATTACCTTGCGCGTGCCCGAAGCAGGCAGCAGACAGCGTCACAACCACTCTGTGGTGTAAGGTAATCGTTTTGGATCTGAGACGTCCGGTTTCGCTGCAACGACTTTCCCAGGTGGTGTATGTCGCCACAGCAAAGAACACTGCAGGTCAGGATTCCATTGCCTGTTCTGACTTGACTCAGTTCGGCCAAGAAGAGAAGTTCGAACTGAATTTATGATATGGGGGGTTTTTAAAATGATTACCGCCATATTGGTCAGAGTTCATCCAAGAGAGGTGTCTTCAGTTGACAAAGCTGAGTTGTAGCCACAGGCTAGCTTCTTTAACACCTGCAACTCTCTAAATATGGCCTGACACAGAAGTTTGAAGTACCAAGCATGGTTGCAGCACAGGATTGTACCCGTGCAAGGACATGAACCATACAGCGTGAAGGGATATGCGAACATCTAGATTGATAATTGTATGAATGACAATTTGCATTACATTTATTGATGTCGGCTATGCTTATCAGTTTTGAGATTCGGAACTAAGCATCCTCCTATCTTTGGTATGTGAACTCCGAGTTCATGAGTGGGCAACTGATTGGTCAAAAGTGAAGGAAAGTCATAGTTCAACTGTAAATCTGTACCTCCGTAAGTCACTGGCAGCAACTCGACGTGGTGAAACGCTCGTATTCCCGGGGGTTGGTCTATGCGAGATTAGCAGCGCCTATTGGCCTGATACCATCCAACCTGCTGCTGCCTTATGGTTGTTAGCTGTTAGTAAGTTACAGTGAACAGTGAACACCGATCCCGGAGACACGGAAAGCTTCGATCCCACGGGGAATGCGGCCACTCAAAAAGAATGGGGAATGGTGGGTGGATATTCTGGGGTATTCGAACGTGGACAATAATACTACATAGATGGCCATATTTATGATTTGACCCAAGGAAGGCCGGGTCGGAAAGAAAAATGAATAAATGTCCAGTCTATGGATGAACGTCGACCAAAAACGCAGGTATTTGTCGACAAGTGGGAAGGGATGACCTGGAAGAATAAGCTGGAAAAATGGCTATAGAACTGTTTTTTAGTTGGTTATCCACTTTGGTCATTAAGGTACTCCGTAGATGGCCCCGAGACCGGGGGAAAGGCCAGCACGCTGCGGCCGGCTGGAGGCAGTGGGAAACGTGGCTCGAAAGAGGAGAAACTGAGAGGGAGGAGCCTGGGGAGGAGGGAGGAGGAGCCCTAGGAGGAACTCCGGGATGAATAGGGAAAGGCGCCCAGCTTGGCCGTTGTCGGAAGGTCTAACTGAGCTGACCTCGAACGGCCGGGCGGACATGAAGCAAGCAAACGCAGGTAGGCCAGATCACCGCTCCGTTCCGACCGTGGGCTGCTCTCCCACCTTCCTGGACCTGCCAATAATACATATACTAGCTGTATTGATGTATGCGCTTGTTATGCTGTTTGTACCAACTTACCGCTGATCGACCAGTGGGGTAAAGCTGTATAGTCAGTTCTTGAGCAATTTCGCTGCTGCACTTAAATCAAATCTGCAAAAAAAAAAAAAAAATAAAAAAAAAAAAAAAAAAAAGGCATCACTTGGTCAATGTTCTCATCACCTGGTTGTGGCGCCTGAGCTGCTGCTCTCAGTAGTAGCGCTGTTGCAGGACGCGTGTGTCCTGTGCACTTGGAGGCTGTTTGGCTTAGTTACAATTCGATAGGCTCAATCTATTGCCATGTTTACCGTGCCAATAGAAATGGAACATGGGGTGTTATGTAGCGTCCCCGGCGATGAACTAACAGCAGTAGGCACCAGTAAGTGACCCTCAAGGGCTACGATGAGTATGCTTTGATTCTCACCTAGCTTGATCGACTTCTCGTCAACGCCATGCGCCTTGCCAACTATAAGTGTTACTACTTAGTACCTACTGAGCGTATGTGGTCTGTGGAGTCTACTCCTCCAGTCCTGTGTTTGTAGATTTTGGTCGTCACATACGATTGCAACGCGAGAGGTAAGTCTTCCCGAGTCAATTGCCCCCTCGTAGGGTAGATAAATACCGCCATTCATGCATCTCCAGTCCCCTGACCACTGCTTGAGACGTTCTCGGAAATAAGCACTCCATCCCTGCATCACCCCACAAACTTTCGAATAAGGAAATGCGAGAAGCGATTGCCCCCGGTACTTAGGTTCTTGATGAGCCTTCGGCCTAAGTCTTGGAGCACAAGACTTGAATCGAAATGTTAGAGTGGAAAGAAGAGGCTAAGAAGATGCTGCGTAGAGCCGATCAGGTTTGATATACACGTTTGGTTAATGGCAACGACATAGGCCGATTTCCTCTTTCCGGATGACTGAACATGGACTCGGCCAAACACATCAAGTCATAAGAATTGAGAAGAGAATGCGAGAGTTGGAGTATCGAACTTGAACCCGATAATTCCACTGGCCTGTGACAAAGGCTGTTTTGAAGTTACGGACTGGAGAGCTCGGGTAAGATATTACGGTGCAGTACGTAGTTACAGTAGCGATGCAGGCAAGGAAGGACTAGCGCCGTCAGTTGAAAGCAACCTTTTTATTTCTGGGTTTGAGACCGAAGCTCCACCGGCCTGGATCTTGACGTAGTCGCAACCTAATCTCCAGCCAGAAATGTCTTTGACTTGTTAAGCCGCCGCCATGATTGGTGCAAGGGTTGCTTATCTTCCTGCGCTCTAGAAGACCTCCCCAGGTGTAACTGCAGTCATTTCACCTTTCCACTCTCTTCCCCCTTGTATGATGATGATGATGATGCTGGCAGAACATCAAGACAACAAATGATCTTGATGAAAGAAGAGCTTGTAGATCTCTCCGTGCATCTCTATGCATAGTCAAACACCCAAGGCATGTCTGGGTCTTCAGGTGGGCAGCAAGTGGACCGTGCCAACCCGAAAACGACTTCATTATCTTGCTTTGCTTCAGGCGGCTTGGAAGTCTGGTAGAATGCGGATGCTATTTAGTTAACTAGTGGTAAAGAGGAGGAACAACAGTCAAAGAGTGAGTCAGTCCCAAAGCCTTCGTTTCGTTTCCCCTGCGCCCGTCATTCACTGTAAGCTAGTTAAGATACGGTGTACTTTTTTAAACCACTAATTAAAATAATACCACTACCACCATCACCTTCATCACCACCGCTAACTACCACGGAGTACGGAGTACTTACTACTTCTTCCGTCGAACTGCAATTTGCCACGGCCGTCTTTTGACCATCCCCACTGTCGTATTATTCCATGTATGTACTCTTCTTAGCTGAGCCGGTCTTGTAGTACTTGAGCAGACAGTTATCGGAGACTCGGAGTTAGCCACTACGGTAGTCATTCATGCAGCCGCATTGTTCACACAGTGTCTACTGTATAGTGTATTTCATCGAGGTGAACATCCTCGGACCCCTGCCCCCCGTCCGTCTTCCCGCTCTGATTACCCTTTTTATTTTATTTCCTTCCCCCTCCACTATACCCTCCCCCCTCCCTCCCCTCACCCCAATTTCCTCTTCCTCGGGTTCACGGATCGGCGCTTTAAACAATAGATTCTCCCCCCTCCCTCCCTCCTGTTCCCCTCTTCTTCCATTTCATCCCTTCGCTCAAAGCTATACGTTGGGTCATCATAAAAAAGCGCCTCGACTGACCTTCGCCTGCGCTCTCGACCCTTGGCTCTGTGCAAGATAGTCCGCCCCTCCTTCACAGTACAAGCGCTCCCTACCAATTTGTTCGACGGCGGCCCCTACTCTTACTTAGCCGTCAGCAGTCCCACCTCATCTTCCGTTCTGTCATTACATTCTCTGTCGGCCACCGACGGAAGAATGGGTCTGAACCTGGAGGAACTCTATGGCCAATCTATAGTGGACGAGCAGAAACCGAATGAGTATTCGGAGTACCAGCCAAAGCAGGGTTATGGCTGGGCTAACACCTTGCCCGAGCGGCAAGGTCTCTACGACCCCGAATATGAGAAGGACGCTTGTGGTGTAGGCTTCGCCGCGTAAGTGTTTAGCCAATCTCGTTACCAGTGTCAATATGCGCCAAGTCAAGAGCGTCGCAAAATGTGACAGGATAACTGACGAGAACCATTAAACAGACACATCAAGGGAAAGCCTAGCCACAAAATTGTCAGTGATGGTGAGTTGCCTCGCGCCGGCTCTCTCTCCCTTTTTCAGAACCATATACTAATGAAAGCGTTCCCTTACAGCTCGTAACTTGCTCTGTAACATGACGCATCGTGGCGCCGTTGGTTCGGACGCACGAGACGGTGATGGTGCTGGCGTGATGACCAGTATTCCTCACAAGTTCTTCATCAAGAATTTTGCTCGGGAAACCGGGGTGGATCTTCCTCCTCTTGGTCAGTACGCCGTCGGTAACTTGTTCTTCAAACCCGATGAAGAGTCTTTGAAAGAGTCTACCAGCACATTCGAGGAAATTGCAACATCCTTGGGCCTTCGTGTGCTTGGATGGCGTGAGGTTCCCCGCGATTCGACTATTCTCGGCCCTGCCGCGCTCTCTCGAGAGCCCATCATCATGCAGCCATTCGTGGTGCTCAAATCGGCGTATGGCGAAGGCAGCAAGCCTGAAGTCACTGACCCGGCCCAGTTTGACGATAAGACTTTCGAGCTCCAGCTATACGTTTTACGGAAGCGTGCCACTCACGTCATTGGCCTTGCTAACTGGTTCTACCTTTGCTCTCTCAGTAACCGGAACATTGTCTACAAGGGTCAACTGGCTCCAGTACAGGTCTATCAATACTACCATGACCTGGTCAATGTGGACTACGAGGGTCATTTCGCTCTCGTCCATTCTCGTTTCTCCACTAACACTTTCCCTTCGTGGGACCGTGCGCAGCCTCTGCGGTGGGCGGCTCACAATGGTGAAATCAACACGCTTCGTGGCAACAAGAACTGGATGCGCGCTAGAGAAGGTGTGCTGAAATCCGATATATTTGGCGCGGAGCTCGACTCCCTTTATCCCATCGTCGAGGACGGCGGTTCAGACTCTGCTGCTTTTGATAATGTCTTGGAGCTTCTGATGATCAACGGAGTTCTTTCCTTGCCCGAGGCAGTCATGCTCATGATTCCCGAAGCGTGGCAGGATAACCCAGCCATGGATCCGGCTAAGGCTGCTTTCTACGAATGGGCTGCCTGCCAGATGGAGCCCTGGGATGGTCCCGCTCTCTTCACTTTCTCTGACGGTCGCTACTGTGGAGCCAACCTTGACCGCAACGGTCTGCGTCCTTGTCGATTCTATGTTACGGATGATGATAGAATCATCTGTGCCTCCGAAGTTGGTGCTGTTGACGTCGATCCTGAACGTGTGATTCAAAAAGGCCGCCTGCAGCCCGGAAAGATGCTCCTGGTCGACACCGTAGCCGGTCGGATCATCGATGACTCGGAACTGAAGTATACTGTCTCTCACCGACATGATTTCGCCTCCTGGTTAGAGAAGGAGCTCCTTAAATTGCCCGCTATCACAAAAAAGTTGGATGCGCAGAGCGTGGATCTTGCTTTCTCTTTAGACGAGACGACCATTCAAAATGACCCTCGCCTCAAGGCCTTTGGCTATTCCTTCGAGCAAGTTAGTCTGCTCCTTGGTCCCATGGCTGCCGACTCAAAAGAAGCCCTTGGGTCAATGGGCAATGACGCTCCTCTTGCCTGTATTGCCAAACAACCCCGGCTTCTCTACGAATATTTCCGTCAGCTCTTTGCCCAGGTCACAAATCCTCCTATTGATCCGATCCGTGAGGCAGTTGTCATGTCCTTGGAATGCTATGTTGGTCCTCAGGGGAACCTCTTAGAGATGGAGCAGTCACAGTGCCACCGCTTGCTTTTGCCTTCCCCTATCTTAAGCATTCCCGAGTTCAATGCCCTTAAGAATATCAGCCGCGCCCACAAGGACTGGACGGTCAAGATCATTGATATCACATTCGAAAAGCAGAAGGGCGTTCCCGGCTATTTGGAGGCCCTTGATGCCATCTGCGATGCCACCACGGAAGCAATTCAGAATGGCGATAAGATCCTCGTGCTTTCGGACCGAGCCACATCGGCGGAGAGGGTCCCCGTATCCGCTCTTTTGGCCACCGGACTCGTTCACCATCACCTGGTCCGCAACAAATGGAGGTCTCTTGCGGCTATCGTCGTCGAGACTGCGGAGGCTCGTGAGGTACATCACATGTGTGTTTTGGTGGGATACGGAGCCGATGCCATCAACCCTTACCTTGCCATGGAGTGTATCCTCAAAATGAACAGGGAGAAGTTAATTCGTAAACAATTACCTGACGAGAAGGTCATCGAAAATTATAAAGCTTCTTGTGATGGTGGTATCCTGAAGGTCATGAGCAAGATGGGTATCTCGACATTGCAGTCATACAAGGGCGCTCAGATTTTCGAAGCTCTTGGTATTGACGACACCGTCATTGATCGCTGTTTTGCGGGAACCGCAAGCCGAATTCGTGGTATGACTTTCGAGCTTATTGCTCAAGATGCCTTCGCTTTCCATGAACGCGGATACCCTTCGCGCGAGATTGTCGACATCCCCGGTCTTCCTGAATCCGGTGAATATCACTGGCGTGATGGCGGTGAAGAGCACATCAACGACCCGGTCAGCATTGCGAATATGCAGGATGCTGTCCGCACCAAAAATGACAAGTCTTACGAAGCGTATGCCAAGGCTGAACATGAGCAGATTAAGAATTGTACCCTACGTGGTATGCTTGACTTTGACTTTGAGCAGCGGACCCCCATCCCCATTGATCAGGTTGAGCCTTGGACTGAGATTGTTCGTCGGTTCGTCACGGGTGCCATGTCTTACGGATCTATCTCCATGGAATCACACTCTACTTTGGCAGTCGCCATGAATCGCCTTGGTGGAAAGTCAAACACTGGCGAAGGAGGCGAAGATCCCGAGCGGAGTAGGAGATTTGAGAATGGCGATACAATGCGCTCCGCCATCAAGCAAATCGCTTCCGGCCGCTTCGGTGTGACTTCTCACTACCTTGCGGACGCTGATGAGCTACAGATCAAGATGGCACAGGGAGCCAAGCCTGGTGAAGGTGGTGAGCTTCCTGGACATAAGGTTGTGGGGCCGATTGCCCGTACTCGTTACTCTACTCCTGGTGTCGGTCTAATTTCGCCGCCTCCCCATCACGACATCTACTCCATCGAAGATCTCAAGCAACTTATATACGATCTCAAGTGCTCCAACCCGCGCGCACGAGTTTCAGTCAAGCTCGTGTCTGAGGTTGGCGTCGGTATTGTTGCCTCTGGTGTGGCCAAGGCTAAGGCTGATCATATCTTGATCTCCGGTCATGACGGTGGTACTGGTGCCTCTCGCTGGACTGGTATCAAGTACGCTGGTTTGCCGTGGGAACTGGGTCTGGCCGAGACTCATCAAACACTTGTCTTGAATGATTTGCGTGGACGTGTGGTTGTTCAAACCGATGGTCAGATTCGTACTGGTCGTGATCTCGCTGTTGCTTGTCTGCTCGGTGCAGAAGAGTTTGGTTTTGCCACCACTCCCTTGATTGCTATGGGATGTATTATGATGCGCAAGTGTCACTTGAACACCTGTCCTGTAGGTATCGCAACCCAGGATCCAGCCCTGAGGGCCAAATTCCAGGGAACACCCGAACATGTGATCAACTTTTTCTACTACGTTGCTAACGAGATGCGTGCCATCATGGCTAAACTGGGCATTCGCACGGTCAATGAGATGGTGGGCCGTGCTGAGCTTCTGAGAGTCCGAGATGGTATCAAAACTCCCAAGCAGGAGAAGATTGATTTGTCTCTCATTCTCACTCCCGCCCACTCCCTTCGTCCTGGTGTGGCTACCTACAATGTCCGCAAGCAGGACCACCGCCTCCACACTCGTCTTGATAATAAGTTAATTGCTGAATCTGAGCTTGCATTGGAGAAGGGCCTACCTTGTCGGATCGAATGCGATATCGTCAACACCGACCGTGCCTTGGGTGCTACCTTATCCTATCAGGTCAGTCGCCGCTATGGCGGAGAAGGACTTCCTCAAGACACTATTCATTCGAACATCAAAGGCTCAGCCGGTCAGTCTTTTGGTGCTTACCTTGCCCCAGGTATCACCCTTGAACTAGAGGGTGATGCCAACGATTATGTTGGTAAGGGTCTTTCTGGAGGTCGCCTCATTGTGTACCCACCCCGCGGCGCTGCTTACAAAGCTGAGGAGAACGTTATTGTTGGAAACACCTGTCTTTATGGTGCTACTCGCGGTACGTGCTTCTTCCGCGGCATGGCTGCTGAGCGTTTTGCTGTCCGTAACTCCGGGGCTACTGCGGTCGTTGAAGGTGTCGGTGACCATGGCTGCGAATACATGACGGGCGGTAGGGTGCTTGTACTCGGTTCTACAGGCCGTAATTTTGCAGCTGGTATGTCCGGCGGTATTGCCTATATTCTGGACAAGAACCAGGACTTCCATTCGAAGGTCAACATGGAGATGGTCGAAGTCAGCGGGCTGGAAGACCCCGCCGAGATTGCCTTCGTTCGTGGCTTGATCGAGGACCACCACCACTACACTGGCTCTGAATTAGCTGCCCGCATCTTGCTTGACTTCACTCGTGCCCTCCGCCACTTCGTCAAGGTCTTGCCCATTGACTACAAGCGTATCCTCGAGGAAGAAAATGCCAAAGCCAAGGCCGCCAAGAAGGCAGAATTTACTCTGCCCCAGCTTCCCGGCACTCCTGTTCCGGCCGAAAAGTCCAAGTTTCAATCGGAAAAGGAAGCCAAGAAAGTCGACATGCTCGATATTGAAGACAGCATCAGTGACTCTAAGACTGAGAAAAAGCGCTCTGCCCTCATTCTCGACAAGACCAGAGGATTCATGAAGTATAATCGTCGCAGCGAGAAATACCGAAACCCAGCTACTCGGACCCGTGACTGGGCTGAGCTTTCTTCCCGCCTTAGCGAGGATGAGTTGAAATATCAATCTGCTCGTTGCATGGACTGCGGTGTTCCGTTCTGTCAGTCTGATACCGGTTGCCCTATCTCCAACATCATCCCTAAATGGAATGAATTGGTCTTCCAGAACCAGTGGCAAGATGCGCTCAATCGTCTTCTCATGACAAACAACTTCCCAGAATTCACAGGCCGTGTCTGCCCGGCTCCTTGTGAGGGTGCCTGTGTCTTAGGCATAAATGAAGACCCAGTGGGTATCAAATCCATTGAGTGTGCCATCATTGATCGTGGTTTCGAGATGGGCTGGATGGTTCCTCGCCCTCCCAAGTCTCGCACTGGTAAGACTATTGCCATCATCGGTTCTGGCCCTGCGGGTCTTGCTGCTGCAGATCAACTCAACCGTGCCGGGCACAGTGTAACTGTCTACGAGCGTGCTGATCGTATCGGTGGATTGCTTATGTATGGCATTCCCAACATGAAGCTGGACAAGAAGGTGGTGCAGCGTCGTGTTGATTTGATGGCCGCCGAGGGCGTCCAATTTGTCCCTAACACTCCCGTTGGACCTGAACACGATGTTTCCCTGGAGTCCCTGCGCAAGACCAACGATGCTGTCATTCTTGCGACTGGTGCCACCGTGGCTCGTGATCTAAAGGTACCTGGTCGTGAGCTTGAGGGCATTCACTACGCCATGCAGTTCTTGCACCGCAATACCAAGTCACTCCTTGATTCCAATCTTGCTGACGGAGCATATATCTCCGCCAAGGACAAGCATGTTGTGGTTATTGGTGGTGGTGATACAGGAAATGACTGCATTGGTACCTCCGTCCGCCATGGCGCCAAGTCTGTCACCAACTTCGAGTTGCTGCCCCAACCTCCACCTGAACGTGCTCGCGACAACCCTTGGCCCCAATGGCCTCGCATCTACCGGGTTGACTATGGTCATTCGGAAGTAAAAACACATATGGGCAAGGATCCTCGCGAGTATTGTGTCATGTCGAAGGAGTTTGTCGACGATGGTAGTGGCCGCGTCAAGGGTATCAACACGGTTCGCGTGGAATGGACCAAGGGCGCTTCTGGCGGCTGGGATATGAAGACTGTCGAGGGCAGCGAGCAATTCTTCCCAGCTGATCTCGTTCTCCTTTCCATGGGTTTCCTGGGTCCTGAAGATCGTCTTCTGGGCGATGAGATTGAACGCGACGCGCGAAAGAATGTCAAGACCCCTCCTGGTCAGTACAGCACCAACGTCCCTGGCGTTTATGCAGCAGGTGATTGCCGTCGTGGCCAGTCTCTCATCGTATGGGGCATCAACGAGGGTCGTCAGTGTGCCCGTGAGGTTGATGCTGCTCTTATGGGTATTAGCTCGCAGCTTCCAGTTACTGGTGGCATTGTCCGCCGCCCTGCTATCGATGCTGTTCCCCAGTCGGCCGCACAGACTGTTTCAGCTTAGAAGTTGTCACGCATCTCAGTCTTATCATGCTGGGCAGGATCCAACAGCACAAAGAACCACACTTGAGACTCACGAACAGAATGAACTTATGACTATCAACGCCAAGAGGGAAGCTGTAGAAAAAAAAAAGGGCTAAAAGAAAAGCTGATTCGGTGAAGTTGCGCCCGGCGTATCACCACCGCCTATACATTTTCTTTCTATTTCTTCGAGGGGCTATTTTGGGGAGGTGGGGTTAAGACTTGCTTTGCCTGTATGCTAGCCTCTTAATTGTGCAGCGTTCCTGTTCCTTCAAAATGCCGTGTAAGATCAAAGCTTTTGTTAATCTGTGCGACGTTTTAGCTGTCTGTAAATAGTTTTCTCGTTAATATCCTTACGCTTTAGTCGACTTGGTCTGGTAAATCAGTTGGATAGAGCAATTCAAGCCAGCGTAAGCTGATAAGAAAATGGAGTCTGCTAGCATTGCGAGCACTAACAATTTGCAAAAGATATAGAAGACTTTTATATCATTCTCCTCATCATTGTCACCCATCGATGTCAGAGATGTGATTTCCTCTTAGACCTCCTCTTCGTATTCCTCATCACAGTAATCCGCATCATCATCATCATCCTCCTCCTCTCTGATGTCTCTCTCTTCATCTTCTTCCCCGCTCCCAATCTCATTCTCGCTTGCCTTGATATTCCGGCGATGAATATTGTTTATCTTTATCTGTAAGTCCTCATACTCGAGCTTGATACTAGCTGCAATCCCAGCTATACTACCCAACTTCCTTCTATTCTTCTCTACTCGCCCACTCACAACAGAACTGTTCAAGCTGCTGTGGCTGCCCTGGTAATCACGAGTACCACTGTCACGATAACTTGCACTTGCAGGTTCATTTCTACTCCAAGTTTGACTCCCACGAGGACCACGACTGCGGCCATAAGGATCGGCATAGACATGGACGTCCCCATGAGACTGACAATGAGAGGAGCGCTTGTGGCGCCTCCCATATCTTCGTGCCATGTCCGACTGCCGTTCATTTTCCTGCATTACCGATTCGATGTATATCAAGCTTTGGTCGATTTCAATGAGATCCTGCAGGCACTGTTGACTTGTGGACTCGAGGATGTCATGGCACGCGCTGAGCTCCCAATCGGCGCGTTTGATCATAGACCAGAGGTTATTCTGCAAGGCCACGTTGTCCATTCTAGTTGGGGGCTTGAGGATGGAAGTGGGCTGCGGATGGCAATGTCCGGGACGAGGCGGAGGAGGCATCAAGTCAGCATCAGCAGGGGTTGGGGTGCGGGGCTCTTGGGTGAAGTCTGGGAGGGGGAGAGGCTCATGAGGGAGTATAATGGTTGCAGTCGGCTGGCTCCAGGTCACGACTTTGCGATAATGAGGGTGATAATAGAGAGGGTCGTGGACAGAGAAAGGGTGGTAGTCGGCGTCAGGAACACCGGCTGCATCCTCAGAAGGTGGTATATATGGAGCACCGTGAAGATCTGGGGAGTCAAAGGTGCCTTGAGAGGGCTGCGCTGGTTTATCAACCGATGAGAAAGTTCTTGGTTTAAGTAGTGCAGTTTGTGTTGGTGGTATTGCTGGTGTTGCTGGTGCTGTCGATCCTGCTGCTGCTGCTGCTTCTGAGCCTGAAGTTGCATAAACTGCACCTCGCCTGGGTCTTCTGAGGACCAATGGCTGGATTGGTCTGTCCATTCTACAGCCCAAGATGGTGAAGAACTGGAGTTGCTGCTTTAGTAACTGTGGTTGGATGTTCAAAAGTGGTAAGTTAGTCGGGAAGTGCAGTGGAATGTATAGGAGTGAATAGTGCCTTTAGGAGCGGAGGGCGCATGCTGGCCTTTTTGAGGGCTTTCAGCGATATGTAGAAGTGTTTTTTTCGGAGAGGATGTTGAAGGACAAAGGTTTGTTTGACTGACAAAGGGGTCTCGCAGGCCAAAACGACCCCTAACCTCGAGAACAATGGTGGTATTCTTTCAACCGTCACCTGGCAGCTAAAGAGAGCAGAACGACTCTCGGAAATTTCCGAACAAATTATTATATTGCTTTTAGATGGTTTGAATATGCTATTGTACAAAATCCCCCAGGGACAGGTATCGCACTTGAAATCAGCATTGAAGTTCCAACAAAGTCTATCATGCATGTAATGGAGATGGAAGCCCCTATCAACAAAGAAAGTATCGACATGGATCGAAACAGAATAGAGACAAGTTTCATTTATCAGCAAGCACCTTTGCTCTCATGATGATGGCGATTCCGTTTTGCCTGCTGCTGCTGCTGCTGCTGCCGCCTCCTCGGCAGCCTTCACCTCCCTTTCGAGAGCGGCGAAGTCGCCATTAAAGCACTCACCAACAGGTTCTGTGCGCACATCCCAAACATCCTCACTGCTGGGCCCAGTCTTGTATTTGATTGCCTTCTTCCGATAATGGTCCCGAATTGCATTCTTGCGCTGTTCTTCACCCCAGGTGCGGGTCTTCATGCACAACCAAAAGTTATCCCAGTGCTCGCTACAGGACCGTAACTCTCCGTATCTGTACACGTTGACAAACTGGCCACCAAAAGACTGACAGAAAAAGGCATAGTCGAATGCGGAGCGGCAGGACATGGTATCGGGATAAAGAGAGTCGGGGGCGATCGACTTTGGTGGAGGTTGAGAGTCCAAGAACGGTGTGGTATCAGGAGACGATGTTTCAGGTGTAGACGGTTGCTGGTTGCGCGCATTCTGGCTAATATCACCTTCCAGGCTTGCGATTAGTTTCTTCCATTCGGCATCGGCTTGCTCTTCGCGGCTTAATGTTCGGGGGTGTCCTGCTGGTGGTGATGAAAGTGATGCAGGTGCATTTGCAGAATCAGATGGTGCATGGGAGTCAGGAAGACCAGTCGATGCAAGAGATATATTTTGCAACTCGCCCTCCTTGGGAGCGGATCTCCACCACCAGCACATATTGACGCCGCTGGAGAACCCAAAGAAGTTGCTGCTAGTTGAGGTTTGAATTGACTGATTTGAATTGAATCGAAGGGACAAATGCGGGTCAACAGACTCCCATTGGCCATGACCGTGTACCTTTCCAGAAACGTATCGTGACCATACCGGAGCGGAGACCGCCCGGTCGCACGTATGCACGATCGTCACGGATTGTTTTACAGGTACAATAGACGATCGGAGCTCCCTAGCGACGTCATAGTATTATCTCCATGAAGCAAGAAGCCGATCGCGAAACCGTCGTTCTTCCACATATTCTTCTTCGTCGCAGAGATGATGCGAGTTCCGGTGCATATGGTGAGGCCATGGGGTTATCGACCCTACGTGTATCCCAGACGGCTCTCCATCCCATCGCCTTTAAAGGGTATGCTTGTGAGACTGAACAGTGGTTCTTCTCATATCACCACCGTTGAAACAGGGCATATCGAAGTCAAGGACAATGAAGGACTTCTATTTGTCAATAGTACGATCTGAGGCCTCTGCGCATGCAACAATCATGAATTCATACTGACAATAAGCTGCGTAGATATCTTTCCGTCAAGGTTACAATGGCTGCTTCAAGGCCCTTTGAGTGGTGGTCGTTCATATGAAGAAATGCTAAAGCGGATCGACAGACCACACCTGGCAGCTTCTGATCCATTACATATCATACGGCGCGTCTTTCCAGAGTCATTAGATATCGATATCCGGGAAGTCATCCCCCGCTTTAGAGAAGGCGGGGCGTTTGTGAAGTACAACCACCAGGACGGGCTCAAGGACTTGGACATCATCACCGCGATACAAACTCACTTGAAAGATCACCCTATCAGGCCATGGTTCAATCCATTTCAGCAGGTTAATGTGGCTCATGTTCATGGCAGACCCTGGATCGAGGACCTCTACCGCATCCCTACTCCACGGCTCAAAGTGGAGTTCCTGCCAGCTTCTGCCGACGGAGCAGCAGGAGAACCAACGACCGAGGCCCTGTACAGTGTATTTCGCAGATACGGCAAGCTGAAGGATATTGAGAGACAGCCATCGGATTCCAAAATTACTCCCAGGTATGCTTTCGTCGTGTTTTCCCGCGCCAGGGACGCCGTCATGGCCAAGAATTGCGTGCACGGCTTCACCATTTCGGAGCAAGAAGGTGGTGGAAAGTCCGGGACCAGGATTAAAATCAAGTATGAAGCCAACATCAAGCTATCTATGATCAAGGATTGGCTCTTGAATCACCCACGAATAGTGATTCCTATCATTGCCGCCCTCATTGCAGCTATCACAGTAACTGTTTTCGACCCTATCCGAACTTTCTTCATCGAGATGAAGATCAAAGGCACTCTGCAAAAAGAAGAAAACAGCATCTGGCGCTGGATTCGAAACCAGGTGAACAAGGCCAATATCATCTATTTCGGTCGCCGCGGGTCTGATCCACGCCGCCTCACGGCTATTTGGGAGGATCGTCAAGGTGATATCGCTCAGCTACAGTCGTGGCTAATGGAGAACGCGGAGACGTTCATCGTCATTCACGGCCCTCGCGGAACTGGGAAACGGGAGCTTGTGCTGGATCGCGCACTGGAAAACTACAGATATAAGGTCGTCATCGATTGTAAACAAATCCAGGATGCAAAAGGTGACACAGCAAAGATTTCCCGCGCCGCGGGCCAGGTGGGATATCGGCCGGTTTTCTCTTGGATGAACAGCATGAGCAGCTTCATCGATCTGGCTGCCCAGGGTATGATTGGCACAAAGGCCGGGTTTTCAGAGACTCTAGATGCTCAGCTCAGCAAGATCTGGCAGAATACTGCCACTGCCCTCAAGAAGGTGGCATTGGAAAACAAGAAGAACGATGAAAAGCAATCGCATCTCAGCGACGAAGAATACCTGGAGGCTCATCCAGAGCAAAGGCCAGTGGTGGTCATTGATAATTTCTTGCACAATTTTTCCGAGGACAGCGTGGTATATGATAAGCTCACCGAATGGGCTGCTGGCTTAACGACTGGGAATATTGCACATGTAATCTTTCTCACGACCGACGTCTCCTTCTCGAAGCCATTGAGCAAGGCTTTACCAAACTCCGTTTTCCGGACGATTTCCTTGGGTGACTGCTCGCCCGAGGTAGGGAGAAGGTTCGTGCTCAGTCATCTGGAGTACGAAAGCAAGAGTGGCACAAAGGAGACCCCCGACCTTGGTAACCTATCAGATCTGGACAGCTGTATCGAGGTTCTAGGAGGCCGAGTCACTGACCTCGAGTTTATGGCAAGACGAATTGAGGCCGGGGAGACTCCTCTAGGTAAGCCTTTTAAACGCCATTCATGGTCGGAATTCGCATCTAACACAATGAACTAGCTGCTGTCACCCGCATCATTGAGCAGTCAGCCTCCGAAATCCTGAAAATGTTCATTTTGGGTAATGACGCAGTCTCAAAACCTTGGACCCAGGAACAAGCCTGGCATTTGATAAAGACGCTTGCCAACGCCAGAGACGCGGCACTGCCTTATAACCAGATTCTTCTCTCAGATCTCTTCAAGGACAACGGCGAAGCATCTCTGCGCGCTCTGGAACAAGCAGAGCTGATTTCTATCAATTCAGTCAATGGCTGCCCCGATGTTGTCAAGCCCGGCAAGCCTGTATACCGGGCTGTTTTCAAAAGACTCACCGAGAACAAAACCTTGAGCAGTCGTCTAGATCTTGAGATTATAAAGCAGCTAATCAGCATTGAGAACAAGAGTATAAGCAGGTATGAGGAGGAGTTGCAACTCCTGGGGTCGCTGCCCAAACAGCCTTGGGAGCTCGCCAGCCGGATCAAGTGGCTCCTAGACAAGATCTATAGCTCGCAAAACAAGGTCAGTAAGTATGAGAAGGAGAGTGCGATATTACAGAAGATTCTGCGGCGAGAACATTGATCAGGGGGTGCGAGGGAACGTCGATCTTTGTTGTGGTTATTGTATGTACTGTACTTTACGAAATTTCGGAGGTAATTGATGAGACAAGGATATATTGCGTTATGTCCTGCACATATGTCACGGTGAAGATCACAAGCACTTGAATCCTTGTTGTGACTGAAACTGATCTGCCTCATACAGTATTGGGCATCGATACGTCTTCGTTCCCAACTCGGAGAGAATGGTTTCCAGGATTCTAGATATGCCTTGAAAACAAGGCATAGTAGCTCGGCTGAGATAAGCAATGGTACTAACTAACTAAATAATCTTACCGTATCGTAGTTCCATTGCAGCTGCGAGTCAACCTACTTCTTGCATAAATTCTCCGCGGAATCAGGGCGATTGAGTTCTAACCTGTTTGCGCCTCTGATTGATTTCTGATATTGCTTGGGCGACCAAACGAATCTTCAAGGGTTGTGCATTGTATGAAACACAATACTTGGACGGTCGATTAGTCCAGCCCCTGTCCCGGTTGCACAGACTTTCTTTAGAGGGGCTATTCGCCCTTCTGTTGGAAAATAATGGAAGGATATGATCTAACGTTGGGAGGACTCATTCATCTGGCACGCGATGGCTTCAACAGCGTGGGGTGGACCACCTGGGTCGCTCTACTGGTGTCCGTTTGCGTGGCGACTCGCCTGATTAGCGGACTGCAAAGTCGCCTCGGCAATGAAACTACCGAGGCGGGAGTGCCACGCTCGGCTCGGATGGTGCCTTACTGGGTCCCTTGGATAGGCCATGGTCTATCCTTCGTCCGGGACCATGTAAAGCTGATCGCCCATGCTAGGTTGGTTATCGGTGTCTCTGCATCAAGGGGCCTTGAAAAACGAGCTAACTCTTCCTACCAGGGAGTCCATGAATGAGCCTGTCTTTGGTATACATATGGGTGGCACAACTCACACCACAATTGTCGCCCCTTCACTAGTCAAAGCAGTGTTTACCGCACGAGGCATCTCTTCAGCCGCATTAATCAACTATACCATACGGACCGTCTTTGGTGACCGCGGTGCACTCCGCAGTCTGAGCCCTGCAGATCACCATGCCCTCAGTCACAGCGTGCCGAACCTTCTCATGCGCGAACCCTTTTTAACGGAAGGTACTCAAACTGCTACCCGCTTGATTGAACGCCAAACCCCCAATCTGGTCACGAACTGCCATAGTATAGTCGACCAGATGCAATGGGAGCGCGGCAGTCAAGCAGTGGTGGTTGGACAGGATGACGATCTTATCTGTGAGGTCAACTTCTTTGCTCTTATTCGTCATTTTGTCGGCCATATCACCACGGCAATCTTCACAGGAGAGAGCATATTAGAAGGTAACCCGAACCTCCTTCCCGACGTCTTCACCCTGGACAATCACTTCCTTGCCGTGTCCACGGGCCTTCCTCGGCTGGCACACCCTGGCATATCTGCAGCGCATGGTGCCCGTAACCGGCTGTTGGAAGTCCTCACAGAATTCCAAAAGGCGTTCTTAGCGTGGGACGATGGCTTGGATCCTGGCTCCGACTTCAGGGATTTGGACGATATTTCGGAGCCCTTGAAGGAACGGATCCGAAAGTGCAAAAGCCTGGGCCTTTCCGCTAGATCGAGTGCTCCTGCACACTTATCCCTGCTGTGGGCCATGAACTCAAACTCTCCCAACGTGGTTTTCTGGCATCTTCTTCGCATATATGCCGATAGTGCCCTTTTGGACGAGATTCGTCAGGAGATCGCCCCATTTGTTAAGATAATTCGGCCTAGTAAAGAGGAAACCGGTCTTCCCTTTGAAGAGCCTCCTCGGATGTCTATTGACACGGAAGGCCTGATCGAATCCTGCCTCCTCCTTAAGGCTAGTTTCTACGAGACTTTACGTCTAGACTCTGCATCTTTATCAGTCCGCAACGTCACATCAGACTTCACTGTGACTGAGTCCGAGGAAGACGCTGCTCTAGATGGAATGTCGCAACCTCGCTCGTACGAGTTCAAGAAGGGTGACTCTATTCTTATCCCTCATGCCGTCCTCCACAACGACCATCGATATTTCTCCAACCCTAGCCAATTTGACCCGCTGAGGTTTGTCTCAACTGACCCCGAAACTGGCGAGAAGAAAGCGAGTATGGATATCATCAAACCATTTGGCGGAGGTGTGTCAGGGTGTAAAGGTCGCGCATTCGCGGAGCGGAAACTGCTGACCTTCGTCGCCGCGATTACCGCCTTGTGGGATGTTGAACCTGCTCACGGCAAAAGTTTTGTCATACCCGAGCATAGACCATCCGCTGCGGCGTTCTTGCCAAAGACTGACATCAGAGTACGGATGCGTCAACGCAAATGATCGAAGGGGGCTGAGTATCCTTGCATATACACGGTGTTTCAAGTATAGGTGTTTCATGTATAGTCTATTATATATACCAAATTTGAGGAGTCTTCACATCATGCCAATAGAATTTGTCTTCATTGCAATCTCTACAATGTCGAAGCCATGGGAGCCTTTCTTCTGAAAAAGCAGTTGAAAAAATGTATATGCAACGGGGCAATAATGAAAGAAAAGAAAAAAGAAAAAAAAAAGAAACAGACACATGTAAGTGAGTCGTACTTGCTGAGGTCTTCACGCCTCTCCCCATACGCTAAGGCAGATTCGCCTACCTGACGAATAGAAGTACGTGATACTAGTCCTGCAAAGAAGTTATATTAGGCGATGGAGGGACTAACACTAATACTAAGTTAACTATGAGCCGGTGGGGGAGATCGTCCTAAAAGCGTGCCCTAAGCCCTGAGACCTGGCTTGATAAGGCAAAAGTACTCCGAAGAATAGACGCGTTGGACGCGTTCCCCCAAAAGCGTGTTCCTGGGCAGTCTCGCCGCAGCCGGACGAGATGCGCGGTCGCAGACTGCAAATACCAACTGGCAGAGTTGCATACCTTGAGGAACATATTGATAAATCTTCTCATTGCTCTATCTTACCTTTCTTGGCTTACCTGGCGACTTTGTAAATATCCCCCGGGTCACATCACCATGTCCAACGAAGCGATGCGTCCCAGGGGCAGACCTGCCCGTGAGTATGATCAGCTTTGAATGCACCTCGCCATTGCGTTTACACCTATTCTGACCGATGGCTAATTCGCAATGAATGATGCAGATACCCCGGGAACCACGGTACTCACATATACACCAGATGGTCGTCGGGTAATCACTGGTGGTTCTAATTCTGCAATCCGCATTTACACCGTGGGACAAGATGGCGAGCCGAAGACGATTGACGAAGGTGTCGACGGCCATTTGGGCATCGGTGCTACTGTTCGATTTCCTTCCCGAGTCACTTTCTTAAAGCTAATCGAGCGTAGAATGACTACTTCATCATGGGTGCGGAAGACGGTACGGTCTGGCAATATGAGATTCTGTCAGGCAGGATGCTGAAGCTATTGGTGCGCTGTATGCTTCCCGTACGAGATATTGCAATCTCAAAAGATGGCGAGTGGGCAGCTGTAGCGAGCGAGTCAGTCGAACTGGTATCCACTGTGGTTTGTTGTTGTGACTGACATTATCTTTTTTACCCCCAGTGAGCTCACCGTGAAAATCGTCAATATTGAGGACATGACTAGAGTCAAATATCTACGGGAACAACCTAAAGGCGTCAAGCACGTCACTTTCGATCCGAGCGGCCGCTATGTTACAGTCTCTTGCACGGATGGTATCCTTTACGTGTACTCGACACTTTCGGACGAGCCCGAACTAGTGCAGAAGCTGGACGGAGTGATCAGGCGACTCGAACCGGAGGCCGAAGCAACATCGCGGATTGTTTGGCATCCGGATGGAACAGCATTTGCATCTGCTGAAGCGACCCGAGATGTTGCCATCTTTTCTACGGCCGAGTGGAAAAAGGAGAAGCTGTTTGCTGGGGGTCATAACGGACAGATCACGGCACTCGCTTGGTCGCCAAATGGAGCGCTACTTGTGACTGCTGGCGCGGATGGTCAAATTGTGCTCTGGGAAACAAAGACGCAGAAGATTCTACAGCGCTACGATTTTGCGAATGTGATCAACCTCGCGTGGCACCCAACCAAGAATTCTGTCTCATTCACGACTTCTGACGGGGAGCTGTTTATCTACGATGATTTTGTTTCCAAAGACCATCAACCGCTGCTTGAAAAGCCTCTCCAAGCCGCTCCTATCTTTTCAGGGCCCTTGACAGAGATCTCCGACAATGTGAGGCGGCCACTGGCAAATCGCCCGAAAGAGACAGTTGAACGAAGGCAAAGAGCCGGTAGCCTTGATTCTCTCGATGATATTCTCAACGGCGATATAGGCATGGATGACTTTGTGGAGGACGACGACGGAGCTGGCTATGCCGAAGATCTTAGAGGGCTTGGCAAGCGTGCAGGCTCACACATGGATGAGATTGATGGCCATGCAGACAAGCGAGTCTTGACAGCTTTTGCGAAGCCAAAGATTCACCCTTCTCTCCAATCAGGAAGCACACCTTGGCGCGGCAACAGACGTTATCTTTGTACGTGCTTTCAAGATTCATTAGGATAATCCTGTGATAGACCGCTAACCATTGAAGGCCTGAACCTAACTGGTTGCGTCTGGACTGTCGACCAGGAAACCCATAACACCATTACAGTGGAATTCTATGATCGCGAACTTCACCGGGATTTCCACTTCACGGATCCATATCTTTACGATCGGGCCTGTCTCAGTATGTGAACCCAGATGCACAGACTTCGACTACTGGACTGACTTCTTCTAGATGACAATGGAACTTTGTTCTCCAACAATCCTACGGACGGCAGTCCAGCAACGATTTTTTATCGTCCTCATGAGACATGGACGACTAGGGCAGACTGGCGGACTCAGCTTCCGAGGGGGGAATTTATTAGAGGTAAGGAACTTAGCATTGATATGGCCAGGCTTTGCTAATGGTCGGCAGCGCTGGCGCTTAGTGAATCCTACATCGTTGCTGTAACGACCAAAGACTACGTCCGTGTCTACACTTTGTTCGGCACCCCCTTTAAAGTGTACCGGCAGAAGAGCCCTGCCGTTACATGTGCCGCATGGAGAGACTATATCATGACTGTGGGCAATGGTCCCTTGGGCAGCGATGGCAGAACGGCAACACTGCGATACTCGGTAGAAAACGTCAAGAGGGATGAAATCTGCCAAAACGAGGATGTTGTCGCCCTGCCCGAAGGTGCCGAATTGCGAAGCGTCTTCTTCTCTGATAATGGGGTAAGTTACTTCAGCCGGTCACGCTGAGATTTGGTGCTAATTTGACTCTACAGGACCCATGCATCTATGACTCCGAAGGCGTCTTGCTTGTGCTTCAACATTGGCGCAACAACGGCCAGGCTCGGTGGGTACCATTACTGGACACAAAGCAGCTAGAGCGATTGGCCAGCGGACGGAAGGAAGAGACATACTGGCCCGTTGCTGTGGCTCAGGACAAGTTTCACTGCATCATTCTCAAAGGAGGGGATAAGTACCCGTACTTCCCTCGGCCTCTGCTCAGCGAATTCGACTTCCGAATTCCAATTTCCGACTCCCCGGGCAAGGGGGCCGAAGACGACGAGGACGGTAGCTCGATCCGACATGATGGAGCTCGCTTTGAGGAAGCCTTTGTTCGGGGAAACATCTTGCTGTCACTCTTTGAAGATCTTGTGTTTACCACCAACGCGACGGCTAGTCAGCGCGCCGAGCTGGCTCGGAAAGAAGTTGAGGTGGACAAGATCCTCCTGCAACTTCTGGCGGTAGAGTGCCGAGAAGGTGAGGAGCGAGGTATGAAGGCATTGGAACTGGTACAAATGATGAGGGACCGCAACGGCAAGATGGTGGAGGCAGCCGTCAAGGTGGCCGGACGGTATGGCCGGGGCGTCCTGGAAGACAAGATCCGAGAAGTGGCCGAGAAAAGATATCTTGGGGAGAATGACGATTAGAATGATGAGAGAAGCGAGAGGATGGCTTGTTTTCACCAGGGTATGACTGCAATATGATCATAACCAATAGATACCACCAATGCACGTGATCCCTTTTTGTTTTTTTATTGCCTGTTGGCCTCAGGCCACACGAAACTTGGTGCTGGACGGCCCGACGTCATGGCCGAGGCACCAATCACAACAACTTCCGGCCGAATCAACTCCATCTTGTCTTCTTTCATATAGCCACTGCGATTCACAAGGATTCACCCAACATAATCAATCTGACTTATATGGCTTGACTGTGCTTGGCAATGTGTGTGATGACCCTTCGACAGAAGCTTCCAGGCTGAGAGTCCCGTCCACTTCTTTCAGACTCCGTCATGCCGAAGCTTGCGGGCCCTGCGCTTTCTTGCGCGCGAAGCCGACTAGGACCACATCTTACGAGTTGTGCTACCACTACCCTCAGTCCTTGCGTTTCTGCTCCTCATCAGTTGTACCTCTCTTCAACTCCACGGCTTTCCGCTCAGCATGAAATTCTCCGCGGGTCGCCGTTGACGCCCGTTTCACCCCCACAGACGCAATTCTCGCAATCTGGATTCCGAGCATCCGCTCTCGACGGACTCGAACGGCCCGGGAAGGATCATGAACCACCAGACGAGCGCATTCTTAAGCTAGGGAAAAGTGAGCCTCACAAATACACCGAGTGCTGAGACCCGAAGCGTACTGACACAAACCGTCCGGGTAGCTCTTCGAATACTCTCTCCACTCCTACCGAACATTCTCACCAATCCTCTGCCCCCCAAAATACTGTCCCCGAGCATTACCCTGCATCTCTTTCCCTCCACGCACCCTCATCTCCCTACTGTCAAAGGCCGAACCCTCTATCGAGCCGCCCTTTGGACTGTCCCGGTGGCCTGGAGCAGCCTGCCCCTTCTCGGCAATGTCAAACTTAAGATAGTCAGCGAGCGTATTGTCCGCGCCGGCACGGTTCTGGACCCCGCCCGCTACGCCCGCGGGGAACACGATGACAGCGACGAACGCCTAGTCGTGCGCTGGCGGACTGAGCCGCGCAGCGAAAACAACCATTCTTTCACCTCCAACCCGCATCCTACCTCGAGCGACACCTCCGCCCGCACATCTTCGTCCACCGCCTCTAGATCCTCCTCCTCCTCCTCCTCCTCCTCCTCGTCGTCGTCGTCATCGTTGCACCCCTCTAAGACTGGAGCGAACAAAGGCCTCAGCGTCCTGTTGGGTGGGGACGCGCCGATCTTCAAACTCTCCAAAGAAGAACAGTTCACGGGATTATTCATCTTCTCGTTCGATGAGGAAGGTCGCATCGCATCGCATACGATCGAACATTCCGATGATGCATGCGGGTGGGAACGGACTCCGAAATTCGTTACGCTGGCGGACTGGTTGATCGGTAAGGCGCGGGAATCACTGGACCCGTCGCCTGCTGAGCCGGGGTTGGCATTCCAGGGCGACCACTCAAATCAGGAGATACAGCTTCTTTGCGCGGGGAGAGAGGGGCTTTCATGGTCGCCGGAAGGCCGCCGATTTTGTGGTAGGCATGTCAACGCCTGATCGGTGCTCGAGGTGGTAGAAACCCATGCTACTGTTTGCTGAGCCCCTGCTACGGCGCTCTCGTTTTCAGACGCCAACCAATCATGGAGCTCCTATGCGGGCTGCATAAGAGGATGTTTAAGACGAAAACGCTTCTACAAACCATGAAAGGAAGTACGGAGCTCGGTGGCTATTCAAATCGCCGTTGTTCGGATATTCGGCTTTGATGTTAACAACTCATCTCTCTTCACTGTATAATTCTGCGAACGTGTATGTAAAGTATGCCACTTTAGGCAATGAGTCATGACTTGAGCTTCGGTATCAATGATAATTCAAAGAGCATCAAATCAAGTGAACAGTACTGGACCAGCCAGTGGTTGATGGGCATATCTCTAAATAGATGTTGTCAAACGTCACATCCAAAGTGGCGACAGCTGTGCAATAAGACGTTTGAGGCATAGAGTGACAATCTGCCTCGAACCATGAAGCCTGAAGCAGCGTCAAAGGTGCAATAGACAAGAATCGGAATCTAGCTCCTTTTCTTGGACTCTTCCTGTCCACCAACGACCGGTTCCTTCAACAAGATGAATACGCCTCCACAGACAACCAACATAGCAGATCCTCCAACCATGTAGGCAACCTCTCGGCCCATCCACCAGAACAATGAACAGAATAGCAACGGTCCCGCCGCGCGTCCAACCTGTCCCCAGCTGCGCAACTTCCCTAATACGGCACCACGATTCTCCTCCAAAGCCTCGAAACTCCCCAAGCTGTTCAACCCAGTGACGACCGTCGCACTAGTGATAGCCAAAAGTCCGCCTGCAGCATAGAGACCACCCAGCGAAGAGACGTGTGCAAGCATGAAGAAAGAGATAGCACATGCGATGACGCCAATACGCACGGTCTTGAGCGGGGGCAGGCGGCGCACCACGGTGCCCTGGAGAAGAGAGGCGATGAGACCCATCATGGAAAGGAGACGACCGTTGAGGGCGGAGGGGCTGGATTTGCTCCCCACATAGAAGGTGGCCGTCAGAAAGGGAAGGGAGAACTCAAGGCCCGAGAAGGGAAGGAGAAAAAGCAAATGGATCAGGTTGAGAATCGCGGGATTATTTGTGTGTTTCTTGGATATTAGCTGACGGCTTGTGGCGGCTGCTGACTGGGATTTGTTGTCGATGTCGTGGGTAACGTTAGTGGCGTGGATCAGCTTGGTGAAACGAGGATGGGTCTCCGGAAGACAAAAGTACAGATAAGCAGTTTCAACGACTATCAGGAGAAGCGAAACACCAGCGGCGGTGGCGAAGGGATTGGCAGCAACGGTGGTGATATTAGAGAGGGCTGCGCCGAGAGCGGGTCCGCAGGTAAAGGCGATACTGAAACAGACGCCAACAAGAGCCATGGTGGAGCCCCGCTGGCTGGGGTCGCTGATATCCGTTGCAATGGCATTCGCAAGCTGCACGTTGCCTTCACTGAGGCCGCCAATGATGCGACTGGCGAGAAAGGTGCGGAAGTCGGTTGCGGTGACCCAAAGGGCTACGCTAAGTGTGTTGCCGACCATAGAGCAGAGGAGGGCGGTCTTGCGGCCGTGTTTATCTGACAGGCGACCGATGAAGGGAGCTGCGAGTGCCTGCAGAAAAGAGAATAGCGAGCCAAGCGCACCACCCAAAAGGACTATGTCATAGCGTGAATCGATAGGTTTCGCAAATGAGTTCTTGTAGGCGTTAAGGTAGTGGAACAAGCGATTGAGAAGCGCATTGGGAGACGGATCTTGATTGCGGTAGAAAGTGAGAAGAGAAGGAAATAGCGGGAGAATGAAAGTAAAAGATATCTAGGAAATGGGTATCAGTAGGTGCTTGCGTTATTTGATATAGCCCGGGATATGTCTACCAGATCCAAGAGCAGCGAGGTCATCAAGACCTTGAGAATCTTCTTCCGCTGCTCTGCGGGTAACGCCATGTCAGGTCAACTGAGATATAATCTTCGGGCAGAGAAAAATAGAGTTCTAAGAACAAGGAAAGGAAAGCAATGAGTGAAGCAGAGAACAGTGAAAAATGTGGAAAAAAGAAGAGGAGAAGAAAAGCGAGTGACAGGAGAGTCTCAGAGGCTGAGTGATGCCTGAGTAACTGGAGGGAGAGATCAAAGATGGCCTCTCCTTCCGTTATGTCATAGCCCTATGCCCTATCCGCGGCATTGCCTAATTCAGACAGCTCCATCGGAGTCCCTACATCATGTCTCTAATCTCTACGGTGTATGGTGTACCCCAGAGAGTACATCGAACTGTATGATGTATTATGAGCCTGATTGTCTGGCAGAGGATCAATTCTGCTTCATCGTCTACCTATCGCACCACTCACAGCTCCTGGCTGTCAACAGCCAGGGTTCCTCACCATCATCTTCACCACAACCCGCCCCAAACCCCCATCTCCATATGTCAACGTGGTGATCGGAAATAGAATACATGTGAAGTAGAATATAGGGGCAATATTGAAGACATAGCCACCTGCAGTGTAGAGCGAAAAGGCCACCCTGGAGTGGCATCCACGGTCAAGGTCGAAGGGAAATTAAAGGGAAGAAAAAATTGCAAAGGTAATATGCACGCTCAATAACTGCAAACATATACAACAGGAACTTTTGGGAATGAGATCCAAAAGAGAAGCAGAGCAAAGACAACAGCGGAGCTAAGACCCTGCCATTATCTTCACTCTAAAGAGACCTTGTTGTAAATCATTTCAAGAGTCATTGCGGTCGTGAACCATGACACTCCCGTTAGCCATGAGTTTATTAGTCTTTCAAAGAGATAAGAGAAAAGGGCTGCAGGCTGAAGTGAGAGGGATCTTGAGCAAGCGAGATCAGAGAAGCGCGATGAATGGCAAAGGCGATCGATGCTAGCGTCAGGGTCGAGTCAACTTTAAGCAAACGTCTCTCACGCAGACGCAGACTACTCCGGTCAGACGGCAGCTTAGCAACTCCCAGAGCCTTTACTGGCTGGCAGCAGGGGCCGGGGATGAGCCATTGGCACCACCGCGGCCACGACCACCCCGGCCACCCCGGCCACCACGTCCCCGGAATCCACGTCCTCTGCCACCCCGACCTCTACCCCGGCTAGGCTGGCGTTGATGGTGCGTGACGGACTCGAAGTCGTCCTGGGGCTTAGGGACAGTAACATCTTCGGCACTGGGTGCAGTAGGCTGAGTCACAGCCGCGCCACTTTTGACCTCAGCCTCAGCAGCGGCAGGAGTAGCTTGAAGACCAGTCTCAGTCTCAGCAGGGTCCCGTGGCACCTCGACCCATTCATCGGCAGTAGGCGAGGTTTCCACGGCTCCAGTGGCGTTGGCATCCCAAGTAGCCTCAGCCACTTGGTTGGCGCCATCGGTAGTTAAAGTCTGGGCAGGAGGAGGAACCTGTTCGCTTTGTTCTTCCGTCGCAGCCGATTCATTTGCAGCGGCAGCATTGGAGTCGTAAGATGTGTCTTGCAGCTCCGTATAGCCTGCATTGGCCACAGTAGGGTCCGATTCAGGCGCCGTTGCCTCAGCAGCTGTGGGTTCAGAAACAGGGGCAAGCTCAGTGGCAATCTGCTTCACTTTGCCGTCTAAGTGAGGCGAGGACGATTAGAAAGGACCTTAGAAACCGAGAGGCTTCAAGACTCACAGGTAATTTCCAGCGTGGTGCCGTCAACGCCAACAACCTTGTCGTCGGTGCCGTCGATGATTTTGAGCATGGACGACACAGCTTCCTGGGTTCCTCCATAGACCTGGTACAGGACGCCTTCGAATGCACGACTCTCGTTTGAGGTTTCATCTCCAGAACGTCTCATAGTGGCAGCGGCGCAGAGGAATTTGCTCAAACTCAATAGTTGCTGGGTGAAATCCTTATTGCTGGCTTCAGCAGCATTCGCATCCGCCTGCTGCCGCAGAGCTGCGAGCTGCTCCTCATGGGCTTGCTCAAGCTCTGCCTTCTGTGTCGCCAGTCGTTCCTCGCACTGGGCGGCAAACTCCTTCAAATGGGCAATCTGCTCCTCGAGCTGGGTAACAGTGGCTTGTAGAGAGGGCTTCTTCAAGGCTTGTGCCTTCTGGTCGGCATTGATTTTCTTCTCGGTAACAAGCTCGTCCAGCGATTTACCAGGGTTCTCTGCGATAATGGCGTCGACTTTGGCGGTCGCATTCTGCAGGGAGAGAGTGTAAGCGGTGAATGAAGGTCAAAGCACGACTGAAGGACACTAACCAGCTTCTTGACAGCATTGCGCAAGCTCCTATGGTGATGAATTAGTGAATATACAACACCAAAGCAATATGATGTGGAATCACGAAATATGCGCCGGGGGTACTTGTCGCTAATCACGCACCTCTGCAGTTCTTTGAAGTGTTGGTTATCAAGGTTGTCAAGGCCGTTCGTGTCAGGCTTCGATGCAATAGACGGGCTAGAAGCATGGTTCGACTTTGACCTCTTGGAGGAAGCTTCGGAGCTATGGGCAGGGTTGGAATTGACAGAGACGGCAGCCATGATGCTGATTTGGTGCTACGACTCGATCTTGCTTCCTAGGCAGACAATGGGAGAAAGTGAGGAAGGAAAGTGAAGTGTAGTTTGGATGCAGGAGCGCAAGAAAGATGCGCACAACCGAGACTGAGAAGAGGACGGATCTTTGGAGAGTTGGATGTGAAAGGGAAGCGAAATTCAAATGAAGCAGAATGAAAGGCTGAGATGGGAATGGGATTGAAATGGGAAAAGCAGCTGGCAGATGCGGGTGGAACTCTTCCGAACCTGGACCGCCCTCGTCGCGTGCTGCTGCAGCTTGAGTCACTGGCGCAGCCCCAAACACGTCTTGCAATCCAAACAGCCATGGCTACACCTGCCACGCGTATTTTGGCACTGCCCAAAAAAATCTTAGAGATTTTTCTGTCTACGGCGAGTCTAGGTAAGCTTGATAGAAGAATATCTCAGTTTCATTTGTCGCTCTGTCATATGCAGAGGTCTTCCTGATGTAGACTAATCTATGCATTGGGTATCAACCGAGTGACTCCTGAATAACGCCTTGAACCTCTGGTTGCCTGGGCTCTTTCCACCCAATTTCCTCTCGTGATACATTAAGGACATAGCCGCGGGTGCTAACGGTCTCCATGAGAGCCGATCGTTGATCTAGCCGAAGCTCAACAACTACCCATGTAGCACAAATCCACAGGGCCGTTTGGAATATGTTCGTTTTGATCAAGCGCTGCTAAGGATGCAGGCTTCGGTTCTTCTGCCGTCATACTAGCCCTTGAACTTCCGTAGTGTTTTCTGGGAACCGAAGAGATAAATTGTCAGCATGTACGGGAATCGCGACCGACTCGCATCGCTGCCCTAAGCAAACATACCTCGGTCACCTTGCGTACAGAATTCGGTGAGATATTCTTTTCGCCGGCCTTCCGCGACTGAATTGATGATTCCCGCATCAATCTGCACAAACGCCCAGGTGTCAGCCCGTGAACCATGCCTCGATCGCCCCTTTTGACGCACACCATATCTCCATGATGGCGTGAGTGGGTAGTAGAAGATCAGATTAGACTCACTCTTGCATGAATAACATATAGTCTAAGAAAATCTGTGGCAAAACAAAATGCAATTAGAGTCTATGCGGAGTCGCGAATAGAGGTGCCAGAATAAGAAGACCCACCAGAATATCAGCGTTCTTGCTCACATTGCGATTAGAGTGCGCCTTGACGACACGCTTGACTGTGGCGCGAGGGTAGAGCTTTTGCGTCGCTGCCATGGGGAGGATATAAGACAGGTCAATCGCTTGGATAGAAGTTATTGAGAGGTTGGGGAAGAAAATCAGACAGAAGTAATGACGCGAGTGGATCAGTGCTGATAACCGATCATAGCCACTTTGACGCCGGCGAGGTTCCGGGACGATAAGCATGGCAGGCTAGTAGTTAGTTAACAGAGGCGGATGGGCGATGAGTAAGGCAGTCGGACCAGCCTCGAAGTACGGAGTATATTACAAGTGATTTGTTCATACATGACAATACATACGGTCAGGACTCGGTGGAACATGTCTAGGTTCAAAGGGCTTGGTGGACTGCTGCGATCCAGAAAGAGCAACTGCTAGCGTGACCATTCATTATCTGCTGTCCAGCCCCTTGCCGCCAAAGGAATATGGGTGGGATTAAGGTACTTTGTAGTAGTAGTAACTCCGAGGTTTCAGACCTAGGAATGGAACCCAAGATTTAATGAAGGTAAAGAAATCATCTATACTATCGTAATTACAACTTAGATATAGGTAGACTTACACGGAATGATGGTTAGAATCATCGTCGGATCCGACGAAGAAATCTCCATGCGTAGACGACCGCCGTGGAACCCAGAACAATCCTCCATGCTGCGAAGATATAGAGGGCAACTCGAAGCCGATCGTAATAGCCTCGGAGCATAATCTCCAATGCGTATGTGCTTCCTTTCATACCCTGGTCGGAAGGCCCGTAATATTGGCCAACACCAAGTCCTTCGATACCAATGTTATTTTGAGTCCCGTCGCCATTGCTTGTGAATGCCATTACTGGTACAGCTGCTGTTTCACCATCCACCGCAGTGTTGTTCGGTCGGGCTCCGCTCTCAACCAAGCGCCTATTGCGTTTCCGCAGACGATAAGTGAGGACGTTGATCAGCAACCTCAGATCAGGTGCCGTGAAATTAGGATAATGCCATAGCTTAACAGCCGTGTGTGGGGGGAGTAAATCCAAGAAGTCCGCCATGATACCCAGCGTCAAGCCCCACAGGAGCAATGGGCGATTGATCCCAATGTCCTGGTCGGCAGGGCTAGTTCTGGCCCAAGATATAAGTCGTCGGAACATCGATGGACTTTGCTCATCTTTGGGGGTAAGTCCGGGAGTTGTATTGCTTTGAAGACTCTCGGTTGGGGCTAAACGAATGGCGGGGAACTGCATATAGCCCATCAAGGAGCGGGACGCGATACGAGCCATGAGACCGCCCATGTTTGCCAGGCGTTGAGTCATGTCGACATGTTCCACGGTGCGTAGGGAAGACGACAAAAGCGCTTGTAGTGGCACCCAATGGGTGGAGGCCACTTCGGTGGGTTGTAGCTTGAGCGTTGGCGAGTCACTGCATGTTAAGAGGAAGATGTAAGGGCAGAGAACCATCAGCCTGCGATTGGCACCGTCAACGACAGCCGCTATCAAGATATCAAGGTCTGAGATCAGGAATATACATACGGGATTGTACCCAGGCTCGTGGTCACAACTCTTTCGGGAAGGTTACCGATGTATACACAGTTCTCTGCTGTGAGATCCAGTCCAATCTCTTCTGAAGCCTCCCGAATCGCAGCCGCTTTATCATCTGAATCCTCAGGGTCTCGCTTGCCGCCCGGAAGAGCAACATGGCCAGTCCATCTATCTCCCACGCGCGAAGCCCTCTTGATGAAAAGCGCTTCCGGAACGCCACTCTGAACCCATGATTGCGAGAAGAACGTGTTAAGCTGTTGCTGGACGGAGGCTGAACTATCCAGAGACTGCGACGATGTGGGCTCTGGCCAATCTTCATATGTCGGCCGGACGCGCAGGATCAGGGCTACCGAGGCACGTTTTTTGCAATTCGGTGGGTTGGGGATGTGAGGATATGGGCGTTGATGGAGGTCGGACAGAACGTCATGAAGCGATTGCGTCAAGGGTGCGGGGTCCTGTGACGAGGGGGGTCTGGCTGAATTCATTGGACGATAATTTTTCAAGCTAGAGAGATATGCGACTGTTTTGTAGATAACAGCATAGTCTAGCAGGTATATATATCTATATCCACACGACGGAAAAGGCACGATGCTGGGGTGGAAGGTAAGTATTTCAGGGACCCGAGGAGGAGAGTTCTCTATCGATCGGAACTTATCGTAGAGTACGGAAGAAGTTGTAAATCAGGTAATGAGACGGTACTGTAATGAGCTGACGGACGGGGAGTGACTAAAATGATAGCTTCCACCCCAGGGATTGTCATTGACCAATAGTCAGGCGAACAACTACAGCGGGGGGCGGGCTAGACCGGCACGTGCATCAATATGGCGATGGGATACAACGAGCTCGGGAGACTATATTAGAACACTCTCCATGTTCCCGCGTCGACTCGATGGCAATTCTTTAGTGGCTTCACTCACCTTACGTGCCTTGTGCTAAATTCGAATTTTCTTTCTTCCTCCATGGTCGCCTCTTGTTGTCGACCCGCATTTTTGCCTGCATTTATAATTCAGTCCCTTATAATAACTTAATACCCTCTCCCTTCCTTCCCTGTGCAACCACCCCCCACTCCTTGACTTCTCTTCTTGCTGCGCTCCCGTTACACAGTCTTCAATCCCATTCACTGCCAAGCTTCGCCGCCGCATTCTGCTCGATCATGCGCTTTGGCAAAACCCTTCGAAAGTCAATCTACCCGCCATGGAGTGGGAAGTATATTGATTATCACAAGCTCAAAGTTCTTCTCAGAGAACATGATGTCATCGGGCACGATAGCGACTCCGATAATGCCCCATGGACGGAACAAGATGAGGAGGCGTTCGTGCAGGAACTCTTGAACGTTCAACTGGATAAAGTCGATGCTTTCCAGGTTGAGACCTTGAAGCAGCTGCGAGAACGAACGGCCGATTGCGAGTCCAAGTTGCGAGCATTGACTGATGCAGCTCAGGAGGAGGCGGCACCGGACATGGATGATGCGGAGAAGAAACGAATTGCATCGGTTGTTCTGCAGGAGCTGGACAGCATTACTCGAGAGGTCAGCGAGCTGGAGAAATACAGTCGAATCAACTTCACCGGTTTCCTCAAGGCGGCTAAAAAGCATGACCGCAAACGAGGAGCACGGTACCGTGTGAAGCCCTTGTTACAAGTGCGCCTGTCGCAGCTCCCTTTCAACTCGGAGGACTACTCGCCTCTCGTTCGCAGACTCTCTGTTATGTATTCCTTCGCCCGTGAAATCTTAAGCAAGGGTGTTGTTGAGGCCAAGACTCCCGCTGAGCCGCAGTTTGGTCAAGACATGTATTCTTCCTTCAAGTTCTGGATCCACCCCAATAATGTTCTCGAGGTCAAGACCTATATTCTGCGACAGCTGCCTGTTCTCATTTACAATCCTGGTACCTCGAAGGACCTCGATATCCTCCCTGACGACCCTACGATCACCTCACTTTACTTTGACAATCGACAATTCGACCTTTACAATCAGAAGGTTGCTCGTGCCGCTGAAGCCGGGTCTCTGCGGCTGCGATGGACTGGGAATTTGCAAGACAAGCCGGCCATCTACCTGGAGAAGAAGGTCGTATCGGATGACAATCGCAGTAGAGAAGTTAAAGTTCAACTCAAACCAAAGCACGTGAAGGAATTCTTGGATGGGGACTACCACTTTGACAAAAAGCTGCAGCGGATGGAAATTATGGGCAATGGAGAATCGGAACAAGCAGAGTCTTTCAAGCAAGATATCGAGGAATTGCAGTCATTCATCAGGGAATACAATTTGCAGCCAATGCTTCGGGCCAATTACACCCGGACGGCGTTTCAGATACCTGGAGATGATCGGATCCGGATTTCTCTCGACACTAACTTGGCCCTCATCAGGGAGGATTCGCTGGACGAAGGTCGTCCGTGCCGTGAACCCGATCAATGGCATCGCACAGACATCGACGATGCGGGAATGGAATACCCCTTCAGTAGCATTCGAACCGGAGAGATAGTTCGTTTCCCTTATGCACTACTGGAAATCAAACTTAGAGGTACTGCAGCACACAGCGCTGAATGGGTGAAGGATCTCATGGTCTCACATCTGGTGAAAGAAGCTCCGCGGTTCTCCAAGTTTGTCCATGGTGTGGCACAGCTCTTTGAGGATTATGTCAACAGCTTCCCGTTCTGGCTTGGTGACTTGGAAAATGACATTAGAAAAGACCCCGAAACCGCTTTTCATGAAGAACAGGAACGGTTGGCGCAGCGAGCAGAAGATGATATTGCGGTCGGAAGTTTCCTTGGCACCCGAAGTCCGCTGGCAATGAGACCTCTAGTGGGATCTCCAGTGCAAATGTTCACGGACATATCCTCTTCACCTCGCCGTCGACAGTCGTCGCAGATGCTCCCGCCATCGCAGCGACCCTCTGCTCCAGAAATGGCTCGCGTACCTGAGCGTCCAGAGCCCGGCACACAGGACAACCATATCCAGGACGAGGACGAACAACCGGAACACCCAGTGACTCTGAAACGTCTGGCCTCTCTCTTCCCGACCTTCTCCGCCAAGCGTGACAAGCGTGGCACTCGGAATTCCGTCGTGCTGCCTCCCGGCGTTCGGGAACCAGGCACGTGGATCAAGGACTCTGGACCTGTCCGGGTTGAGACTAAGGTCTGGCTCGCCAACCAGCGCACTTTCATCAAGTGGCTCCATATCAGTATCCTTCTGTCATCGCTATCTCTAGGTCTTTACAATGCAGCCGGGAAACACAACGACATTGCCCGTGCGCTATCGATCGTCTATACGGCCTTCGCCATCTTTGCCGCTGTCTGGGGGTGGTACATGCACGAGAAGCGGGCCAAGCTCATTCGTCAACGGAGCGGACGAGATTTGGACAACACGTTTGGACCGATAGTGGTCTGTATTGGATTAGCAATTGCCCTGGTTCTGAATTTTGCCTTCAAGGTAGGCCGCTTAATGTGAAGGGGGTGGGCCAACTATTCGCTAACTTATTACATAGTACAACTCCACTCTCGAAAAGATCCGTAATCGCCAACCTACTGCCAACCTACCCCCTGCAGTTAACACTACCGGCTTTGTCAACAAGCCGAACGTGTGGCAGCTGGTCAATCAAGGTGGCCAGGCCCTGTAACGCGTATGCCTCATGATTGGATCTTTTATTGCCGAATGCTTGTACACGACGGAGTCTGCAGGTTATTTCCAAGCTCCTGCCCGAAGTAGAGGCAGAAGAATGTGGCTGAACATGTCAGCCGCTCGTGTATTCAATAGAATGAATGTCTTTGGAAATAAGCTTATCTTGGGATCGAATGAAGGGGTGGAAACGGGGGGAAACAGAAAAGGGATATATTAGATGACTTTCCCCAAAAGTAGAATTATATGCTTGTAAAATCTCTTCAGGTTATTCCTTGACTGTACATATGTGCCTGTTATTATGTGATGTCATGACACCTTCATGGTAGGTCAAGATTAGACGCTCGCCGTCTTGAAGATCTGAGAAAAAGGACCGATAAATCTCTAAATCTAGTTGCTACACTTCAATGCATGGCTCGAGCGTTGAATTCCGTCATGTATACCGGCTCGTTGAGCCCTGCGACAGCAATGGAGCATGCTCAGCATCCAGTTCATTTGTAGGACGATCTTCCGGCGCCGAGTTAGGTAGCTGTCCCTTTGAAGCAGCTGCATACATTCCACGCGGAATGAAGCCTTCAAAGTTCTCGCTGTTGTATCGTGATGTTAGGTCACCGTGTTTGACGCAACAGAAAGCACTTAGGAGATACAAAGCAGTTCTTACCGATCAAAAAATCCCACAAATAACCACAGATATACCGTCCCCAGAAATGCAATCACCCACTCCAGAATCCCGGCCGCGCGATAGTCGCTTACATCTTCAGGGACGGTGAGCAACAGGAAAGCAACCCCGAGGAAGAGCTCCACCAGGATTAAAGCAGTGGATAAGGATACACTAGAGCGCTGGGTTAGCAATCTCTTCTCCTAGCCACACACACACACACACACACACACACACACACACACACACACACACACGCGCGCGCGCGCGCGCGCGCATGTGAGACTATCAGGCCAAGCAGGCGGTACTGAAGCAAAGGAAAACGAAAGAATGGAGCACACATACAACACTCTGACTCGGACCTTCCGCCTCCGGCCCCACGTCCGCTGCCACACACCCCCATGCGCCAGAAATGCTACAAACCCCATCACCTCGTTCGAATAAACGATTGCCGTGCCGGCCGACTGCAGGGCCAAACCTCCGAAGCAGAGTCGCAGGAGAATTGCGTGCGCGAAATGGTATCGGAAGGTGTCCATAACGCCCAGTAGAATTAGAGCGGTGCAGGCCATGCCGGCGGAGAAGATAGAGAGAAGGGAGACGATTTTGAAGGTGGCGATTGTCGAGGGCGATCCTTTGTCGTCTTCGTCTTCATCGCCGTCGTCAGCAGCATCATCTATATCGTTATGGCTCCGAACAGTGCTGCTGCATTGGGTCACGGGGTCTGGCTGTCTACTATTCCTGTCCGGAGCAGGTTCGTGCTGCTGACTGGTGGAGAAGGGATCCGGGCAGCGGATCAATGCAAAGCCAGGCTCGTAGCGTATGACGTGGACGGCGGCTACAGTGAACCAAAAGCCGACGGCGGTCATGGAGGCGCCGATGAGGAAGAGAGGCTTCAGCTCGAAAGACGCGATGTCAGAGATGAAGCTATGATTCGGCTTGGTCAGCTGCGGTTACAGGATATCAGAGTCGGATAAGGCACCCACGCGATGTATGGGTTACTTTGGCCCGGATATCGGGGCATTCCTCGACCTAGCCATGTCAGGAGTAAGCTGGCCAGAGTCAGGAACCAGACTGCGCCTGCTAAGGAGGGGAAGATGGGCAGGCGCGAGGGCGGAATATTGAGGATAACGACGTGCAGAAAGGACCAGATGGTATCATGGCAGCGGAGGAGGAGCGATGTGATCATAAAGGCTGGGTGGTGTGGAGCAAAACGCTCCAACTTTTGATGAGAACGGTGTCTCTGTTATTAGTCTCCATATGAGAGAAAGAGAGAAGGAAAGATGATACAGGAGGGCGATGTTCTGAGATGGCGGTCAGCTGATGACGATGTCGTCCATAACGGGCTCTAGTATAGTATAGTATAGTAGCATGTATAGTACATTGTCCATACTTCGACTGAACTACGGAGTACTGTTTACTTCATTACTTATGGACAGACAAAGTATCCTATCATCTTCTCTTCCTCCAGCGTCGGGCATTTATAAGCCCAAACCCACGAGCACAATCTCATCAACCACAACAACAATAATAACCTCCTCCATTTGACCTCTGCTGACAAATCAGCTTGCGCGAAGAACAAATGCCCGAGGAAAAGGCCCGATTGATCCCCAGTCACTCTCCTATGAAGCTATAAAGTAATTACTGCATATAACTAGAGTTCGCCTTGCTCTATTGACCGCTGATGCTTAAGGAGGATTCACCAATACACACACACCATATCGAAGAACCATGACCAACTTCAACATTCATATCATCTCCGACACCGTGTGTCCCGTAAGTTCGAATCCTACCAAACTTGCGCATGATACTTTCCCTTCCACCACCGCCACCACCACCACCACTTGCTCATCGCTTAAGAAAAAAATATAGTGGTGCTATGTCGGTTACCGCCGCCTCAGCCGGGCCATCGCCCTGCACAAAACCACCAACCCAACCGACACCTTCACTCTAAGCTGGCACGCTTTCTACTTGAACCCAGAAGGGCCGGCTTACCCCGGCCTTGACAAGCGGGAATCCTTCTGCAAGAAGTTCGGCCCTCAGCGCACTTCAGCCATCATTGACCACTTGACCTCCGTCGGCAAGACCGAGGACATCAACTTCAGTTTCGGGGGTCGTACCGGCAACACTCGGGACTCGCACCGCCTACTGTGGTGGGCCGGCCAGAAGGAAAAGGCTGAAGCCAGTGGAAGCAGCAGCAGCGCCGACAAAGCTCTGGTTGGCGGGTTGCAGACCCGGGTCGTTGAGAAGCTGTTCCGTGCCTATTTCGAGGATGAGAAGAACATCACCGATCCCGCCGTCTTGACTGAGGCCGCCGTTGATGCGGGCTTAGACAAGACCGCCGTCGAGAAGTTCCTGGCCTCTGAAGATGGTGGGAAAGAGGTTGATGTTGAGGCCTACGCCGCCCAGCGCCAGCTGGTCTCTGGGGTCCCGTATTTCATGATCAATGGTGCGTATGCGGTGCCCGGGGCTGATGAGCCGGAGACTTTCTTGGAGGTATTCGACAAGGTGAAGAGTGCTTGATTATCTTGGACCTATGGGTGCTACACGCTGTAATTATTTATGCTTCTTGAACTGGGTGGTATTAGATGATCCATTTGCAGAAATGAGGGTAATGCTGAAGATAGGCGCTACTATCTCATTGATGATTTAGGAGAAAAAGCAAAGCAGTCTCAGAAACGGCTGTCCTCTAGCTGTGCTATCCTCTAAGGCATCAACTGCGGCCACTCAACGTAGCAAATGAAATAGAGATCCGCTCAAACGCCTGAACCATGCAAGCAAGCAACTACAGCAGTACGAAGAGGAGAAGTCGAAGGTTCACCCCAAAGCAAAGTAATGGCGAAACCTCCCGAATTATTCGCTGCATAACATAAGGTTGGGAGAAGTTGAACCATAGTGCGTCAGCCCAGTGACCACGAGAAGATAACACCGCAACACCAGGGCGCAGAGAAGACAAAAACCCAACCCAGAGAGTTTTATCATGACAGTCGTTGAACCCTCCGAAAGTGTAACATGCGTTAATGGGTCATAGTGGGTGTTCGGGAGCTTGACGAACAGAGGAGAGAAGGTTGAAGTGTGGAAGAATATGGTCAGACGTGTGCCAGATCTAGTAGACGCTGGACTGCTGCAGTTTGAAGTCGGGGATGTAGTCGAACCAGTCTGTCTTCGCGTTGTAACGATAAGCCTTGAATTCCACACCATACGGCTTAGGCTCCAACATATAAAGCATGCCCAGGGGTACATCCAGGGAGGCGACTTCATCGCGCTTCAGACCACGGAAGTATGCCAGTAGAACGCGCGCCACAGACCGGTGTGTGACCAAGAGAATGTGGTCGGTTGTCCGCTCCATCTCAATGATCACAGCGCGAAGACGGTTGATCACGTCCATGTAACCCTCACCGCCAGGCCCGGGGTATCTGTAGAAAAGCTTGTTCTTGCGACGAGCTTGGTATTCTTCAGGGAATTTCTCACGAATCTCATCGTAGGTCATACCCTCCATCTCACCAGCGTAGAGCTCGTCAAGCATTTTCATCTGCTTCACATCATAGTCATCTTCGTTGAAGTAGTCCACAGTTTGAATAGAGCGTTGCATCATTGAAGACCAGACGCAGTAGTTGCGAGGTCGATCACACGGAATATATGATGGGTTAGGAGGAGTGCTGTCGCCAGCGCGGGGCGGTAGGTGTCGAAGCATCTCCTTCTGTCTTTGAATAAGCTCCCATTGTCGCCGTTGGTGGTCAATGAATCGAGTCAATGCCTTAGCATATCGGTGGCCGTTCTCGCTGAGTTCGGAGTCACCGCCAATGCGACCCAGCTGGTTATCCTTGCTTTCACCATGTCTCGTAATCCAAATCTGACGAGGTGAAAGGTTGAAGTTGAGAAGGTAGTACACAACCTGCGAGGAAAGAAAACCATGCGTCTGGTGGGCCACAATCTTGCGTCCGACATCGATCATCTGAATGAAGGCCATGTTGTTCTTCTCTTCATAATCGCCCAAAGGAACATAGGATTTCTCATAAAGAGCAACACGCTGCTTGAAATCTGCCAGGGCCTTAACAGGATCTTGATCTTTATAATCAGGACCAGAAAGCTTCAAGCGCATGTTGGCCTCTAAAAGCTCTTGGTCCACACAGCTGCTTTCTAAGAAAAGAATGTTAAGCTCCGTGCCGGCGCGCCGGCGAATATGCTCGACGATCGTCTTCCGACGCTCCATAGTACTGTTCGTGGCATCTAGAATACCAACACTCCCTCCCTTTTCGAGGATGTATTCCAGTAGCTCGTCTAGGGTGTCCAGAGCCACCTGTTCCCTGAGTTTAACGGCAAGTTGGTTTTGGGGGTCAAAGAAATTGGCGGACTGATCAATGGGCTCAGGGGATGCTTCGCGCATGGCCTCTTGGTCTTCAAGGCCTGCATTGGCCGGAGGCACAATCGTGTTTTGTAAGGGATCCTCCTCCTTGCCGTTGACCAAGATTTTGGTGGGACACGCGGGAGGTGGAAGCTTGGTGTCAAGTTCGGGGGGCGACGACACCGCATCTTGGGGAGCGGCTGAGGTACCACCTTCGGGGCGGGGGATCTCCTTACGCGAGGGCTGGTTCGAGGTGCCAACACTGACGCTTAGACGTCGGACAGAATCGACAAGTTCACTGTGGATGACGCTGGCCCGATGGCTAGGACGGCGCCCCGCGACAGATGGCGACTTCCCAGCAGCCACACGACGGCGATTACCAACATTGAAGATCTCAGTGTCATGCTGCAGCCAATTCAGGTACCGCGCCAGTTTCTTGGTGACATAACTCTTTCCTCGAGCAGGAAGGCCAACCATGACAATGACCAGCTTGGATCCAACATCTCGCTGGGCGATTCGTCCATCGGGGGAGACCTTCGATTTGGTGAGACCGGGGATGTCGAGTGTGGTTGCACGCACGCGACCGGGGAGGTTTGGGGTTGATGAGCTGGCGGGACTAATGACAGTAGGTTAGTTTAAGGAAGTGTCTTCCAACATATCAGCAGACGGCGCAAAGCCACCGAGTATCGTCAACACGAGATGCAAGAACATATCGAACGAAGACTCTAGTCAACAACTTCAAATGATGGAATGCTGCAGGTTGAGTGGGGGAGGGGCAGGAAAAGTGACATCCATCTAGATGCCGGTACGAGATAACCCGACATCAGATCAAATTGCCGATCATTCCCCAAGCAGCGGTAAAAAATCTAGAATGCTCTTCCGGGCAGAGTCGATACAGTCGAGACTTTAGGGAACATGTGCAGAGAAACCAACCAACGAGCAGACGAAAAAGAAACAAGATACATACAATTGTGGAGACGAGGGTGCGGTAGAAACCGGAGTGTCTGTTAGGGCGAACCCGACACCATCCTTGGAGGCTTGGGATCCCTTGTGGGCATCGGAGGAATGCAGTTCATTCCCTAGCGCTCGTCCGACCAACGATTTCGGCGGAGGCATAAGAGTCGCATCTTTCCCGGTACCCGACTGCGACGGGATTCCTGTGGATTTCCCATCGCGTTTATGCTCGGGAGTTGAGGCGCAGGTCATGATGGCCGAACGCGCAATATCTGTGTGTTGGGACATCCCCGCAGGTGGCGCAGGGACGCAGCCTGATTTCTAAGGGAGAGAACGATGGAGATTAAGGTCACACTTCAGTGGAGAGAAAGGTCTTCTTCTACCGTCGTGGTGAAATGAAGGGGGAGGACCGTCTCTTTTGGATAAGAGATTCTTCAAGAGACGGTGCAGTGAGGGTAGGACGATACGGACCTGCGCAAATTAGTAGCCAAGATATTTGGGAGGGGAAAAAGAGAAGCTGAGGAGGTGGTGGTGGAGGACGGATGAGTCAAGTTCAATTCGCCCACACAACAACGTCACTGTTTGCAATTTCTCGGTCAAACCAACCCAAGTTCAACACAACAACACTTCCACTGTTTTATAACAACCACGCAGTCAATTGCGCGATATCCAGATCTCTCAGAAGTAATGGGGCGCAGAGATAACCAGGCAACATGCAATCCAAGGGAAATTTGACAGCCAATTGGGAGGGGAAGAGGGGAGGGAGGCAAAGCAAGGCTTCTGATCCGAATCTTCCGAGCCACCAGGAATAGGTAGGTAGGCACAAGAATAATCTGGATATGTTAGAGAGAGCGATAGTCGGTTCAGGCAATCGCAGGTGAAGATTGATGCACGGGATGGATTGATTTGATACAAAGACAGTGACTATCAAGAGATGGAACCGCAAAGTACATATAACGTGAGCTTGGAGCTGATGAAGTCACTTGGGGGTCGCTTACTAGTCCCTGTATCAGTGGATCGGCCGAGGGATCTGCTAACTAGACTGCTGCTACCATCATGATGATGATGTCAAAATCTCTTGACTGTTTCGACTGTCTCTAGCTTTTAAGGTCCGCAACATCCCGACAAATACTCTGGCTCCATCGGATGCATAATTCCGATCCAGGGCATCTCACCTACAATCCCAGAATGCCCAGGAGAACCAGAATACTTGGCTCAGCAAGGGTTGGAGAAGACTCCTCATCATCACAGGTCAATTCCTCACCACACAAGCACGAGCCCTGCTGGTGAGACGCCCAGACCAGCCAAGATACTCACCGGGCTTGCTTTGCAGCAATTCTGTGTCAGATCCAGCCACTGGGTTAGACTGAGCTGGGCTGGGCGGCAGCTGCATGAAGGCGGCAAAACAGGGCAAAATCCGTCCAGGTGCAACCCCAGGAGGTAATGCGTTAGGTAATGAACGCAGGCAGCTTTATGTTTCATGCTATTATGCCAAATAACTAACTCCAGATATACCGACTGATCCCAGGGCTTAGGATTCGGATCAGGTCATCCAAGGCTTGGACGGTTGCACCGTCACGTTGTTTGCTACATCTACAAGCTGCAGTTCCCCGAAGAAAACACGAGTCTAACCCGGCCCGGAATGGCTTCGAAGACCGCGGATGGCTTCGATCGACGGTGTCAATCAACTCTTAGCAGCTGGGGAGAGGACGTGGGCCAATAGCTTCTTGTTCCCTGTAAGGTATGGGTGATACAACCGATACTCCAAGACTTCCTCTATTGTGGTACCAACTGGCGGTAGTGGTAGTGGTCTAGGCCATGCCTTTTCTACAAGTCTCTGAATAGATACTTCCATATCCCTTTGAACCACTCTCGATCCTTTTCCCATGCCTTGACGATCATGTCTCTCCCCAATTTGACGAGATCCTCCAATTGTTCCGGAGACCCCCAGCCAGGAGTCATCGGGCCAAATGAGACATAATGAACACCGGCATGGATCAGAGCTCGGAAGGCGAATGCCTCGTCTGGTACTTGGTAACCCTCGAGGAAGCCCTGGATAATGGACAGCCCAGCATTGAAATCCCTGAAGTGCTTCAGCATGTACAATTCGGCGAGCATCTGGCCAACGTCCAACGCTCGGGCGCCGAAATGGCAGAGCTCCCAGTCCACAACGAAAAGGGACGTCTGAGGATTGAAATCTAGTGCCCGTATGGGAACCAGAACGCTGCGCCAATTAGCCCTCCAATTCATGGTGGCTGTTCAGTTGTGTGTGTAGTGGAATATGAGATGACTTACTTCCCCGACCAAAAGTCGCCATGGATAATTCCGCACTCAGGTCCGGCCTTCCTCTCCGACTCAGCAACTGCCGCTAGTCGCACCTTCTCGAACACTTCGCGGGCTTCTCCTAATATAGTGGGATACTGATCGACTCGTTCCACCAGGGTGTCATAATTGACAGAAAGCTTCAAATCCCGCATTGTGTGATTCCTCTCCAGTTCCGCCACTACGCTCGCCTGGCCCTCTTCGTCCGTCCATCGATGGAATGACCGCAACCATGTGCCTAGCGCTTTTCCAATGGAGACCCCCCAGTCCTCAGAGAGAGAACTCGATGCAGCCGAGGAAATGCAGAACGTCTTCAGATCCAAAGACTCCGGTAAATCCTCCAGGACAGCGGTGTTCATGTCCGGGTTGAAGGTGAGGAGACGAGGAGCCTTGACTGTGATGTTGCGTTGATTTTCAAACTGTTCTTCCACGGTTACTGTGCTGGAGAGGCCATCAAGGGCCCTCAGGCTGGTTTCTTCGAAGAGCTAGGCAGATTGTCAGCTTTCCAATTGCGAGATTCCGGTGTTGACATAGGGAGGAAGAGTTACACAGCGCCCCGCAGACAGTTTGAAGTTCCGATTCGAGGCTACATAGTCCTCCGTGTGCTTGATGATGACGGTCTTTGTGCCATCTTCTAGGGGAAGAGACAGCAGTCCCCGGAAAACGAAGTTGGCGGTGCCTCCTCTCAGGCGCGTGAGGGATGAACATGCATAACGAGTCTGCTCGAGTTCGCCAGCAATGTCACTCGTGATGCTATCATCTGGGTCTGCGCCTGAGTCTGATCTCCTGAGAGAATTCTCGGTGGTGGCAGCCATGGTTCGTGTGGAAATGGGTCAGCCGTGTAGTCGCGTAAGTTAGTTGTAGAGTCTTTTATGTGAGCTGTGCACGCCTTTACTTATTGTTTGGTCATGCTTGGGGCCGGACATGGCGGGGTCTGGAAACGGAAAGGCGTAGTCTTGTCTCACTACCGCTGAGTCCTTTGCTTTTCCATTCCAGATGATGCAAAGCACCTATTGATCGGTTGTGGCAGTTTTGTCGACATGTTGGCAGATTCAATATATCCTCAGAAGCCTGGCGAGCGGGGTGGGGTTGCAGTGGGCGTTGGTTGGTGAGTCATTGTATACTATGTAACTATACTGTAGTGTGTAGTAGCTGAGACAAGTTTAAACTAGCATCCAAGTCAGTCATCAAATTAATACGAGCTTCAGTCTTAATCGATCCTTTGACTCATTCGCTCACCCTAAACCCCAAACTAAAATCATCAAGAACAAAAAAAAAAAAAAAAAAAAAGAAATGAAAAGAAAAGAAACCATATCAGCGTTGAGAGTGCGATCGGTGCTGGAGGGCAGATTATGGGTATGAACTCCCATTGGACTGATGTGCTGTATGCATGTCTAACTTGAGGTGTTCTCGGGTGAATATTTCCTGATGACAATTCGAACCCCGAGAATTGTTCTAGATACAGTTATTGCTTTGGTCTCGAGACATATATGATGGATGTGCGCCTTGGTCTATGAGATCTTCGCATGTCTGCCCAAACGGTTAGTAATCTCATGCATACACTCGGCATCAGGCACTCATCCTCCAGATCGCCCTCGTAACATGAAGAATGGCATATCCCTTCCATGTACTCCGTAGTCAACCCAATTAATCTCAAGCCAGAGCCTAGAAAACAGATCCAGCAGCTCTGGCTATCCGCACAACCACCATCATGAGCTCGAACTCGCCGACCAAAACACGCTTCCTCATCCTATCCGACACCCACAACATCAGTCTCCCACCAGAGTACATCTCCAACCATGACGCCGACGTAGTGATCCACTGCGGCGACCTGACCCAATCCTCTATGCTCGACGAACTTCAAGCCTCGATCAACTTTCTCCAACAAATCGACGCACCGCTCAAACTTGTCATCCCCGGCAACCACGACTTCACCCTGGACACGCCCTTCTTCCGTAGCATGGTCGAGAAAGACACCGCCCACCTCAGGCCCGAGGCGATTGCAAAAGCGTACGGCTCATACGGCGAAGCCAAGCAGCTCTTCATGTCGCCAGACGCGAAAGCCGGCGGCGTCCGGTTGCTCGACGAAGGGACGCATCACTTCACGCTCCGCAACGGCGCATCCCTCACTGTGTACGCGAGTCCCTACACTCCCTCTTTGTGGAATTCGGGTTTTCAGTATAAGCGATCTGAGGGTCATCACTTCGAAATCCAGCAGAACGTCGACGTAGCCGTGACGCATGGCCCTCCCCGGGGTGTCATGGATCTCACTGCCTCGGGCCAGCAGGCCGGGTGTCTGGAACTGCTTGCGGCTGTCGCTCACGCGCGGCCGCGCATGCATTGCTTCGGACATATTCATGAGGGTTGGGGGGCGAAGCTGGTAACGTGGGAGGAGAAAGTCGGCGAGTGCTCGTCGCCTTCTGTTGGCATCAATGAAGACCGATCTGTGGTGATTGCGAGCTTGTCAACTTTGCCTTCGCAAGGTCAAGGCTTCTATCGCACCAGTCATTGTGAGCGTGACGAGTATCCGCTGGTTGCCGGGTCGCAAACACTGTTCGTTAATGCCGCGACTGTGGGCTTGGATGAGGCTTCTGTGCAGCCACCTTGGCTGGTTGAGTTAGAACTTCCGCTGGCGAAATCCTTGATTTGATAATTACTCACCGGTTGGAGTAGATTTAGACAGGGCGTTGATTGAATAGAAAGACTATTCGTTTGTGATTTAGCCGGTGTTTGATGCCGCTGATATAGACAGAGACTCAGGTTCTTAGATTGAAGAACGAGTATTTGCATTCTAGCCGATGAGAATACAGAGATGTGATAGGTGCGGTGGAAGTTGTGGCAGCGAGGTTCGGAAGATTCAGAGACAAAATGTGCAGAAAAACCCTTGAGAACTTGAGAACAGCAATCGAGGTCTCAACGTCAACTCAAGCTCTCTGAGATGCGCAATAGTCCGCTTTACGCCCTTCTCACTTGGCAAACTCCACTTGTTGTGAAGCGAAGCAACTGGAACATACCGATGCTCAGAACAGCGTAAGACTAAGCAGTCAAACCCCCACGCCTTACTACGCCTTACTACGCCTTAGAAGGCATGGATACGATAACTCAAGACAATACACCCACCCTTTGGCTGCTATACATTTTGTCTTCGCGTAGCTTTGAAATAAGAGTAACATGAGCCCCACCTCCTCCTTCCCAGCAAGGCTCCCAGACTGTGGTTCATAATCGATCCGATCAGCCGTGCCATTATCATGTCCCACAGCGGCACCAATACATGCATCAAGGCTATACAGAAGCTTTGGGCACAGCAGAAAGTGTACATCTCGATTGATCTAGTCAATGAACGCACCTATACAACCTCGGACCAGATTCGTGGAACCGCAACCATTACAACTGCGCATGATGTGGATTTCGATCATCTCAGTATCACATTCGAGGGTAGGGATTCATAAAAATGCTGGTCATGTGAAAATGGCACTGATGCCAGCTCAGGTGTCTATCGCGTATACAACGAACGAATCGGTCCTCCGCATACCGACCGTCGAATCGCCGCTTCCAAGACATTCCTCAAACTGCGACATCCTTTCCCCACTGATGCGTATCCCAATTCAAGGCAGTTCAAGAAGGATGAAACGTATGTATTTCCCTTCAGCTTCGTCGTTCCAGGCTCCGCAAAGACCACTGTCTGCGCGTCTGAGCCCAATGGGGCCCACACAGAACTCCCGCCAAGTCTTACACGCAGCAAGAATGACTACTTCACTCCGTCAATGTGCGAAGTCATCTATACCATTCACGTTCGAATAACACATACTCCTGAAAAGAGGAGCCTGGCACGTCAGTCAAGGCAAGCAAGGGTAGTGACCATTGCGCAGACATATGCATTTGAGAAGGGGGAGAGCGCCCGCATGACCGGCCACATACCTGGGCAAGGAGTGGATGAGTTCAAGACGGTGGCTTTCCAGCCACAGCCCATTCGGCTTATTGCGCCAAAGTACGTGGATTTGAGTGCTCCTTGCCCCATTGAGGTACAGATCCAATATAATCCCGCCGACCATGTGTGTCCGCCGCGTCTGAAAGCTCTTCATACCAGGCTTGATGTGTCAACAACCTACATCTGCAACGATGGGCTGCAGGTGAGTTGTTCTTCCGCAACTGGGACCACTCAGTTTGTGAGAACCATACCGCTATCGTCGGTCAGTATCAGGTCGTTGCAATGGCACTGGGCGACACCGAGCCAGAAGATCGGTATCATCGAGGCTGGTGACCGATACCCTGATTTTGCTCAAAACTGTTGCGAGGCTTCAATTGTGGTTCCAATCTCCCTGCCTAGAGACAGCATTTTCATCCCCTCATTTGCTTCTTGTTTCGTCAGTCGGGTTTACACCCTGAGATTATCGATCTCTTATTTCTCTTCGGATGCATCACTGTTTTCATCGTTGGCTGAGATTGACGTTCCCGTGGTGATCAAGTAATAGAGTTAAACTCCACGCAAGTGTTCTGGTGACGAGCGACCTGTGGGAATAGAGTCCAAGCCTGCGACGGCACCGTGTGCTAGATGCGCTACTTTCTACCTAGTTCCTCTCAATTTCACCAAGTCTAGGATAAATCATTGCTGGAATCCGGTCCCCGGACTTGTTCAACGTTGATGTCACCCAGGGGAAGCAGACTTGCGTCACTGTCAAATCTGGCCACTTGATCGATATGTTGGCGTCTGAATGCAGCGATCCACTCAGGGTTGTCAAAAATAGTCTGGTTCCACGAGTCTTCACAGTCGTATACCAGCCTCCTCGACTCCTGCTGCAGCATTTCGTCTGTAGGGATGATCCCCCTTTCCATCTGCTGTCGTGCGAAGCGACTCAGGTGAAACACCAAAACCTCGATCATATCGTCCAATGAACCCGTAGTGACCTGTTCCCCGAAAGACGCTAGCTGGCTATCGGTTTCAGTAACATTGTCGGAGGCGCTCAAATCGTTCACCGTCAGTCGTGATTTGATTTGATTAAGATGGTCGTAATGGTGAAAGGATGTGGCTGAGAACGGCACAAGAACACGCGAGTCCGAACCGATATGGTACGGCGGCAGCGAATTCAGAACCCGTTGTGCAATAGCTGGAGGGAACTCGTGGTCCCCATGCCAGTCGTCCATTGTCAGTCCGCTACGGAAATGATTGCTAAGATGGTCGACTCGCTCGTCCCAGGAAGAAAGCCTTTGGTCACAGAACCCACAGCGAGATGTAACGGATGGTCCTTGGACTTTCCAATCATCAATCTTAGGTAATGTCTTGAGATGATGTGTTCGTCGTAGATGCTGTACCAGATGATCCTTGCGATGGAAAGTGCGCGTGCCGTTCATGCAGGCCTCGTATTTATGCTCCTTGAGATGCTCCTCTGTCGGATCTTGCATGTTGCAAAAAGAGCAATGCTTCTCCCCAGATAGAGGGAAAATCACCGTCCCACCTTGCGGCGCACACACCCATTCTTCCAGATTCAAGTGGAGGGACTTTTCATGCCGTGCCCAGTCATACTTGGTACGGAACTGATCACAACAGAAGGTGCAGCAGTATAATCGGCCCTTTTCCCCTGAAATCATCCTAGCACTTCTGCCTTTGCGCACGCGTCCATTGGTGCGCTTTTGGGGAGTTCTTCTCGAGCCCTGAGACTTCTGGGAGGCTGCTGATCTGGTCGAGATGGAGGAAGGCTGGGAAGAGACACTGTGGGCGCTACTCTGTGAGCTGGGAATTGATGTGGTTCGATGTCGGTATCCTCGGAAAGAGTCATGCAGTTGGCCCAGGCTTCCCAGTCCACTGTTGGACACGCTTCTCTGATCATAGACTGAGGGGTACTTTTTCAGAGATTCCATGATCGCTGACAACGAAGCCGGCTCATCTTCTGGCGGTGAATCCTGCCATCGTTGTAAAGGATCAGAGGCAGTTTGCAGATTCGGAATGTGTACTGGGGCTACGTTCGATCCTCTGCCCCGCATCGAGTAGTGACTTCTTCGTCTGGGGAGACCGCGTTGTGCATATACGTTGAACACGGGCGGTGTGATGTCGGTGGGCTGCAGAAGTGGAATGCTGCCAATTCGATCATCCGCCGCATGTAGAACTGCGCCGCCATCGGAGAAGGCATGGGATGAGGAAGCATGTATATCGTCGGAAGGATGTCCGGGATTCAAGTCATGTATCTCTTGAAAGCATGGTGTTGGCCAAGATGTGCTTTCCGGTTCTGAGATTGGGTGGTCAGACTGGATGGTGCCAGACAGGTGTTCAGTTGTATCCCCACCACCGATCATCTGCAACGCTTCGGTTGATCCGGCATGTACGGAAGTGCGTGGCTCAGTACTTGGCTCAGTACTTCCTTGCTCAAAACTAGTCGTGGGTGTAGCAGAATCTGGGTTGATTGGGGCATTCCACACGGATGAGCTTCCATCTCCAAATGATGCTGAGTCTCCGAGAGGAGTAAACCTTTCATCTCCGATTGGGGTGAAGTCGTACATGTTACCGCTCATCTCCAAGTTGAGAAACTCATCCCAACCCTCCCACATACTGGATGCAGCGGTTTCGGATGTGAAGAACTTTCCAATCTGTTGGGTTGCATCGTCAATGCCCGATTCGTGTGTTGGAGGCTGCATAATACATGTCCTATATCTGGATCTCAGTAGCTCGAATTATGGGGTTGTTCTGATATTGAGATCATGGGATGGGTTTGGGCCAAAGTGTCTGAAGTCAGTCTGGGACCAGTGATAAGTAAGTGTAAGAGGCGACGAGTTACCGATAATCGGAGAAGAGCTGCTTTGCTTCAGGGTGGATGATTTGCGCCCCGCCGGCCCCACATGGATAGCGAACGAACCCATACTGTTAAGGTTTCCTACTCGTGCCCTAAGCCATAATTAGCCATGAGGTTTGAAAAAACTTGAGGCTTTACAACAGCAAGGCCTGCTGGCCCAATGGTAAGGCGCTTGACTACGAATCAAGAGATTGCAGGTTCGAGCCCTGCGTAGGTCATTACTTTTTTGTTTTTTGGGTTATGTTTCTGTATTTCCAACTCACACCGACCAGTAGACTTTATACGTGCCTGCATGTTAGCGACATCTAAACCTCTGTGGATACTAGCTGTATGTAGTTACTTTGTCTTGATCAACTTTATAGATACTATTTTAACTCAGTTGCGGCGAGATATCTCAGTCAGTGATTCAAGTCCACGAAATATATCCATACAGTGGAGAATCACTAGTGCCCGGTTACACTTAACATCCATATACTCACGCCATCTCACACAGGGTCATGAAAATACCACATCACAACTGCGTATAATATCCCTAGAACTGTATACAACCCAGTAATAAGCACAAGGGGCCACTTATGCCAACCTGCAGTAACCACCACTCCACCGGCAGCAGCACCACCACCACCAAGCACTCTTATACCCTTTCCTCGAGATTGGCAATAGTAATTTGCAGCGAGAACTAAAACCAAATACGAAGTAACAGCAGAGGCCATGCACCTAGCGATAACCTCATAGTCTGTGGCCAGGTCAGCAATTATCCCACATACTCCGCACAGAATGAGACCGGTAGCAGGAAAGCAACCCCCCCCACCAACAAAATCTGAAGCTTAGTATAGTAAATCACGCTATAATCATTGATCGGGTACGTATAATGCACAGGCCCGTCAGCAGGGTAGACCGAAAAGCGTGAACCACACTAGATATAAGCACGCAAAACCAAAATGGTGCAAATGCAAAGGGGTGTTCTTGAACAAGGACTCTGCCACGAGCAGAGCCAAGGAGATATTTGGGATATCAGACGCATGTGTTACTCAGAACATGCAGAGTTTAAAGAAAAAAAAAAGTAATGACCTACGCAGGGCTCGAACCTGCAATCTCTTGATTCGTAGTCAAGCGCCTTACCATTGGGCCAGCAGGCCTTGCTGATATCTTTTTCCGTCAAACTGTGCTACATATCTCAGCACCAAGCTTAAGCAATGAAGTAAGCCGCGTAGCTTCAATGTCTACCGTGTGCAATAGACTAGCAATAAACTTTCCCTTGATACTGTCACAGCCAGCGTGGCGAAGTGCTCTTGCCAATAGAAGCAGATACAAGAGTTTAATTAAGAAGTCGGATAGGCTTAAGTAAGAGGTACGTCTGACTTGGCTCGCACCGGATACTGCATGAACATTACCTGCAATGTCAATACTTCCGAATTATGATTTTCCATCAACACGCTCCACGTCATCCACATCCAATCACTGAGTAGTGAGATACCCTGAGAGAGATAGGAAGTCCATGGACGGCAGTCTGACTGGATGACGCGGAGCAGACAAAAGATCTGATAACTTCAGACTCTGTATCGTCCATGAGTTCTGCAAAGGCGTGAGCCCGATCATCTCGGACCTAATCTACGGTAAGGGCCCCTCAGAGACGCGGTTCAATGAGCGAATCATGCAACCAGAGCTCCTCCCGAAACAGATATGGGAAAAAGGGCTCCGTGAATAGTCAACCGTGCTCCGATGGGAACGAAGAGCAGTGGGGCATTTATACAACAACTAGGTCATGCATATTCCAGTAAAAAACCTCGTAAACTGGTCCCCGGTCACAATCTGGATATTGCGAGATATAGTATCATCTCTTCCAACAGTTGTTTTGAAAACATTGGTGGCATGATGAATAAACCTAACACTCCCCACAGAGTCAGCAAGATTCAATGCTTGGGTACTCGACAAGCAGCTGCAACTGATATACCTCAACTACCGGAACCCCGACCGCAACGGGACCCCGGAAATACCACATACCGCTATTGTACAATATGTATTAGCGGGCAAAAAGACAAAAGAAGTGACCTACGCAGGGCTCGAACCTGCAATCTCTTGATTCGTAGTCAAGCGCCTTACCATTGGGCCAGCAGGCCATTGCTGTTGAAGTGCCTGAGAATACATGCCAATATATGCCTGCCAATAATGTGGATTCGTATAGGGACCCATATCGAATGCGATAATAGTTTCACTCCAGTGGTTGAGTTTCGTCATGTTGTTGGCGCACGCCGTTGTATGATCCACGGTCATTTTCCTCCGACGATCGCCCATGTTGGCATTATCGCGGAGGACGCTCGGCCTATTATCTAGGATCTAAGGTCATGACAGGCCAAAGTGAAGAGCAGTCAATTCAACCAACGGTGTCTCTTGGCGCAGACCGTGGCAGAACCATTGCAGATAATGAGTGAAGAAATCGGATGAGATAACGAGGAGGCCAGGGAAGAGACTTGACTCGCTAGAGGGATGGTTTGCTCCGATACGAGACCCTGCAGGAGCAGGAGCAGGAGAAATTTGGAGCTTGGCGAAATGTGGAGGCTGATTGAAATGGTTGATGAGGCTGCGAACGCGGGGGTGGACCGGCAAGGTGTCCTGTGTATGCAGCTGTCGATCGAACAATGAGTTCCAAGGTTCAAGTTGTCGCAGAGTAAAGAATAATGCATGGTAGCGTGGCTTCCTTTGCCAAGACTTACCCTCTTTCAATATGAACCAGACATCCATGAGCCGAAAAGCTGCACAAACACGGGGTATTGACTTTGGCACTGAGCGCATGACTTCCTCACAGTGTCTTCGTGTTGTTCAGGCTTAGGAGGGCGGCTTAGAAGGGCCGGGGCTGTGTGGCTGGACGGAGTGGAAAGTTGACAAATTGTTTGCCTTGCTGTCTCCCTCCCTCTCTCTCTCTCTCTCTCTACCTCTCTTCCCCAACAACGACCAACAGACTCCATCCCGGCTCAATTGATCCTTTCGGATGGCCTCGTAATCTTTTCCTGGAGCCTCATCACCGCCCCCCCGAGGATGTCTCGTTTTAGGTCGACCCTCCCACCCGGCCCAATTATCAAGGCAGGACGGGTTCGCTGCTCGTGTTCCAGATGAATACTTGTTCATCTCGAAAGCCACCATGACGAGGACTAGTTGATGAGCCTCCTCCCCTGGAGATCTGATCACAGGGCCGAGAACTATGTTTGTCTCTTAACGACGTGTGGCAGCTGGGCTGAACGCCAATGCTGACGAATGGACTCCATCCCCGAGAGCACACCTGTCAGATGCATTCAACCAATATAAATAAGCACTAATCCCCGGCCGTAGTCCATACGCCCCAGAAATGCCATATCAAGACATTCCATTTCCCCAGAACAGGATTTCATTGAGGAACATATCGTATATTTAGACTGTATATACCATGACACGACTGGAGCGCAGTTCCTACAAGCGGCTGATTGTCTGCTGCGATGGTCTGGAGTCTATCTTTCCAACGACTGTTTCTAGTGGACTTCTGACCGAAATCCCTTACAGGAACCTGGCAAGACTCGACAGCTGACTCCGCAGACCCGCCATCCAATGTCACGCGGTTGAGCCGAACCCTTAGCCAGACGGCGATTGTCGAAGAGGATGGCGTTAAGAAAGAAGTCCCGCAGATTGTATACTACCAAAAAGGGGTTGGTACCGGCCTGGGAGACAAATATATGGGTGGTAAGTGAGCTCATCACCACGTGCGAATACTGCCTTCCCCCTCCTGTTCTCCGCAAACCCAACAGTCATCTTGAGATATCCTTCAAACTGATGATGCTCGACTACCAGGCGTTACTGGATTGGGCGTGAGCGCCAACGTCCGAGCCGCGTACGGCTTTCTCACCGACAACTACAGCGAGGGCGACGAGATCTTCTTTTTCGGCTTCTCACGCGGCGCATACACAGCACGCGCAATTGCAGGCCTAGTCTGTCGCTGGGGATTGCTCACGCACCGAGGCATGGACAATTTCACAAATGTGTACGACGACTTCTACGAGAAGCAGATCCCAAGCTACTCTCCGGAGGAGCGACGCCGGCTGGGCTTCCGAGACGAGCTACCGCCCTTCACCGTCAAGATCATTGGCGTGTGGGACACGGTAGGGTTCCAGAAGGCCTGGCTCGGCAAGGACCTGGGCGAGCGCCTGGAACTGCGGAATACTCAACTGCTCCCGAACGTCAAGTACGCCTTTCATGCCCTGGCACTGGATGAAGATCGTACCGCCTACTCTCCGATTCTCTGGCATGTCCCGCGCCCGAATCCCGGCCAGGAGCTTCTCCAGGTGTGGTTCTCCGGCGTGCACACCGATGTAGGGGGCGGGGGAAAGGACCCCCACCTGGCGAATATCTCCTTGGCCTGGATGATTTCTCAATGCATGAAAGACCGGCAACTCAGCTTCGACATTGATGAGTATCTCTTCGATATCCCCCCACCCATGGTAGAGAGCGACGTCACTCCGTGGGCCACCAGCCAGGGCAAGACCGACACGGCAAGTCTGGTCCGCACATTGGAAGGCGTGCTTGGGGGGAACTCGCATCGGACCCCTCTTGGATATAATCCCAAAGGCGAGGAAGATGATTTCACTGGGGAATACATCCACGAGTCCATCAATGATCGCAAATTGCGCAGTTGGAGCTGGCCGTGTGCTCCCTTGAAGGCGAAGAAGGGCGAAGGATCTTGGATACTGGCGGATTCAAAGACGATCTTGGAGATCCGTGCATTGGAAAGAGAAAGGTATATGAAGGGTAGAATTCGTACTGTTCATGTGAAGGAGGTCGATTAGCCGGGTCAGTGACGCTTGAACTATGGTTTGAGCGCGAAAAGTTGTGTTGAGGTAGCTGTATTGGTGGTTCAGGAGTTTGGTTTCTATATTATTTGCAATATTCTTTCTTCATCCGAGACGCCGACTAGTGTCTTCTTGTCACCGAGGTTATGAAGGCGGTAGGCAACTTTGGATAGTTGAAGCATTAAATTAGTATAGTCAAAAGTTCGAGCTCTTTCTTATGCTATTGGAAGTAGCGAGCTCCTGTGCACTCTTAGATTAATGTAACTAAGTATGTCTCATTCTTTGGATCAACCTGGAGAAGTTCTGTAGATGAAGAAAGACTCCGGAGTGATGAAAACCCCCACAGTCCTATCAGGTATACATACACAAAGCCGCCTTGGATACAAAACACATGACCCTCCTTTCTAAAGTATATCAACCGCAGAACACCACAACCCACCAAATACACCTGGCTCTGTCCTTTGAACTGATCGGCGCTATATTGTCTGGAAGATTGTCAAACTTTCTGAGTACCATGTACATCAACCACCGGAAGGGGCGTGCGGGAGAGTCAGCCGGCAAGATTCATTTCCCGAGTGTATCGTGTCCGGTGCTAATGCGTCCCGAAAATCTTCTGGAGTTAGGAGGACCCCATCTATGATCTTGCCGAGATGAGTCTTGCTTATATCCTGGCAATCTTTCCTGATCTGCGACATGAGGATCTTCAGGAACTTTAGCGGGCTTTGGCTGAATGTAGTTTTTGGCTTGTCCTTTCCGCCAACAATGAAACCATCCGCAGCAACTGTCAAGCCTTCTAGCGTTTTCGTAGAGGCCACCCCGAGAAACGCGCACAGCTCCTGGTATTCTCTGTATGATTGCACGTATAGCTGTCCCGCAAACAGGTTGAGCTGTATTCTGAGGGACTGGGCCAGTATAGGTAAGTCACACCCGAAAGGAACGTTGTATAGCGTTAGCCTGTCCAAGGTTGGAAATCCAGGATTTGGCGGGGGCCGTACAGACAGAGCATAGAAGCTGTCGAACGAGAGCCTCGAATCAACAGCGGAGATAAAAGATCTGCTTCGAACGGACTCACAATGATGGCATACTTTGCGGTCTTCGACAGTAATATCCACTGGACTGGACGCTGATAGCTATCCAATTCAAATCGGTTCTTCTTAGACCTAATAACTGTCCTGGCGAAGTCCTGGGTGACGTAGAGTCCCGAAGGAAATTCAGAAACATCAAGATGAGCTGCCGCAGATGTCTCCCGTAATTCAAAGGCCGGTAAGTATGATTTGGAGTCCTTTATCAACTTTCCCGAAGTAATGAAGGAGAGTAAGTCTGGGTCAAGAGAATGACATTCGGGATCCACAGGTCCCGGCCGCTGAAGTTGCCGTTCCTCTTCAAACTCTGGAGCCAGCTCGCGCTCCTGTTCCTCCGAAAGATCGACAGCCCGGTGATTCGCGCCACAAAATTCGTTGTATCGGTCTAGGATACGCCTCATATTCTTGCTTTCCTCCCACCCCTGCCTCAAGAATGGCAGCGTTGCGGGGCGCGGTCCGTATCGATTGACCAAGGATTGTGACTCAGGTTCGAGGAAGCGAATGCTGTGGTTCTGAGACATGCGAGTTTCGTCTCCTTCGCGTTGCACCATACTCCACAGGGCACATTGATGCTCGAAGCGTGCACCTTGAGTAGCCCACAGTGATATACTGCGCTGCATATCGATCCAAGTCTCCGATATCGCCCACAAGAGGATGTCAGATACATCAGCTCCTGTTCTATCATGAGTCCCCGTAAGGGTAAATAGTTTGGCTTCTATCTCCTTTGGAACGCAGAAAGTCACTGATTGGCCATGGCCCAGCTTTCTCAATCTCATACAAGCTATGGAAATAGTAAACAATGATGAACTCGCACTTAGGTCCTAGTTTTGAGAGCTTACCTTGGACAAGTTTGTCTTTCGTGATATCTGGTCCTAGAGTTACTGCGGCACGGTAATTTGCTGGAAGTTTTAAGTCAATTCCTCTGGTATGTGCCTCATCCAAGAAGACAAGACATGCATCAAGCCGGTTTGCAAAAGGCGAGATCTGTAGTTGCTCGACTCGTCCATTTCTATCGAGCACGCAGATCTCATGTTCGTTGTCGATAAAAACAACAGCTTCAAGTTGCGCAATGCTCTCAACCATACCAAGCCAGGTTCTTGACACCTGCTGACTGTCCATCTCCAAAATCTGGGCTCCGACGTCAAGAATCACCTGGACTGGGGGATTGAGAGCTACCACATTATTCAGAAGATTCTGAGCATTCGAAATCAGACCGTGTAGTTCTGGTGATTGAACAGGTGCTGGTATGAAAGAGACAGAGTTCTCACTTCTTAAGAGATTTTCAAGCACTAATGCATTGGTGTGGCTCTGCTCTGGCAGGTCCCGTTGGGCAACATCCAAAGGAAGAGCCTCGCGGGAATCATTGGTCCCACTGAAGCCACCGGTGGGATGAACCTTCACTTCACCAAGATCCCAACCCGAAGCCGAAAGCTTACTTGGAAACTGTCTCATCTCTTTCAGAAATACGATGTTGCTGAGAAAGTAGTCAATAACAGCCTTAGAGAAACGAAAGCGTGGAAACACATGAACAACACAATGATTGTGATCGTCAAGGTTTACTCCAAAAAGATGATGGTATTCATTTGAGAGCCCAGGTGCGTTTTGAACCCAGGCGCGGTATTCGATATCTGATTGATCGGACTGAAGAAGGCGGTTAAAGGCGAGAGTGATTTCATCGTCACTCAAACCAGCGTAATAATAGCTCAAAGACGTTAAGGTGATTACCACGTCTGGATGGCTAAGCTCAGCACGAGGAACAGGGCTGTCTTTGGCACGGTAAGGCACAGAAAGTCGAGTAGGGGGTTTCCTGGTAGGATCTGGCCCATAATTGACTCGGAATCGTTTGCGGCCGAAGCAAAAGCCCAGAATACCACCAGCAAACAGTCCTCTAAGAAGAAGGAGGGGATTCCGCCAGATACTGGTCCACACATTTGACGAAGGACTCTGAACGGTGATGATCTCATCGACTGTCAGTCGCTCTTTTAAGATATAAGTAAGCAAAGCTTCTTGGATCTTTACAGGCTGCCTCGAGATTGGGAGATTCCCAATTCCAGTATCGCAGATATGCTTTGCGATGCGGAAGAGAAGCTCCTGTTGGGCAACATTCTGCGTGGCACAATGAAGGATTCGTAGTTTGGGAAAGGAGCCCGGCAGACTGTCATTGATCTCAATTGAGTCTGGATACACCTCCTTGACGCCAGGAGCGAAGATCGGTACCAGTCGCAGCACCTCATGTATGATGTTCCATCTCTCTGGGCTCATCTCCAGCATGTTCTGCGCCCCCATGGTATACACCAACTCAAACCGTACACTGAACACTTCGTCACTTTCATCGACAATGTCACGCGCATGTCTTCTGCAAAACTCTAGTGAATCGAGCAGCGACTGGCCGATATCTTCTCTGCCAGTTATGAAGCACTCTAAGCACATCAACTTCAGGGACAGCAAGTGTTCAGGTTGAACCAAAAGCACACCACCATTTGTGATGCAGTCTTTCATAATCTGCCTGACTATTTCTGCTTTGAAGACATCCAGATTTAAGGACCGTGAGATAGGCAGATGGTACACTCGTCGGTCTAACAAGCCGCCCAATTTCGAAACCAGCATCTGGAGCATTTGCTTTGATTGCGGTCTCGCTACCAGCACACGAGCGAGGTCTGCACCATTCGCGTAGTTGAGAGCCACAATGGGAACAATAACCGAAGATTTGCCTTCGCCCATGTTTAATTGCACCACCATGTTCTCTCCTGGAATAAGGCTTCTCATTTGTTGCGCAATCTGCTCTTGTGCTTCTCTAACCAAGATCCCGTTCTCGACCTCCAATAGAAGAGACTCCGGGTACTGATGGGGGTCCCAGTTGGCGTGGCCTGGATTCTGAAGCTCCCGGATCAAGTCATCCGGCTTTCTCAGTGACTTTACCAGCCTCTTTGCTCGCTGAACAGCCGTGACAGCGAGGCCGTAGGCAATGAAGCATGCTTTCCAGCGCTCAGGAATTTCACGCCACCTACGGCGGGTCAATTGACGAAGCAGTGTTTCCGTCGATATCGCTGGCATGTGAGCATCGCCTGCCACTGTCCGCAGAGCCTGATATATTATCAAATCTTTGATTCCAGGAGGCTCCAACAGTGCATTCGATGGCCTCATCGCTGACATAACTGCATGGTGTAGCTCTCGGTAATGTTCGTCGCAGTGTGCGAGATGCTCGAGAAGAACGCTGTTAACTTCCTCCACATTTTCCGAGAGGCTAAAAACCTTCCTGGATGCTTGCATTGCCTCGAAGCTGCCCCGCAACCGTTCCACATAGACTCTCTCATAATCAGAACTAGAAAGCATCTCGAGCCTGTTCAGGAAAGCTAGCATATTATCACGCTCAGTGCTTGGTGTATGGCAATGCAAGATCTCGGAGAGGCGTGGTGCCTCTTTTGGAGGCGGTGGTTCAGAACTCAAAAGGTCATCGATACAGACAAATGCACGGGCACGGCTCACGGGCTGTGCTCGGAGCGTATCGATATAAGAGGGTTCATACAGATTGGTGACTGGCTGAGCTCTCAGCGTTAAGGTCATGGTAGTGACATATTCATGAAACTTCAAGTTGCTGAACCAAGCGGAGAAAAGGTCACAGGCACAGTTTATGGCGGTGTTCTTGTCGAAGTAGTCCGAAAAGCGCGGGCTCGTTCCATTGGCTTCATAGTAATAGAGAGGCTCAGGTGCTGGCCACTGCTCTTTTAGATACCCAATGAACTCTTTCAGAGTTTCACTTCTATTATCGTCCTGTTGTTCATTGCGCCGCGACACGAACTCGTCTTGGCTTTCAAGCCCTTTGCGCTTAGGACGAGGCTGTCTAGTCCGTTCGAGTGCGGTCAGCTCGAGCTTAGCTCGCAACGTGTCACTGTCAAACCTGTAACCTTCAATCAATACAAAACTGGTGTGCTCAGGGACTGGAATCGAAGCCATCTCAGGAACAGTGTAAAGTGAGGCCAGTAATTCGAGGACATCCAGGCGAAACATCCGTGAGAATGCTAGCGTTGATAGCCACATCATGAGTGAATATTTGTTCAATCGAGTTTTGTTTGCAGAAAGCATCCTGTGAATGCTGTACCAATTGGTATAGATGTACAGTGTAGGGTCCAGGAGTAGACGAGCATCATATCCTATTTTCGAAGTATCAATCTGCATCTGTGGACCATCTACAGATGGCATTGATTCGAAAGCAGACCATAGATACCCGGCTAATTCTTCCTGATTCATTTTCTGGACCACAAAAGAGCGGAGGCCGTTATACACCATTGAAGATAGTCTAAAGGCTTGCAGTCCCTCCACAGAATTGCGAGTCTGGTCGAGTCCATTGTAAGGACGGTCGTACTCAGACGTATGCTTCTCGGCGCCATACTCGGCCACTCGAAATGTGGATGAACGAATCTGGTCCCGTCTCAGTAACATAGACTCCATTGCCGGTAATTCATGATACGTCTCCGGCTGCTCCGGACAAAAGATTCTCATTCGAGTATCCTGTTCAAATATCTCAGTGACCTCAGTGTAGAACTCATTGTGCTGAGCCAGGCAACCCAAGCCGCTGTCCCAATGAACTGTCTGCATAACGCGCGCTTCCAGGGGATAGTATCGTCTCCCTGGGGTCAGTTCGGCAATTCGAGACAGGATCGCACAACACCCGGGCTCGAGTTGGACGAATGATCTTACTGATGCCGAGCGCAGAATAGATAGAGCTTGGTCAGTCCCCGACTTTTGCGTCAGAGGATCAGGAACGCAAGAAGATGTTAAAGCATGAAGATAGCAAAGGAAGAGTCTGCTCTGTAAGCTTTCGTCGTCAATCAATCGACCAAGCTGCCTATCAACTGTGTAGACGTGTATCTTGTTGCTTGCCCGCCTTTTTATTTTCACCTTCGTATGATACTTGGACCTTCTCCAGTGGACAGGCCCCTCTGGTATAAGAATCACCCGGTTCTGCTTGACTTCGTCGATTAGAAGGAGCTTGTTGCGCAAGCCGATCAAGGTATCCAATGACTGATTGGGATCGATGAACATCCCACGATGCTGTCGAGAAAGTACTACGGAAGACCCTGACTGTAGATCAAATCCAAGCTGCAGACGAGGCAGATCGACCTCCAACGTTGTAAATCCAGAAATCAAGCTGCAATGCAGGTTCGCACGCTTCTCAAGCGGCCGCAGAATCCTTGAGATACACCTGCCTGTTCTACTCCGCATATTCACAAGGACCCGTTCACCCTTAACTAGGTACCAGGCTACTCCTCCATGCTCCCTCTGCAGTCTGTGCAGTTTCCAATTAGACGATGATGTCATCCAAGCGTTGGCTTTGGGACGGAACTCCACAGACGCGTCTGCTTTATGATACCAATGAACGTGATCAGTCACAAAGGCATCGGGGAGTAGACCTGCAAGAAGCCTCGGTGGCACAAAATTAATGGTGCTTTTGTCTTTGGTCGCTTCGATGCAGAGATCATGAGAGTTCAAACCTCGAATCTGCCTCCTTGAGAAGTGGACGGTATGTCCTAGATGCAGATTTTGGCAGCAAAACTGCATGCCCGGTACATCACTCGGCATGACCTCCAACAAAGTCTCCCCGAAAAGCGTTTTGTATGTTTCATGTTGTTCGTAGTCCGAAGGAAGGCGAGCCAGAGGTAGACCATTGACAAGTAGTTCGCCAGTCAGAATATTATAGTGTACTGGCAGTCCCTGCTCGCCTATATTCTGTTGTGCGGAGTAAGTGTAAAGCCAGCAGCGATCAGTCTCAGCCACAGCAGACCAGCTGGAGCCTGCACGATATGTCGCCCAAACTTGGGCAATAGCCATGTCTAGGGCTGCACTCTGATGGTGTAAGATACTGTCTGCTAGTATGGGAAGACAGCGATAGGTCAAGTTTCTCCAGCGCTGATACATAATGGGAAGAAAGATGTCACCGCTCATGGCGAGACCCTTTCTATCATGGATCAACATGCAGCATTGTAGAAAGATTGACGCATCAGCAGGACTGCCCAATTGTCGCTTCAAGAAGAATTCAGTATCAAAGGTCTCCGCACAGATCAAGCTGAGATGCATACTACGTGCAAATAACGCGTTACGATGCTTCTCATCTCTTGCACGGCTCGCTTTATCTTGGACAAGCTTGATCCAGTCGAGCGCTATGTCACGAAGCTGCCCTAGGCGTTGCAGACACAGTTCGTGGATCTTGGTAGACTGCGATAGAGACAGTATCCTCAGTGTCAGACGGATGAGTGCGTTGAGTCCCTGCGCCAGCTCCCAATTGCCTTTGATCCTGGCAATGGTCCATTCGATTTGCTCAAGTAACCTTCCAGTCAATAGTTCGTCACTCAAGATGCTATGCCCTATTCTTAAAGTGGAGTCAGGAGTAGAGGGTCCGGCTTGGTTCATGATCTGATGGATGAATATGTTCGTCTCTACCTTTTTGTAGTCTACCAACGGAATGGTTAGCTGCAGGAGTACATTCTGCCATTGGATCTGAAAGCCAAGAGGCATTGTGCAAAGAGCCTTGTATTCTTCAAGGGACATATGCGACGGACATGTATCTTGCGACGCGATGACTGTATTGGGAGACGGGCCAGCATTTGTTGCTGGGGGCGGGCGAAAGAGGAAACGTTGCAATTGAGTGCTTCTCATGGGGAGTTTATATGAGCACATGTTGGCAATTTCCAATCTGTCTGTCATAGCAGTCACGAAACACCTTTTCTGATGGTCATAATATCTTAAGTCAAGCCCGTTGTTCACGCACACATCGTCCACAGTGACATTGAGAATATTTCGTCCACGCCTGTGTCCGAGTGTGGGGCTTGATTTCTGAAAGAAGACCAATGCGCTGCCCTCCGTCACCTTGCTTGAAGAAGCCCCTGAGACCTTTTTGAAGTTGTGGCTGGAACTCATAGACTGGTTTCTCAAGGACCTGGTATCCAAGGCGCAGCACGTCAACCAAGAAAAATATTGTGTTATCACGCCAACATCTGAAAGGTCGAGGCAGATTCAGTTCAAAGACAGTGGACTTCGCTTTTAACGGATTTTGCGGCAATGGCCATTCATGAACTTGAATATGTAAACTGTTGGCTTGTTGTTTGTAAGCTTCCTTTGGGCATTTGGGGTCATGAACACGCTGGATGATTCGTGGGTGCGCTTTAAGAGTGGTTGAAGTATACATGCATTGTGTCTTGTCTGCAAGAGCCATCAAATTGAGGTATCTTTGCTGCAGACTTTGAAGTTCCTTCACTTTGCTAAGCCTTTCATGCTGGGCACGGTCTTGTATTTCTCGGAGCAAACGCTGATGGTCGTTCGACTGATCAAAGTATCGAACAGCAAAAAATGAAACGGTACCGAATTGCCAGAAAATGCCCCATCCGTGCTGCTTTGCCCGTAGTCGACGTTGGCGTAGATATTCCTCTGCACGAGCCAGTCGTTCCATTTGCGACCTAAAAGGAAGCAGGAGGGAACAGAAAATGTTCACCGGTACATTCGCGTCGTAGTCGTTTAGGATCTCATGTATGTGAGTAGCAGAGCGGTCACATGCTATCCACAGTTCTAGGATAGTGAGAAGCATGCACGAGAAAGCTTCGGGATTGTTGGAGTATGCTGAAGATGCAACGCTGTGATAATCATTAATCAAACGGCCTAGCCGAGCGCATGTGTCCTCAGCATCTATGCATCCATTCAGCCAAAAGTCTAAATTCGAGGAGACCCAGTCTTCTAGTGCAGCGAGATTATGTGCTTGGTAGCTGGGGTCCTGCAAGTCCAGATAAGAGGGCAAGTTTTGGGTTGAGAGTTTCGCAAGTGCCGAAAATGGGTGTAGATTCTCTGGTAGTTCTCGGGCCACATGTTTAAATGCATTCAATCCCTCGAGGTATATATCAAGACTGGGGATAGAGCAGTAGATGTCATGGCTGAAGTTCAACCCAGCCAGATCCGACAAATGATTGTGGCGAGCCTGCCGGGCCATGACTTTACGCCAGCGGTGTTGAATAGTATCCTTCGCCTTCTCTAAAGCACGCTGAATGGGAGAGTACCAATGAGACTTATTCGAGAAGCTGAGTTTGAGCAATCGACGCAAGATCTTGGCACTCATACAATGGAGGTTCTCACTAGGCAGCACTTCGTGAGATAATCTGAGCATGGATCCCAGGAAGTAGACCATGACATGTTTGTACATATCGTCCGTCTCATGGAATGTGGTGAACCTGCGAAAACAGAGCTGGAGCACAACTCGGGCCATCAGCCACAGAGACGAACGACGCCATGGACGACGACTGTTGAGCCACATAACATCATCTCGCGTATTCTTCATGATTTGGACAGCCTGAGTATCGGTGCACACTGACCGCAAAAAGGCCATGAATAATTCAGTGACCATTTTCGGATGGGTAGTATCCCTATCCTCATCATGAAGCTCTCCGGCCTTGTGCACCTTAGCCATGGTCCCCACCGCAGGCTGATAGCTCATCTTAGCAAGTGTTTGTGCCATTATATCTTGTAGTTCGGGCTGGTTAAACGTGTCCAAGCTCAATGCGATCGTAGGCCCCGGGAATTGGCGCTGGAGGCGACCCAAGGTCGTAATTATAGCCCTGTTCCGGGGTGACAGCTCGAAAGATTCTATGAGAACTTGATCGTCGTTTCGGGTCAAGAGCATTCCAGCATTCTGACTGCGGACATATATAGGCAAGATGCCTCCTGCGGATACTCAGTGCTGACTTTCACGTCCCAGTCACGGTCAGCTTACCCTCGGTGCTCAAATTTCGAAACGCTTGTCGGAGCTCGTCCTCGTTAAGTTCACCTTGAATCCCTAGAATCTTCCTGAAGCGCAACATCATCTGGATGACCATTGTGAGAGTGCCAACGTGACACACAGGAGCGTTGCGTCTGAATCCATGCAGAGCATCGATCACTGTAGTGAGAAGGAGAATGTCGAGCTCAGGCCGATAGTCTTCCTCTTGGGGAAGTCGTGGGGGGAGGAAGACGTGGTGGAACAGATAAAGACACTGCTCCAAAGGCATCCCCTGATCTTTGACTGATGAAGACGTCGCCATCGCCCTTTTAACTATCTTTGAAGAGACTTCGACAGACCATTGCAGGAAAGAAAGGATGAACAAATCAGTTGAGACAGTGGAGAGTCAAGGAGATGATGGAAAGAAAGGTGGAAGTGAAAGGCAGGTTTGAGCTTCTTGCCAAAAGAAAAGGAGGACTCACTCGGTGCCAAAGTCTTTGTAGATATTCATAAGAGAGACCCAAGGGACCTGCGACTGGAAGGCTTGTACAAAGCTTAAAGAGACGAATGGTCAGTCCGAAGCAGATGAGTGTTGCGCCAACGTTGCGTTTCATGTGTAGAGAAGAAGTTGGGGAGACCATTCATTCACTACAGGAAGGAGCCCGGATGTGCCTCAGGTATGAAAGGAGCACTAGCGAAGGCTGAATGCCCAAGAGTTACCTCTTCATGGAGTTGACCCCGAACCGAATTAGCCCGGAGCTTCTTGAAGTGATTGCTGATCGTTTCATTTCTTCCGATAATGCTCTAAGATGTGCCAAGTCTAGAGGAGGCAGTAGATTCGGATGAGGCCATCGCCAGAGAAAATAGATCAGGAATTCAGGAGAAGGAGAAGAGGGATACCAACTCGTAACTGCCATACCCTAGATTTCGTGGCACTATACGGCTTCGGCAAGAATTTAAGATTATGAATTTACCATCCTCATCATTAACCCATGACTTTCATTGCTAAACCAAATAAAATAGTAGTCATCATCCTCATGCGATGGCAATCGAGTTGCAATACATTCCATTCGTTCTCCCTTTTGTTATCAACTTCCTCATTATGAACATCCTCATAAGGATCGCATTATTCATTAAGCTCGGTAAACTTGAGGGATCGAATCACCACGAGAGGAAATCATCCTCGCAGAGATCTAGCACGGCGCGACAAGGGCGCGATCTTGCGGATAATAGGGTCGTGCGGTGAATTCTCTGCCACTGACATGTAGAGTGCCTCAAGCCGTTGAATAAGGATGTCCATGATCTTGGGCGCGACTTCACGAATGTCGGGGTCCTGTAAAGGCTGTTAGTGTTGGTCCAATTCTCACCCGCCATAGGGGAAACATACCATCGGGTTCACCGTTTGCAGAACCACTTCCAGCCAGGTCAAACGCTCCATGGGGTTGGTCTGCAGCGACGAAGTCACAGCAACACCCACAGAAAGAGCCACGATAGGAGACAGACTGGTCAGGTATTGCGGGTTCATACGAACAAAGAGATTGTCAAACAGATCAGCCTGTTGAGTCGATTGCAGCCACTGCTGCCGTTAGCATGCTACATTAACCAAAGAGATATCAAGATAGTTACTAACCTTGACTGATCCTTCCTCGAAGTGACCTTGACTCATCAATTGAGCGATCTCCTGCAGCTCAATCTGTTCAGGAGTTCTCGTGTCAACAGAAGCGCTGCGAGCGGGCGCGGTTGTCTGCTGCTGCTGCTGCTGCTGCTGTTGTTGTTGTTGCTGCCGCTCCACCACATTATCCTTGGAAGCCAGTGCATGGCTAAGCTTGGCAACCTCAGTCTGCAAGCCTGTCTGAGCTGCAGCAAGTGTGGCAACCGTGTCGGACAGTCCACGAACAAGCGAAGTGAGCTGGCTGATCTTGGCGGCATCGCTTTGCCGCTGGGCTTCCAAATGCTTCAACTGAGCCTGCAGCTGTTTTTCCATGCCACCGACAACCTTGTCTGCAGTCTGCACAGCGACATTCTTGATGGCTGGAGTGATTGTATTCTGCATGGCCTTCGAGATCTCGCTTTCCACACGAGGAGCAAGCTTCTGACCCACAGCATCCGACAAGACTTTCATCAAATCAGGCTGCTGCATGGCACGAGTGACAGCCTCTGGGAGGGCTTGGCACACTTCCCGAGGAACCACAGATCCCAGCTGCTGCGACACCACGCTGTTAAGTTGCTTACCCACAGCGGCGGCAGTAAGATCAGTCAGGGCGGGCACAACCTCTGACTTAATGCTATTCGAGACGATGCGGGCAAGATTCTTCTCCACATTATCAGATAGAGTACTGGAAACCAGACGTAGAACCTGATCCTGCTTGGCTGCCGAGGCTGCGTCCCAGTTGCGGCGCTCTTCGTCAAAGCGGGTGTAAAGTCCTTCCAATTCGCGACCAAGGCTCTTGGTGAATTCCGACGACACGCCGTTTTGCAGCATCTCGAGATGCTTGTTCAAGATAGCAGCTGAGTCATCGATACCAGCGCTGGAAGCCACAGGAGCAGCAGCAGGTACTGCCTGAGAAGGGCCTGGGGTGGCAGTAGCTTCTTCGAGAGTTGGCTCATTGCCCACGAGAGCAGGAACATCATTAGGTGAACCTTCTTTGGAAATCACGGGTTCCTTGCCTTTAGCGGACGGCTCGCTCATGCCAGTGAGTGTATTCTTCTTCTTTTTCTTCTTCTCAGCCTTGTCGACACCATTGATGCTAGATACAGTATCAATTGGCTCGTCCTTCTTCTTGGCGGGTGCCTTGGTGGGCGACTGCACGCGAGAAGTACTGGGACCAGCTCCAGTCGCAGCATCGGTGTTGAGCTCGGGCATCTTTTTGATGATCTCTTTGGCCGCCGGCTTTGTGGGAGTCGGAGCTGCATCACCATTGACCGAAGGCTCATCCGCCACATATGTGGGGAAGGTCTGCAACTCAGCGATGTCAATGAACCCTTCCTCCAGAGCATTGACGGGACGGACAATTTTGTTGTCGGTAGTCCATCCCAAATCTTCCTTCTTGATGTTCAGGCATGTCACGCCACGAGAGTGCATGACATACAGCTCGAACAGACCACTTTCGTCCCCAGCCGACTTAGTAATGGGAAGGATATCCAGACTCCGCAACTGACCCTTGGAAGCGAAAGAGATTTCGCGAATGCCGCTCATGCAAGCGGTAGATTCAGGCTTGGGTAGACTGCTGTCCTTCTCACCAGAGCGCTTGATGAAGGAGGCCTGCGACATCGCCTGCAGGTTGTATCGAGGCGCAGAAAGGTGAACAAAGTAGATAGAGTTGCGGGTTGGATGGCCAACAACGATGATACCAGATGCGGGGTGATACGCGACACTGCAGATGGCGTCGGACTCATTCTCGTGAGGGAACTTGAGCTCCTGCACAGCCTTACCCAGCCCAATATCCCAGAGCTGCAGGGTGTGGTTCTGCTTCAAGCCCACGAGAACATAACGAAGCGCCATCGACTTGACATAGGGACGTAGCTTGTCAATAAAGAGGACAGAGGTTGGCCACGACTTCTCTGCGGGAGAGCCGGTGACAAAGGTGTTCAAGGGCACCCGAATCTCGGCGGGACTAGGTCCAGAGCTGAAGAAGCCCGGGTTGTTGACCACCTCACGGATATCCCAGAAACGAAGGCGGCCCGTCTTGTCAAGAGAGGCGATGACTGTATCATCGTCGCTGAACATGAAATCCTTGCCGGCCTTCCCGGTGGAGATCTTCAGAGCACGCTCTTTGAAGAATTTCTCCGTGTTAACGACGCGCTGAGGTCCAGACACACCGTAGGCGGAGTTCATTGCAGCCTGAGGCGAAACCACATAAATATTCTTACCACGACCAATGGCGAAGAATCCAGGATGGCGAGAGCTCCGTTTGGCCCGCGTTTTCAGCTGGCCGCCCGAAGTGTTCTCGTCCGAAGCTGGGAAAGGAGGGAAGATGAGGCTCTCGCTCTCGAGGGCGTCGAGCTCAAAAAGATCCTTGTCTGCGCGAGAAACCAACGCCCAGTACACGGTTCCGCTGACGCCAATTCCCAAGATGGCTTGCTCCTCGGTAGTTCGGCCGGTAGCAGTCTGCGACGTGCATACCGCAACATTGAAGACACGATCGCGGGTAGAACGGAAGATTTGCTTGTCACTTCCATCATCTTGACGAATGATACGCATACCACCGTTCTTCGCCAACGCATACACAATGTAGTCCGAGGTCGCGGAAGTCAAAGAGCGATCCAACTGATCGAAGTCCTTCTTGAGCCGGGCAATATCCATGATACCGTCATCACGAAGAGCTGCAAGCTTCTCCGAGTGGGCTTTGACGATGATGGAGATGAACGGCTTCAGAGGAAAGTTGTACACAGAAACAATGCGTTCTTCTTCTTTTTCAGCACTATCTTCGGCACTCTCCCAACTATCCGCTAGAGCATCACCGCTGCTATTGTTCGAAGTCTCCTTCACGGCAGCGGGGGTAGCGGTACCATCAGCAGAGTTCTTGTCTGCGCCATCCTCGACCTTGGCTTCGGCGGCCGTTTCCTGTAGGTGACTCGCGATGGAAGAGATCACGGCTTGAGTACTGTCCTCTTGGGCAGCAGCGAGCTGGGCGAGCTTCTCATCATTCGAGTTACCAGTAGCGTTCTCGATTTCGCGTCCAATCTCATCAACTAGACGTTCAACGACGGAATTGACGGCTTCCCTCTGCTCGTCAGCCAGTATAGGCGATTTGGGACCTTCGCTTTGCGGGGTCTCAACAGCCTCCGCAGCCGAGGACGGTTCGACCTTGCTGGTAATGGTGGTCTTCTTGCTTTTCATGATCTCGATGGCTGGACTCTCGCTTCGAGACTTGGCTTGTTGCGGGGTGACCTTGCGCGGAGATGCGGCAGCCAGCTGCTCGAACGGGTTGACATAGGTGAACATGGAGTCCTTACCCACAGGAGGGGTTTCAAGCTGGGAAGGTCCGGCATCATCCGGAGACACCAAAGTCTCCTCCGGCCCATGAGCTGGAGACTTGAGAATGTCGTTCAGCTCTTCCTCAGGAACAGGTGACTTCTGAGACGAAACCATAGAAGGTGGCTGCGGAACAGTCTTCAAGGGTCCGTCGGAAACATCCTGACTAGGCTTGGGACGGTTCAGCAAACGTAGCAACATCTCTTGAGTGTTCTCGGCAGTCGGAGCAGCAGATGCAGAGCTCTCGCCCGCGCCAGCACCAGATGGACCGGAGATAGAACCCGCAGGCCTCACGGGAGCGGTGGTAGCACCTTGACCTTGGACACCAAAGAGTGACGCAACCAGGTCTGAGGCAGAAATGTTTCTCGCGTGGGCCTTTGACTGCTCCTCCAGACCAGCTGCACGAGGCTGTAGGTAATTGGGCTGTTCAGCGCCAGAGACCGGAGCCTGCTGCTGCTGCTGGGGGGCAGAAGAAGTGGTAGGCTGGTTGAACTTGAGCAGATTCAACAGATTCACCGCCCGGTCGGGATTGTGAGGCAAGACCTGGTGATATTGCTGCTGCTGCTGGTGCTGGGGTGGCGGAGGTTGATGGAAGTACATATCACCCCGAGGAGTCGAAATATTAGGACTAAGGATATCCGAACCGTGGTGCGGAGGAGTATTCACAGAAGGCGACGGGCTGTGAATATTGGATGAAACCGAAGGGTGACGGTAGCCATGGAGCGGCTGCTGCTGGTGCTGCTGCTGCTGCAGCTGCAGCTGCGGGTGAGGATAGGCCTGGCCATCGTACTGCGGCTGGTGCTGCTGCGGATGCTGCTGGCGGTGACCCTGCTGATACTGCATGGGATACGGCGGCATGGGAGCATCATGGGCAGGGGTGCCCGAAGGCGAAGGACGGGGCCTGATGCTGGCCAAGAGGGCCTGAAGATCATTGGGGGTGGACATTTCTGTCACTCGCCGACAAATGAGGCGACCTCCAGAGACGATTCAAGCTTCTAGGTAGATCAGATGTAGCTCTCTTTCGAGAGCCAACAAAGCAAGAGAGAAGAGAGAGAGCGGGTGTTAAAATGAAACAACCCGGACCTCGGCGCGCGATTCAATAAAAGAATGCAAGCTAAAAAAGGAGCAGACCAAAGAAGAAGGAGAAAAGATCAAAAGACAAAGGACGGACTATTGTACATGGGACGAGAATGGAAGAAGAGAGGAGGGAGAGGGAAGAGAGAAGAAGAAGTGGAGGAAAGAGAAGAGGAGGAAGAAGGAGAGGAAAAAGCTCGGAGGAAGCGAGAATTGGAGGTAAGCGGGAAGATGAGCTGGTGGTAATTGTGGCGGTGGGGGAGTGAACAGCGAGAAAGAGATGTGGCTAGTGCAGAAATCGAGAGACGTAACCGTAAGATTACACAATGACGGTAATCTCAATGCACTTGAACCTCAGAATGAGCGCATCTCTTCCTCCTCCTCCTCTTTGCAGCATTCAGTAAGACCACACGTGAAGACTAAATATGCCTGCGCACTCTCAATGAGATGCTTCTACTCGATAACCTTCATTCTTTCTATATCGCTTGACTTTCCATCTCTCTCCGAAATCCTTCCCGCGACCATCTCATCCAACCACTTCTGTTTGCCACTGATCTCATCGTTCACCGTTTGATCACCAGAGAACTTGACTCTACAGTGTACATCTTGAGGGAAAACCACCTCATTCTGAATATGTTCTGCCTCCGGAGGTAAGGCTGGTCCCTCGTTAATCCGACCTTCTCTCTGCCCTCTCTCTCCCGCCCCCCCTCCATGACCTGATCCCCTACACTACTCCCTTCACCTCCTACTTCTCCAGTTCCATCTTAATAAACATACTGACCAAGTCGTTGTAGCTGGCTCCCCCTCTTCTTCATCCCCACCAACGCCTCCCCCCTCTTCATCATCTCCTTCGTCACCTTGACCTACATCCTCCACCGACCGTGCATCTACTGCTCTGCCCTACTCCTCATCCTCTTCATTTCCTCTTGTCACTGGTCCGACAGATGTTTCTTCGACCTCCGCGGCGACTGGTTCAGTCCGCGCTACACCACTCCCGTCGCGCCGACCTCATGCCCGGTCAGTCCCGCGAACGAGACCCTAGCCGAGTATTTCTTGGAGACGGTGACCTCGACTGCCAAGGCGCTCTCGGGGGCCCTAGTCGATGAGGCACAGCGGCGGCTCGCCTCGAATCTCTCGGCTGAGGCTGGCGCTCCCCAAGAATGGACGGGCATTGGCATGGAATGGGTGCGCAGTCTTTTGGGACGGAAGGAGTGGACCTTGCCATGCGTGGACGTCAAGGTGAGGCTCTAGGCGTCGTGCCGTGGATTGGAAATAGGTGGAGCACATATATTTGGATGGTGTTGTTGTGTTATCTACAGATATCCGAGTCTTGGGGCTTTCGGTATGCTTTTCCTCTATGGAGAGAAACTAGGGGTGAAAGCCAGGGAAGGTTGCTTGGCCTTGGGACATGATCTGGACCGGGATGGCCGGAAACTTCGTATAGATCTCCGAGGGGCTGCATCGATGTACGCTTTTCTGGGCATCATCTCCTTCGGACGGAAGAAAGGATGACACTATCGGTCTGAACAGCTATCGACTGGTATTGAGCGAGATGTTCATTTCTGATGCATGGGGAGTTTAAATTGTACATAGCATATAATCATCGCAATTTGTTCTTATATCCCGTTTTCAGGTAGCTCATACCATCCTGATTGGTTATGCGGATCTGGAAACTGCGCCTGGACAATCCAGACGTGGGCCAATGGTTTACGATTACAGCCCCTGCAGGGCCGTCATCCTGAGACGTGAAGGTTGACAAATGTGCATCCCTGTTCGGAGGAGGCGTCCTTTGTCATACAAGGAGTAACCTGGAACACGAGCCCCTTTCAAAGGGAAAGCCTTCGAAAGTGGTTGCGCATCATGGTTAAATCAATACCTACCGGCAGGCTCGCTAAGAATAGAGCCATGTGACGGGAGGTTCCTGCATGTATTCTAACAACCATTGAATCAATCGATTACAATACAAATAGGTATCTAACGCAAGGTGTAAAGAGATGCAGACAGAAATGCAGTAATTATATCGTCGGCGATCCTCTGGGTTCACTCGCCGCGGTAAGTCATCGTAAGAACATAACCCACATCGAGGCATATTAGCAGAACATCGTCAAACATAAGGTGAGATAGGCATCACACAATCATGATAAACATATGATGAGCCTTCATCGCAAGATGCAGCTGCAAACGCGATGCGAGCACAGAAAACAAAAATCCAAATGGGTATTGAGGCACCGTATGTGCAAGGATCGTAGAGAAGAAACAGAGAAACAAGCTGCGGAAATACTCGCAAGACATGCAGGACAATCATGTCTCGTTAGCTCTCCTCTGGTTTTCAATGGTAACCTCCAGGGGTTGTCATCGGCATGGGCCAGTCATCCTCCGTAATGCTGCTCCAGAAGAACCAGACAGTGACTATTGCCAGTAGTGTGAACAGAGTCTCGAAAAGCGCGCCATTGATTTTCCCACTGGAGGCTTCGCACAAGTGAACGCTGATCACGTACTCGAAGATCTGACCAATGGCGAATAGAAGGGCCGCGGCCGTCAGGTAAACTGTGGCCAGGTTAGGATCATGCACCATAAAGTCAAGGAGGCGGGAGCATACTTAATGGCCGGAACTCGCCAAGAATTCGCACCACCAGGATGACTTCGAATACATAGAACAGAACAAGGCAGACGAGCGGGAATAGTTGATATAACACATAGAGGGCGATATTGCGATAGTGATTCGAGGAACTCGTTGCGAATTCGCCTGTCCAGTCAAAGGCCGTATCCAGAGCAATATATCCCGTGCCGACGAAGAGAACAAGACCGGATGCGACAATCAAGCCAATAGACGCAGGTGTGCCGTCGTCAAGGAGTTGAAAGCCTACTAGAGCATTCAAAAGAAGTATCCAACATGTCGCAGTAATGGCAGCAATATGAACCGCAGAGAAACCCTGGAGGATAGCTGGATGAGACGCCGAGCGTGGTGCATGAATTGGGCATAACTGACCTTTCGGACCGCACTGTCTAGAGGGAAACCACCCACGGAGAAGATCTCGCAGATCTCAATGATGAGAAATCCAAACAGAAAGATTTGAATCTCCCTACTCCCATTAGTTTCCATTCTGGTCCCCGATATCCTGATCTTCTTGCCGCGTACCTTCTGCCGACTGCGGCTCGTTTGCGTTCTGATCTCAGGAGCAGAAAGAGTGTGGTCAGGATGGAAATGAAAGCCAGGAGAATTGAGCCTGCTGCTAATTAGTCAACTTTAATGTACTCTGGGCCATCGTGCCATACCTAGATTACTGAGATATCGGTCGCCACTGAGCTCAATTCCCTTGAGCACACATCCGCCATAAGCTTTGTTTGGAGGCTGATTATTTGCGACAAAGAGCTAAATACAGCAATGGTTAGCGACATTCCGAGGGGCGAGTGAGACATAGCGAGAGGGATTACACACATTGCAGACTGGTAAGGTGGAATCGCGACAAAAGTCCTACACGTGCAGATCGACCACGGTCAGTTAAAGCTCGAATTGCAGCTCAATTGCGAACCCACGTTGAAGTTACCAAATTGCGTGGAACCCATGATTGAGATAGGCTTTGCCGCATGCGACAGAGGTCAGGTCGTCGAAAGTCGCGAAGAAATGGAGGAGATGATGGTAGTGTTGGCGGCAGCAGCAGCAGCAGCAGCAGCGAGGTAATAGTGATGCCGAGGGTGACTGTACTAGCTGGTTTTCCCTGCCTAGACCCACGCCGGTCACGATAGCTCCGCCGCAGACTGCCGTTCGAAAAAAGCGCCAAGTCAAGATTAGGATTAAGAGGGACTTGTCGATCGAGGGATCGTCTCGCTTCACTTGATGGTAACGAAAATAGAAAGATAAAGAAGACAAATGCGGGCCAGAGACCGAGTCGACAAGAGGCGAACTAAATCAGGTAGTAGTCGACGGATCAGACACGGGAGGGCGGACACGTTGGGTTGGCAATTAGTCGTGCAGCAGCTCGGACAGAGACCGGATCGAAGAGAGAGACAGCTGAGCGGAAGCGAAAAATGTGAAGAAACCAGAGACAATCCGAGAACGATGATTGGGAGGATATAAGAGAGTGACGGGGAGGGTAGGTGGTCAGGCTGTCAGTGTATATGTCAAACACCGGTGCTGGTTAATACGTGGATTAATACGTGGGGGGGGGAGGGCAGCGGAAGTATGGAAGAGTGATGGATCCGAATCGAAGGACTGGAAAGTGATGAAGGTGGTGGAGGTAGGCGAGAAGGCTGGCGATGCTGACAAGGAGGAGCGAGCGAGTGAGCGAGAGAGAGAGAGAGAGAGAGAGAGAAACAGAATTGTTTGTATGCAGAGGAGGAGAGGGTAAGGGCGGCTAAGAAGGAGGATTACGCTGATGATGAAAAGGATGAGGGGATAAACAGGGAGAGAGAGACACAGAGAAAGAGAGGGAGGGAAGAGAGGGAGGGAGGAAAGAAAGGTTAGAGAAAGAAGGTGAAGGTACGGCCGCAAGAGGTGTAACTAGTCCAGCACCTTAAAACTAGTGATAGTTACTTGGACTTTGTAGCACTGAGTCGTGTGTACTCACTGTTTAGTGGTGATCCATCACACTCCCTTAAAGATCAAACCATGATCCAGGGAAAGAAACGAGGCATGGAAGGCGAGAGACTAGACTAGAGAGAGACTAGAGAGAAACAAGAAGTTCAACAACAACGGGATTCCGGGTTTAGCCTGGGGCTAAAGAGCGTGATGGAGACCGCAAATACGGCGGCACAGCAAATAACAGGAAAAGCACTGGGCACTGGACAGCCCAGAATCCGGCCGGAAGAACCGCCGTTGAGGGGCAAGATGAAAAAAAAGGACTAATTGTGAATTGACCAACAAGAGGAGAGAAAACCCTGCAGCAAATTCAGGAACCAGAACGTCACCTCCAGTACGGGTGTTGTCTCGTTGCTTCCCTCCCAATTTCCCCAGAAAAAGTCGCTTCCTGTGGCTCACACAGACACTTTTCTGCGTTCATTGTAAAGGAAATCAGATGATATCAGATTATCGTATGTCTATCTCTTTGTCCCTCTTCCATGTGGTCTGACCTCATCAGATGCACCAAGGATGGACATTCTTCATTGCTATCAGAAGTTGATTCGAAAAAAACAAAGAGAGGGTCGCCCTGGGCTGACCGTGGATGACGAAGGGCGATGACCCATGGGTCTTTTCCATCCCACTTCTATTTTGGTCACAGCTTTCCCCTCGTGAGGAATGATGACGCTAGCGAGTTTCCTGGCAGGGCTTGGATAGCGTTGACAGGCAGCATTCTTTTACTGTTCTTTTATTAGTGCGACTGCGAAGAAGATGATCGTGTTCATCCATGGCATGGCATGGCACGTCGGGATGATTTCACCGCCATCGCACCCCAGCCACAATTATACTCGGTACAGTTAGTTAAGTTAATGACTCCGTACGTGGGTTACCTAATACTTATGATGATCGACAATCACCACGGAGTTGTTTCCAAGCTCCAAATCACATTGCTTCTTTGCTTTCAGGTCTTGATGTGCAGATGAATCGACATTATCCATGCCTTGTTCATCTAACTAATTACGTCTGTTTATGCATCCTCGCAGACGGACAGCCCACAGCAACGGTACGAAATCGTGGTTGTTCGGGGCTGTCTCGCATAGGGCTTTTCGTGAGTTAGACACGCTTTCTCCGGCCTCTTGTGCTGCCCTTGCCTAAACCACCACTAGATGGGTTCAGTACCTTACCTAAGGCACTAATGAACGGGTCTAGAACATACACGTAAAACAAGGTACTCATGTCTCTCAAGAGACTGTAAAAATTTTCAAGCGAATAGTAATGCGTGGTAATTCATTCGGTGGTGCCAGGTATACTGCGGTAAGAAGCGCCGTGCCGGAACATTTATATTGTTTTTACTGTACCATAATCGCATGCCCAACTCTCGGCTCTAATACGTGCGCCAGCTTCTAGCAAACATCCTCAATCTCCACTTCCTTCCCATCATGCTCTCCCAAATCCAGCTTGAGAGTCCGTCCGAACAATTCAAGCAACATCTCGAAGCACACCTTCGTGATAGCAGGGTCATACCGTCCCTTACTGAGCTCGTCGCGGATGAAGGCATCTGCGCAGGTTAGCCAATGCCCTCTGCCAAGTAACCTTAATACTACGACAGAGGGATGAAGGTCAAACTCACGCTGCGCCCAGGCCACCTCATAAAAGCTAAACAATACCCCCTTTTCGTGAAGTGTCTTGCGGATCAAATCCCTTCCCTCGGGGGGGACATGATTGTCGTTCTTACCAAAAATCTGCGCCAACGTTTAGTCGTCACTTGGATAGACACTGCTTCCATCCCTTCCCAAAGTCTCGAGAAAGAGAGACAGAACTAACCATAATCAATTCTCCCTTGATATCTCCTGCCCTTACCAGACTGTCATCATTCTTACCCTTCCCAAGAGTATGGCTATGAATATCCGTCGCGAAGTAGCAAACCGCCGCCTTTACCCGGCTGTCCAGTGCACACCGATACGCCAGATGTCCACCTAGGCACATGCCTGTCGCACCCACGCGGCCATTGCACGTAGGCAACGACAAGAGGTAATCCACACAAAGGGAGGCATCTTCGTCGTAGGCTGTGATTTTCTATTTTCTCGCAGATTAGCACGAGCATGGTCTTCCCGCCCTCCTTCCCCCCCCCCCAGAATGCTGATCCACTCATCCCAGAGTTTAAGTCTGATTTACCTTGCTAATCTTCCATTCATTCCCCTTATCGGTATCTTCGGCGTTATATTCAAGGGCTTCTGGTCCGGTGAATTCGTGGTAGCTAGAAGGCGCAGCGCAGATATAACCCTGACCGGCAATTTGGCGGGCGAAGCGCGCGACAGGGCCGGTAACTGGTTTGGAAGTTTCCACGTCAACGGCTTCAGATTCAGGCACAGCAGAGCAAAGGTCGGTCCAGGCAACATCGCCTTAGCTCGCAGTGGACGCATGGTCAGGTATCTATACCTTGATAAATCTCACTAAATACTACCACTCCAGGGAAACGCGCTTTGGGGTATCCTGGGACGGTTGGATGATAGACGTAGATACCTGACAAGATATGTGTCAGCCTCGGACCTCTAAAATTGTTCAATTCCATGCTCTCTCAAAGGGTCCTCCTCGAGAGCAAGAAGAGCTGGATATGAAAATGAGTTGCGCGGGCTTTAGGACATACGCATGCTCCCTTTGCCGTCCGCCGTGGTAGGCACATCGTGATAGGATTCTTGGATCAACATGATGAGGCTCTGTTACGACTTTCACGGTAGAGCGCTCGCGGGGAGTTCTGGCTCGATGAGATTCAATTTCGAGAAAGAATACAGTAGCTTGGTGAATCCGTAGCTGTAGCTCGGCGGGGTTGCAGCTCCGGATCGATTGCCGACCGATAAGCCTGGAGGGGCTGATCTGATCATGTGATTGACAAGCACACCATTTACCAAGTCTGTCTCAACTCATAATCAGTGCTACAGTGCATATTTTTGTGGGTCTATTATGTGAGATCTGATGATATGCACTATACTGTACATGGTAATATTGCAAAGAACACAGGCGAATGATTCAGAGAAGGCCATAAACCACAGATGATCCTAAAAGGGCAGAAGCGGAAACAACCAAGAAGAGCATTCTGATATAATAATGTACATGAATTGTGTAATCTTTGTGGAAGCAGAAATGGAACATGCCGAAAGGATAGGGCCCATACTGGTAGATTCCTCACAGACATGATCTGCCACACTGGGTAGCAGTCATCGATTCTGAGTGGACTTCCAGAAGTAGGTCGGGAATGATGATTACAAGCGTGTATTGATAGGGGCCATACTGGAGCCCAGGGTCGAGAATTCGACAATATTATCACTGCAGATCGGTCTCACGAAGAACAAGTCGACGATCAACAGAGTTTGCCAGCACATGCATTCGTTTAAAAGACGTACTAGTCCAGCGAGTCAGTTGACGTACGAAAGAAGAGATGTGGAACGCAAACTCACAGGAATAAACAGATAGGGGACCTGTCTCTCATACTCTCTCCATGCCTCGCCATACTTGTTCCGGCAGCGCTGAATATCGCGCAGTGCGCGATGGCTGATCATGCATGCAAAAAACAGAGGATAGAACCACGGAAACGGACTGTTGAAGCCAGTGACCAATCCCCAGTTCAAGGCAAAGTACAGGTCACAGGTGTAGTGGATTTTGCGTGCTTTCCCGTCTGTGATGAAAGGTCAGCATCTACTATATCTCAGGTGAAGGCTCGAGTGCGAAACTTACACCAACCATCAACAAGAATCTTTGAGCCGTCCTCAGCCGTAATGGTTTTGGGGTTCTTCAACGTTTGCCAAGGAAGTTGAGGGAAAGTCTTGCGGAACACCAAGGTGCCACGTTCCTGCTGGCGGTAGCGGTTCTTCTGACTGTTGGTCGTATCCCAAACCCAATACACAAAGAGGTACGCGATATAGAGGAAAACTAGGAAGGGCCGATTCCAGCGATAGGTCGCGGGATCGTGGTTGGCAAGGTAGATGGTGCAGTGGCAGTAGCTCAGCGGCACTCCAGCGAGGTTCCAGAAGATCAGCATAAAACCCCATTTCTCATAATACATATCCCTGATGATTCGTTAGCCCGACGTATGAATAGAGCCCTGAACTGAATACCCACCAGGTCGACACGATACACTCCTCGCCTTTGGAGCAAGCGTTGGCGTAGAGGAAATGAGCCATAAGCAGGAACCCGACCTCTCCGGATACATATCCGTAGGTTTCATATTGTCTGGCAGCTGCACCCATAGTGATGAGCAGAAGGATGTACCATGGAAGGCGGACCTCGAAGAACATCTTGAAATCCAGAATCCCAAACATTCTAGGGTTGAGCTCAGCTCCCATGAAGAAGTCGTAGATTGGGTACCCAGTCATACGGTGCTCTGCGCCTCGAGCCAATGCCGAAATGTACGCGACAAAAGAGACAATGAAACCGGAAAGGATTGCCACGCTCATAAGAGGCCCGAACTCATCGATGATCGTGTAGAGCTTGAAGATACCAGTAAAGTGAAGCACCAACGCCAGAACTATAGTTGTGTAAAAGGACCAAACGGCGGAACAGTAATAAGGGAGTTGCTTTCCTCCAAGGTGCGGCAGAGGACGGCCCATGACGGTGATACCGGGAAGAAGCACGTAGAGAGCCCCCTCGAAGACGAAGAAAGTCCAATATATCGTCCATGCCTTCAGGGACGGGTAAGCACCTTCATTCAGCAGGTTGAAGAGGTGTGCAAAAAAGTCAGAGATGCTCTGCCCCTGCTCAGGAAGAGGTGGTTTGCCATCGTAATAGGTGGCACCGAGCCACATGTAATCCATCAGCATCGGAAATCCGATCATCATGCACAATACACCCAAAGACCCTCCAAATTCGAAGTGTCCGCTGTGGTCAACCTTGGGATCCTTGCCCTCTTCCCAACCATCGATGATGCGTGGCTTCTTGCCATTCGCGACGGCGGCGTGTCCATTGGTCCCGACTGGCTTTGTGTCTTTCTCTGAGGCCTCCTCGGCTTTGACTTTGGCAGAGGAACGCTTCCGGGATGCTGACTTGGCTTGTGCTTGCAAGTCGGCTGCTGAATCGGAAGTGTCGTCGGACGGCGCAACGCTGCTGCGGGTCACTCGGCGCCCGGGGGTCTCGATGAAGCCAGGACGCTCCATTTTCCTAGTCATTGATCCAATCGTAAGCTCAACGTGATTGGGAAGCGTTTCGCGCGCAAGCGAAAGACGAAGGGTCGATTAGAATAAAGGGGAATCTTTGGGGGGGAAATCTTCTCAGATGCAGTCGAGTCCCTTATTGGGGAGATTTTCACCCTTGCGCAAAACAAATCACTTACTTGGGAGTTTTTCCCGTTTGGGAACGAGTCACGGTCATTGTGCACGAACCATGTAAGGAATTGGGGGCTAAGAATGAAAGTTAAGTATGATTATGAGGAATAGTTGGATTGCAGCGCCCCGAGGGACTAACTGATACTTGCAAGCAGAGGAGTTTTGGTAGGGAAGACAGGCAAAAGAGAGAATGATGGGGGACGATCGAGGAAGAAGAGGAAGAGCAGAACAAACAGTTGGCTAGCGGTCACTACTACTACCCACTCACCGTCGCGGGTGGGTTCCTGTACCCACGCAGTGGCACTTGCAGGCTCAACTCCTAGATGCCCTTCTCGTAGTCTGTGGTTTCAGCAATAGACCGTCTGCATGGTCTTACCTTACTATTCTTCCAGCACCATTTCTTAGGATGTGATCACTCCAGACATATCTGGTTGGTGCCTATCTAATCAGTGTTTATTCTTTATGTGCCTAGTCCGATCTGCAGGGGAAAAGGATCTGAACACCTGGCTAGAGACGCACACTACTGACTGATTGGCCTGGCCTTTGAACTACTCCGCGGAGTATGGGCAAGCAAGTGACCCAACCCCACGTGTTCTGCTCTGAATATGTCAACATTAACCGAGAAAAGTTGTATATTGTTTTCATTGATCATATATACTATAGCACTCAATCAAATGGCCTCTACATGTGGAGTTGCCTTGATGACTTCAATATGTTGTTGGCCTCTTGCTCTCGTAATCTAGTAATTCTCTACCCGATGCTCAAAGAATCAGGCCCCACGCTGTATGTTCGTCGACATGAGGGTAATCTTCTTATTCTTCTTCTTCTTACCACCGGAAGGAGTGGGTGTACCGGCTCCCTCAGCAATTGATTGTGCAAGAACCTCTTGTTCTTGCTGAGCCCAAAGCTCTTCCTCCCAACCTCGAAGCCAGCCATCGGAAGCAGCTGCCTGAGAGCTGGTCGGCTGGGAAAGCGGCGCCACCGCTGCCGTACCCCAGACAGTACGAGAGCTGGGTGGGCTTGCGGATGGAGGTTCTAGTCCCCCATCAGGAGGAGACATATCAAAGCCCGAAGGGCCGCTTGCTAGGGGCTGAAAATCGCGATCGGAAAATGGAGGGTCACTGCTGCTACCAATGCTAAGTCTCTTGCGGTACGCAGAGGCCCAACCCTTCTCATTTTCTTCCCGTTCCGCGCGAATGCGATCCTTCTCTTCCCGAGCCTCTTTATCTCGGTTGCGCTTCCTCCGCCTGTCTGTTTCAGTTTTGAACTCCTGCAGAATTTCCGGCTGAACAACGTCGCGCCAGTCGCATTCGAGGAAGTTCACCTCGCATCCATATGGGAGGTGGCCAAGGTATTTGACCCTTTTCCGGAGTTCATCGTCGACAATATGTCCAGTAGAGATCCGTTCAACCCGCGGCAGAATCGTAGCTGGGAACGAAGGATAATCACCGAAGGCGGCTTTGAGAATGCGAATGTCCAGCGGGGATAGGTAGAAATGAGGTAGAGCTTGGTAAAAATAAAAAGCATGTTCAGGACTGCGGCTAATTCCGGGGTCTCTCTTTTTGTTTTTCGCGCCAGTAACATTCAAATCGACCTGATTTAGTGCCTCAGTCGCACGATCCACCTTGTTGGCAATATCCTGATTCTCGGAGTCACCCTCGGTACGTTGAGATTCAGACGAAGAAGACTCTACACCTGGCCGTGTAGCATCTTGCGAGGTAGACGTCATCAAAACTTCACCTTCCGATGGTAGTTCGAACTTTCGTCGCTCGACGTTCTCTGGAGGATTCCCAATGTCAATCAGTTTGGATTTCGCCTCATTGATGGCGGCAACGGCCTTCTTGCTCCATGTAGAATCGTCACCAAAGAGAAGTTCATCTTCGACCTCTTGCGCTCGCAATGCGGAAATCTCTGCATCATACTGGTCCTTCATATAGTCCTCACCCCCCTTCATTATTCGGGCATAGTCGGCAATTTCTGCAACATTATACCACGGAATATCCACTCCGGGAGCGATGGCTTCAGCCCCATCTCGAGGCAGCGCCAGAGTGCTACCTGGAATTCTTTTGACCAGCCTCAAAACGACATCACCGCCTTCAACAGGAAGATCACCTTCTTGACCACGGAACCACCGCACAGGGCGTGCTTCGGATATGTAGATCGAATCCCAGCAAATGGGACATTTCTTCCAACGCGGCTTCTTCTCAGGTACCGTATGTTCCTCATCGGTGGAATGCATATAGCGGATGAGGCATGGGAGGCAGAAAATGTGGCCACATCGGGCCATTCGCGGGGCAACCGGAGTTGAAAGACAGATAGGGCAACTGGCGGACTGAGTTTGTGCAGACACCAGGACTTGAAGAACTGAATCCCAGTCCAGGTGAACGTCAGCATTAGCTGCCTGGGTGTGATAATTCTGTGTTGGATTCACAATGAAACGGTAATTCGCATGCACGTAGCGAGCTTTATCCATCGCATGATAACCGGATCCTGGACCCCAGGAGGTATAACGGCGGGCATTGCGGGGCGGAGGTTGATACTGAGGGCGTGGGGGAAGAGAGAAATTCATTAGATGCGTGATGGACGTCTGCCCTTTGCGGCTAGTTGAAGACTTCATGATGGCCTGTGAATGGTGGCGTTGGTTAGTTCAACCGCACGCAGCTAAACACTGTCATAGAGGGCATACTGATTCACTGTAATCGTCATCATCCAATACCTTGGGTCGCCGTTGTCGCTGAATCCTTTTCGCCTGATTATTTCTCGGGGAGCTGGGTGCTCTTGATGTCAAACCGGCTCCGAAACTGCCAGACCCTCCAGCGCGTCGCTGCGCGCTAACCTCAGATGAATGGTATGTTGCGGGGGCTGGCTGACTTGGGACATTCACCGCTTTGGATGGGGGGATCTGGCCAGGATTGGACGACATTATTCACTGTAATGAAGGAGGATGAAGGCGTGAGGTGTGATTGACTACCTTCCGACACTGGGGAAAATAGTGGGACGACAGCAGCGCATAAATGATGAGAGGGAGATATGACTCCAAAGTTGATTGAAGGGTGGTTTGACTTGGAGGAAAACAGAAAATGAGAAAATGCGATCGAGTTTCAGTCACGGAGACCCCGAAGGGCAGCGCAAAGGAGAGGGAGAAGCACCAGAGACCTGAGGCTTCCCCTGTCGAATCAGAGAAAGAAAAAAGAAACGCGCATAACAACCTACTCTTAGCACAGAGAAGAAAGAAGAGTCGGAGGCGACGGGAGGGACTGGGGGGGACAGGGACTGGGAGGGGGAGGAGAGGGGCGAGTATGTCATGTCTTGGCGACCATTTTGGAGAGCCTCAGGCACGTGCCGACCGCCAAAAAAACATCATCTCATCTCAGCTTCCCCCCCCCCCCCCCCACCCTCCCCTTCCCTTTCAGCTTTGTCTTCCAGTCACTTGCCTTTCCTCTCCCCCTTCCCAGATCCAAAGTATCTATCCTTATACAGTCATTGACAGATTCATATAGTCATTGCCTAGGTTAGTACCGCAATTCCCACTGAGCTTTGACTCATTGTGCCCTTTGCCGAGCTCTGCGCATCTTCATCTTCTTGTCATCGCGCTGATCCCTTTCGACGCTTTAGGAGTTCTCGTCCGCCAAGAATATCCCAAAAAACCTCTTCTTCCGTCCTAGCTTTCAGACCTGGTTCTGAAAGTTAGAATGGCTGCTTAGACGGGTGCAAACCCCCTCCACCAGTCCGGTCTTTCTTTTTCGATTTCGTATGGCTCCCATCGAGGCAACGCGTGGCTGAATCGTCAAGGCGACTCCCCTTCTCTCGCCAACTGCCTGGACAAGATGAATCATCATCTGCCCGCTATGCCCCATGGGCAGCCATCCATGCCCGCCCCCCGCCGACAACAAGATATTCCCTACACCGCAGGCCCTCCGAACATGCGATCTCCGCCTGCATACATGGGCTTCCATCCCCATATGAACGGCCATCCTCCTCCGGCCGCATATTCACCCCAACAATATGCTCCCTGGTACTATTCTCCAATGCAGATGCCTCCCCGCCCATACCAGCATCACCCATATGGCCCCATGTATGTCGCGACATACCCGCCTTCACAGTCCATCATGGCGCCAGCGCACATTCATCCTCCGCCGTTACCGATGCAGCCCAGAACCTCAACTCCCCTGCAGCCGACCATGTCTCCTGTAGGCATGGCATCTGTTCCTATCGCAGCTCAGGCGCAATCACCTGCGATGATTCCGGTGCAAGCTCTTGCCAGCCCAGTACTGCCTTCACCTCCAGCGGTTCCTGTTCAGACCGCACTTGCCCCTAAAGAGCCATTCTCCCCTCCAGTAAGTAATCGGACTCATACGCCACCATTACTTTGTCTAACAGGAAATCATCGCAGCTTCCATGGCTTTCTGTTCCCGAATCACCTTTTCCAGCCCGTGCTCCTCGAAGGCGTCGCAAAGGTCGTACATTTCAATCTTCATCGGCCTCAGTTGAGTTTCCAGTAAAGGACGGGCAGCGGCTCGAACAGATTGCCGGACAAGGCGAAGAGAACGTAGAGAATGTGCCAAGCCCCTCAGAGCCCCAGACGCCGACTTTATCTGTTGCTCCGTCGGTCGCGAACTCTACCCAGCCTACTACTCCTTCCTCGGTTGCTCAGAACCTGCCTGGCCGTTCTCAATCTCAGACAAAGGGCACCAAGTCGACTGCCCCAGTTGTTCCGGTTGTTCCTGTCGTCCCGGCTCCCGAAACTCCTCGCCAGGGCGTCAAGAACGAGGTCACTCGTTCTTCAGAGACGCCGAAGACCAGTCGTATCAGCGGCACTGCTGAAGTGACCGAGGGACAAGAGTCTGCCGATGATAAACTCCAGGAATCGGGCAAGCAAACCCAGCCCGCTTCTGCAGCTCCTAAATCCTGGGCAGACTTGGTCAAGTCCAAATCCCTGGCCAAAGCAGCTGGTGCTTCTGGATCTTCGTCCACTGCAACCAATGGTGTTGTCAAGCCCAAGAGCGAGATGCTTGCCGATGTTCTGGTGAGCTTGGGTGAAGACGTGTCTCAGTACAGTGACAAGATTGGGTTCCTGGAGCCTCGAGGTCTTGTCAATACTGGCAACATGTGCTACATGAACTCGGTACAAGCAGTTGCCCCTATTTACTTCCCTGTTCTTTAACTGACTGGGTAACATAGGTTTTGCAAATTCTGGTCTTTTGTGTCCCTTTCTACCAATTTCTGGACCTCGTTGGGCGCAGAGCATCCCACAGCTTCACTAGTGCCTATCCCATGATTGATGCATTGTCAGTCTTACCAATTGCGTTGTAATCTCATATACCAACCGAACTGACATTTTTCCTTCTAGGATCATGTTTATGAGAGAATTCCGCGTAATTGATGCTGCCGATACTGAGGACCAGTTGCGGATGCGGTTGAAGGCCAATGAACTCGAACAGTATGGCGATGCTTTCATTCCGGAGTTTGTTTACCACGTGATTCGGCAATTGCCACGATTCCGTGACATGAGAGTAAGTGGTTTCTCCAGAAAATGACAAGTGTAAAACACTAATATTGCTCGGGTATAGCGTGGCCACCAGCAAGATGCACAAGAATTCTTGGGTTTTCTCTTGGAGGAGATGCATGAAGAGTGCAGCCGTGCCGCAAAAGAAGCGCCGTCCACCGGTACGGCGTCGGGCAATGATGCGGACAATGCGACGGAAGAATCTGATGGCTGGTTGGAAGTTGGCCATAAACAAAAAGCCGCAGTCACACGCTCGTCTGGCGACATCGCACAGGAGTCTCCGGTCACGAGGATCTTTGGAGGAAAGATCCGTTCAGAATTCAAGGTTCCTGGCAACAAGACATCAGTTACTCTAGAGCCCTATCAGCCGCTGCAGCTTGACATTGGGTCACCCGAAATTAACAACATCATCGATGCTCTCAAGGGCTTGACGAAGCCGGAAAGCATCCAAGGAGATTTCAATTCTGCACGTGGTCCTAATGTCACAGCCACCAAGCAGGTTTTCATCGAGACTCTACCTCCAGTTCTCATCCTCCACCTCAAGCGGTTCCAGTATGACAGTGTGACCAACGGTACTCAGAAGATCTGGAAGCGTATTGGATACCCCCTGGATCTGGAGATTCCGCGGGAGGTGTTCCCACCTAATAAGCGTAACGTGATGATGGCACAGGGCGGATTACCCAAGTATCGACTTGTTGGTGTGATCTATCACCACGGCAAGAATGCCAGTGGCGGTCACTATACCGTTGACGTTCGTCGGCAAGACGGCCGTGAGTGGATTCGTCTTGATGATACCGTGATTCGTCGAGTACGTAGCGAAGATGTTGCAGAGGCAGGTGGCGAAGAGGATCCCAAGGTCCTTGCAGCCGCATTGGAACAACACAAGCGAGACAGCTCCAGCGCCAACATCTTCGATCATATTGACCAGGACGACCAGTCTGATAACGAGAGGGGCTGGAGCCAGGTCAATGGTACTCCAGGCAAGAAGTCAGGCGCCAACGGAGCATCAGCAACGCCTAATGTCACGCGATCATCCGCTGGACGCTATAATGCTCGCGATAACAAGGTGGCATACCTGCTTTTCTACCAACGTATTGCTTAGTTTCTCTAAGTGTTGTTTGGGCGGATAAGAGAGAGAGAAGCAAAATCTATCAACCAGCCAAACAACGAGAACCCGATTTACCGACACCCCGGAATCAACATCTTGTTGCCTCCTCACTAGAGGGCAACCCCCATGGGCTGAAATTCAGCCATCAACGACACGACCCTCTCTAGGTTCGGCTGGCGGGCAGCGGATCACCAGCTGATTGGTGAGCCAGGAACTACGAGTCTTCTAACTATACCTCTCACAACTCTCTTATAGCGAAGTCATCACGGGGACTGTTGGGCACTTTCCTCGCGACCAGACGTTTTGCTGTCGGAGACTTATTTACTTTCTTTTCCTTATGTCGCTGCTTAGGGCGGGCTCGTCGGTCAAGTTCATTTTACTGCATTTTTGATTCTTCTTGTGATTTGTTGCTCCATGATACAGTTTTTCACTCTCTTTCTCACTTTCTCTGTAGTTGATCCACCTCCTTCACAATCTCTTGCGTTTGCGGTGCAGTCCGGTGAAATGTCGCTCTGATATATACCCCAGTTTCCTCGCATAGCCCTTTGGTTTGCTCGCTGATGCAGATGGGTTCCTTTTGATGTGGCGTGGACGGGATTCTTAACGACTGCATGAATTTGTTTTATAGACTTATCTATCGGGAAGATCTTGATAGAGGGAAGACGGTGGGGAGGCGGGGTTTTGGCTGGCTCAGATGATGATTATGATGCGTTGCATGTGGGAGGGGGTATTTCTTGCGAACAGACATTTAGGACTCTCTACTAATGATGTTGTTGTTGTGGCATGGTGTTATGCAAATCCGGGAAGAAGAGAAGGAGGTCGTCACAAAAAGGAGGGAAGGATTGGATTTAACGACTTAAAAAAAGTGTTGAGAATAAATGCGTTAAAGGCCAGAGAGACATGTGTGCTTATTAGCATGTAGCCAGTAAAGGAAGCCTCCTTGCTCTAAAATCATCTGTCATCCGCGATAGTAAGCTCCGTATGCACACTCTAGTCCTCCGGCTTGAACGCTTCCACAAGCTTCACAAAGCGTTCCTCCTCTGCAGCGGAGGCCTCCTCATACCGATAACCTTTGTAGCGTTCGTGTCCAGTGACAACCCGCAGGATCTCCTCCACCTGCTCCGTTCGTAATGCCTCCCCATCCGAAGCAGAGGTCGAGTTCAGCCTCCACTTCCCCCGCCAGGCAGCATGGGTAACGGGCCGCACCAGCACCAAACTCGCGCCCCAAACACGATGAGCATGCGTCTGATTGACCAGCCTGACTAGCTTGAGCGGAATACCCAGCGTAGCCGCAACGGAGACGAATGTCTGCGCCGTAGCAGCACAGCCATCACTCTCCTCCTCCTCGCCACCCGCCTGTTCGCACGTCTCCACGAAATGCACCAAACTCCAGACAGGCCCAAACGTATCGTAGATGCTCGGGCCCTCCTCCCGCGAGCTCGTCAGGAAGACATGCGGCACCCGCCGCCCCGGCTTCGTCGAGGGAACGTATCTCTCCGCCACCCACGGCTGCCCCTGCCCCTGCTCCGCCTCATCTTCTCCTATCTCGTCACCCCAGATCCCAAACGACGCGTACCGCATATCCAGCTCAACTCCACGGTCCAACGTCTCCGGGCCGGACCGCTCGAGAAACTCCCGGATCTTCTTCCGCAGCCCCTCGGCCTCCGCATCGTGCTCCCGCTCCAGTACGTCCACCGGGTCCGGGTGTAGAGCGGCAAGCTTGATATGCTCGAGGAGATGGCGGTGCGAGCGCGTCAGAGCGCGGATCATGCACGGACGCCGGTCAAGGGTGTAGGACTCTAGGAGTAATGGTCCGCCGTAGGCGGTGGAGGAGGAGGAGGAGGTCAGCGCGGCGAGACGCCAGGCGAGGTCAAAGGCGTCGGCGATGCCGCTGTTGAGACCGTATCCGCCGTGTGGGGGTGTTTGATGGGCTTTGTTTGGACTGTTGTGTTAGTGCTATCTGGAGCGCGTCGGAAAAATACAACACAAGTTGGTAGGTGAGCGGAAAGTAGTGAAGTAGCACAGCAGTACACGCTTCAGCTTTATCACTTTCAAAGTAGTATGACTGCACAGGGTCATAGGTAAGGCAGATTGGGGGCGGGGTTCTGGGGTAAAACTCACCCGCATCACCTGCAAGCACGACTCGTCCACCATCACTGACGTACTTCTCCGCGATGCTGAAGTTCGGGGTCCAGGTACTGTGCACCAGAATCTCGTCGATCTGGATCACCGCTTTCTCGCTGGGATGCGGTCCTCCAAGAGTTCGATACACCACTTCCTTCGGGTCGAGGTTGCCCTCGGGGAGGAGGTGAACGGGGAAATGTGCAGTAAAGGTGTCCACATCGTCCTGGTCGAGGATGAACCCCCCACTGGTGGGGAAGATATGCCAGCATCGGCCAAAGGGGAACGAGCGCGCGAGTTGCTGGGAGCGAAAGTGGACAAGGTGGAAGCGCATGGGCCTGAGAGAAAGTCAGCCACACCGTTCATTTATCTCACAGCGTGAAGGGGATAGATATCCCGGGAGCTCTTGCAGGGGGTGGTGAAAGAGTAGACGTACATCGATCCCCCCAGCATGCGAATGCCCGCAGCATTGCGCACACGACTCCTACCTCCATCCGTTCCAACCAGGTACCGACTGCGCACGCGATGTTGGACGCCTTGCTCCACGGCGAGGAAAGTCGCCCATACGCCTGTCGCATCTTCGACGTGGTGGAGATACTTCCATCCGGGGCGGATCTGCATTGCACTACCTGCACTCGCTTGCTCGAGGATGAGTCGGCGCATCCAAGCCTCGAAGATGACTTGCGAGCAGCGCTGGCCGGGCTCGGCGGCTTGAGTCCCGTCGTTGGTCTGGCGGATGGAATCGCGCTGAGTACTGACAGAGGGAACGTGCTTGATTTTTCGTCTTGGTTCAGTTTGAGTGTCTAGTCTATGGGAAACAAAGATTCTACGAGGGAAAGTAACTCTCGAGAATCATGCTTACCCATTTGCCTAGTAATTTGCTCTCCTGCCCAATAATCCGAGTCACAAACTGCGTATCGAAGTCGGTGGAGATGGGCACGCTGCCTTCTTGAGCGCGGTAGTCATCGGCCAGACCCAAGACTCGCAGAATTTCCATGGATCGACAGTTCGTCAAATCCATCTTGGGCCATTTAGTGGTCTCAGTGTTCTTGTCGGCTATGAAGAAGGGGATGTTGAGCTGGTTGAGACGGTAGGCGAGAAGCATGCCCACGGGGCCGGCGCCCACGATGGTAATTGGGGACTCGTAGTCTTCCATCTTGACGTGTATGTTGTGGTGTGTGTAAGAAGACAGGAGAAACAAAAGCTGAAAGGGAGTGACTTTCGAAAGATAGTAGGGGAATGAAGTGGGGGGGCACAGCTGAGTAGAAGTGAATCACGCTACACGACAATCATCCATTAGCTTCGCAGATCTGATATGATGATCGCCGCGTGTCTTGCTGTAACCGGCACAGGGAACTTGATGAACCCATAAGTTGCCCATCTAGTTGTTGTATCTACACCACTGCACATCCCAATATATGTAACAAAGAAGGTATACACAACTCTTATCCCATTCCCATCATTTCACCTGCCTCTCGTCAGCCGCACGACATCTTTACACTCATCATCCCTCACAGTTAATCAGGCCTCCACATCGCATCGCGTGTTGATCAAGGGTCGACCAGCCACACAATACTTCGTTGGCCAATTCACCGCATATCAACCTCCAGGTCTCTCTGCAAAGACCCACACCTTAGCTCGCATTTCTAGCCTCATGATCTTGAGTGACCAAAGTCACTGGCCGGGCGGGTTCGTCCGCACCACCAACTCCGATTTGCTCGCGTGAAGAGGCAGCTGGGACCACTGGGTGACCAATCTGGAAAACCGCCTGCTGCGGTGGATCCCTGGGCGTGGCACCAGCACCGCGTTTCCGGCCCCGATTGTGCGACAGCTCCGAGTTGCGTGTCGCAGTACTATGGGTAAAACTGATGTTTCCAATGGGAATGGGGCTTTGTTCTTGGGTCGCGCTGGTGCTGAGAGCTTGTGAGATAGTCCGCGGCAGGTGATAGCCCGCTTTGGCCAACGGGATGGAAAGGCCGTGCACAATCTACACCGTTAGTTTAAATGGGTCGGTCCTAACTCACTAGAGGATTGGAGGGACCATCAGAAAAAGAAGTGCTACTCACAATGCTGCAGATGACCAGGAACCACACAATGACATCAACTGCCTCGGAAAGCTTCTGCGCGTCTTCTCGCACGGTGCCATTGGCCGTGACACCCTGCAGAAACTCCCGACACACCGACAGGTAAAAGATTGCTCCCACGCCGATGGGTCCAAAGAACCCCACAAATCCCGCTTGGAAAAGATGCTCAATCTGGTGGATGTACTTGTGCATAGCAAACACGATCGGCATACGTCGGACAAGTAGGATCAGGATTCCCAGGAAGATCAAGCGATAGATGGGAATCACGTTGTTGTGAAGGAACGAGGACCAAGGACAAACAGCGCCGAACCACATGAACACCGCCAAGTTGAGAAGCATATCGATTGTCGGCTGCAACGAGTCGTCCATGGTTTCCAGTCGAAACCAGTCACTGATCTGTCAGTGTCGTCTCTAGCCAATAGCGACGGGGCTCTTACTCTTGTGTGAAGACATTGCCAGCCACAAAACAAGCAAGCAAATCATCAGTGCCAATCAAGCCGCAAGTACCCACAATAAACAGCTGCAAGTGAAATCAGCCATGCACGCAACATATCTGAGGCTGGAGCTTACCGCCAAAGCAATAGCGAACACCAGAAAACTCTCTCGGTCCACGTAATGATGCTCCTCTGCCCAGTGAAGCAGTTCGCGGGAGATCCAGCCGACGGTAATACCGTAGACGACACTGAGAAGCACGGTATACGCCCAGGTCTCATAGAACCAAAGCCCAATGGCTTTCCCTGCACCGCCACCGTACGCCTCACCCCCCATCTCCACATACTTCAGCAGATACAAGCCAAAATATAGGAAGGGATAACCCAGGCCGTCATTGGCCCCGGATTCAGCGACAATGATGCGCTGCAGCGGACGGGGCACATGCTTATCGGCGAATTTCCCTTTGACGATCGAGTTGGAAAGCACCGGATCTGTCGGAGTGATACAGGCGCCCACAATCATCGCATGCAAGAACGGAAAATCCGGAACCATAGCCCAGATCACCAGACTGCTACACATCCACATGGCTGCCATGCCTGGTCCCAACAGGAGAGAGAGACTTTTCCATTCCAGCTGCAGGTACCGTTTGGGGAGCTGCACTCCAGCCAGGACGAGTTGGACGCCCAGGACAAGCCGGGTGAAATACATAGTGATCTCCTCTAAGTTCTTCTCCGACCCCAGGGCATATTCCTCGGGTCGGATGAAGTTGGCCGCATGTGGGGAAAAGACGACCCCGGCAAGCAAAGAGATTACTAGGGGATGTCGTCGTCAGTCCATTGATCGGTTGACTCGATAGTGGTCTCAGGAGCTGACGTACAGGCTTCGGATAGGTACAGTCTCTCCTTGAATAGATAGGAGACTAAGCCATAGAGGGAGATGAATCCCCCCAACGTCGCACAGACGATGTTGAAGTTGATCAACGATAATGTAGGCATGGGTGGTACTCTGTCTCGGGGAGGAAATCTCCGGGAATTGAGGCAGTGTCGTCAAGATTCTCTAATGGTTTAAGTATGTAAAATCTCACCAGCACGTGTTATTCAATCATAGTAAGAGCACTCGTTACGGTGTGGGGTTCTGGGTGCATTCAAGAGAATGAGGGTTGCGCAGCAGCCAGGATGACGATTAGTGTGGTGGGGAAGCAACTGATGTGCGACAGCCAGCCCAGACACACGCACGATCAGCAGAGGTGACACAGAGCAAAAAGAGAGATCGAGCACCAAAGCAATCAAGTCAAGGGGACGAGTGGAGGTCTACAAGACTATCCAGGATAGAGATGCTGAAGTTGGTGTGGGGAATAATTGGTAAGGAAAAAGAATTGGGAGGGACAGACCGGGCCGGCAATTTAAGGTAAAGGAAGGCCAAGAGCAAGCCGTGGTGGACCGCTTTCGGCTCAAGTGCAGATCCACCTCACGCACTCCAAGGTAGTAAAACAAATCAGTTTGGGCAGCTAAGCATCATCCAGTCCAGTGTTGCTAGAATAGTCCATTGGTATCTCTTCCTCCCTCCAGGGGTACTCTGTCAGTATAGGGGCAAAAAAAAAAAAAAAAAAAAAAAACAACTTAAATACACATGGAAAGTAGCTGTAGTCGAGTTACTCAGCGTAACGCAAATTAGAAGTATCACAACAGCAAGCAAGCAAGGCTCGGAATTTTTGTTCATGCATCTATCCCAATGAAAAGATCGGGCTGAGAAGAACGCTCCCGTCAGAATTCGTCGTCATCGTCATTATCATCATCAAAGAGATCATCCGAGAGATCTTTGGCAGCGGCTGCCATCGCCGCAGCCTTTTCGGCTACTCCACGTTGGGCGCCGTTGACAGCCAGGCGGTCGGCAGCTTCGTTGCCCGGATGTGAGCTGTGCCCTTTGACCCATTCAAATAGAGTCTCGACTTTCAGCTCGTTACGTTCATCGATTTTCGACAAGATGGCCTCGACCAGGTCTTTGTTGTCCACAGGTTTGTTACCCACCGTCATCCAATTGTTCTGTCGCCATTTGCGATACCAGACTGTCACGCATTTGATGGCATATTGGCTATCTGTGAAGATGGTTACATCTCGATGGCGGGGAGCGATCTCCAGAGCTCGGAGGATCGCAGTCAGTTCCGCTCGTTGGTTGGTTTGGCGGCTGCCCTGCAAAGGCTCCGAGACATTTCTGCTAAGTGATGAAGTATCAGTGAAACACAATCGCAAGAATAAGCGCATCTTGACTGAGAGCCTGAGAGCACGACGTGGACGGTCTCTGGGCGATTCCACTAACCTTGAATCTCCTGGGCCGAAGTATACGCCCACGCCTGCTGAAGCCAGCGCTCGCCCGTTCTTCAGCGAACTACCATCGGTGTATATGCGCAACATGCCCGGTGACCCGTTCGACTGCAGCTTCGTAGCAGACTTCTGATCCTGGGACTTGTAGACCACCTTCCCAGTAGTGGGATCCAGGAGCACGTTAGGGTCGAATCCGTCCGTGGCTCCAGAGGGTAAAGGTCCCGTCCCAGGTTCAAAAGCCACGCCTTGGTCATCCGTGGGGGGAGCATCAGTCATACCTGGCGCCCCGGATAATTTCGCAGCCTTGGCGAAAGTGGCACCGTGCCCTTGATCTTCATTCACAAAAGCCTCGGCCTCCTCCCTGGTCGCAAATTTCTTGTATCGCGGCTTTGTGAACCCTTTGATTTGTTCCTGCGCTTTTGACCAGTCGGTATAGACTCCGGGTACTCGACCACGCTGAACGCCGTAATATCTTGGAGGATCGGAGCTCGAGGGAGTTCCGCCGCGTCCGCCGTTAATGGTAGCTCCCGTGAGGAAAGCTTTGGCATCATCGAAAGAAGAGAAAGCCTGGACTACCATTGTTGTTAGTAAGCAACTGCATTACTGGAATGGTTCACAACTTACAAACGGCCCCTTTGTACCCGGTTACCTGAGTCAAACAATCGGTCCAGCTGTAATACACTCCGGGCTGATAGCCCGCTTTGACCGCATAGTATTTCCCTACAGCATTGCGCTTGCGCTTGGTACCTGTAGCGGATGCAGAAGAATTTGTGCGGGAAGAGGCGTTTGTCGCAAGCACGGAGGTGGAGGAGGGTGTTGTATTGTTCATAGTTTCGAAGCCGGCGTTCGGCACTTGGTAGGGCGGAGCAATCGATACGAGCCAAAACAGAATCCTCGAGACGGGTGATAGGTCAAGATGCGGTTGTTTTGGTGGAGAAGGGCGGCGAAAGACCTGGCTGAAAACAATGTGAGGAGCGGAGATTGGCAAGCTGCAGCTCAATAAGGCACCCCTAGGACCCTGTTTGGGAGCTACGAGACAAAGCCGACTGATAGGGCGTGATGGAATAGTGCCCGCGATGTGAAACGTGACTCGAGATCAAGGTCTCTTCTGGAAATTGAAGAAAATGGTAGAATGAGGTTAACGAGGAAGGCCGAGACTGAGTGACATTGGGGGTGAGAGAGGGGAGGTGGAGTTTCTTGACGAAGTGGGGAGGGAAAAATGAGGGAAGAGAGGAAAAGGAAGGGAGGAGGAGAAGGGGGGGGGG